CAGAGCTACGCTTTTCCATTGCCCGCCCTGTCCCCTCGACTTTTTCCTTTCTGCCTCGCTCCCTCCGGCTCTCTCTCTCTCTCTCTCTCTCTCTCTCTCTCTCTGCTTTTTGTTAACAATAAACGCTCGCGAGCTCTGTGCATTTGTTGAAACGCGAAAGAATTCCGCTCATTGTAGCCGCCGAGCAAACAATGCCGGGACACATTCTTGTCTTTAATAAAAGCCACTTTACACGAGCGCGAGCGCGTGACGCGGCCGAGGTGTGCGCCGATGAATAGCCCGATTTTTCGAAATCCAGCCTCGAAACGCGGGCCGCTCTCGCGCCACAATAGCCGCACTTTTGTGCTCCGAGGTGACTTAACTGTGCCGCCGGCCGCGGGCTTTTTCGACCGGCGGTTCGAGTCGCGCGTACACGCGCGCGCCATTCAGCGCCCACGCGGCCTCGCGGCGAGGCGCACAAAAGCCATTGAGCGGGCGCGCGCGACGCGCGATCTAATTCGGCCGCGCGAGGATCGCGCCGGCGTAGGCGAAAATTTGCATTGGTCGGCGGGAGCAGTGGCCCTCTCGGCGCTCACCTCTGTTTGCAGGTGCGTGATCGAGCAAAGAGCGCGCGGCTGATTTACGACGCGCGCGCGGCGCTGCGGGGCTTGCGCAAAGTTGCGCGAGCGCCTCTTTATTTATAATTCAGAAAAATATAATTCGAAAGGAATATAAAGGCGCGCCGAGCAAGCACAACTCGGCAGCGCCGACGACACCTAATTCTTGTTTAAACAAGTGGCGAGGTCGTCTTTTCGATTTTTCTTATAAACGGAATAATACTCTTTAATGTCGAGTTATTAAATTAAGAGGCAATTAAGTGAGCATGCGATCGAGGCGCTTGTGCGCGGCTCGTGCGTCAGACCGCTATGGCAATCCGACGCACACTCACGCTCGATCAGTCATCGCCGAACAACTAACGCCATTTTCTCTCTCTCTCTCTCTCTCTCTCTCTCTCTCTCTCTCTCACTCTCTCTCAAGCGCGCGCGCACTCCTTGTACCCGCGTCGACTCGCTACTAAATACGCGTTCCCGGAGAAAGGTCGTCGAACGTCATTAGGCGCGCGGGCTCCCACAGTCGACGGACCGCGCCAATGTTAGCTTACTCGCCGGCTCTTCGCTCTGCCATCGGAAGGCTAGATTCCGGCGGAGGCAGCATTAGATCGCGAAATTAATAATTTGCAGCCGACTGCCGCGACCATTAATATTAACAAATCTATTTTCGGCGACGGCGGCGGCAGCCGCGCGGAAGGTTTATCGCGCGCCGATGTATTTCGCTTGGCGCAACCGTGAGCGCGCGCTGGGCGCGTCGGAATTTTTTATATAAATACGTCTATATATAAGTCGTATCAAACAAACCATTGGTGCAAGTTGAGGGGGGCGGGGGTTCACTGAACTTGGCGCATGGGGTCAACGAAATGACGCCCGAGTCCCGACTCTCAAGGAAAAGGAGAGAAAGAGCCTCGGCCGGCGCGTACGTGTGCTCGGAGGAGGCCCCCGATTGTGTATATTTTTATACATAAGCTGGGCGCTCGGCCGCGTATATATAAACGCGCGATACGTGTACATGCGCGCGTAAACATACATACATGGACAGCCGCGAGAGAAAGGAGTGTGCGGGGGCGCAGAAGGGTACAGGCGGCGAGGGCGGCGGTTAAATATTTGATGAGCGACGTACAAAAATTCGAAGAAGGCAAGTAAGAGCGAGCCGGCGAAAAGAAGAAGGGCGGCGCGGCGGCGCAGCGGAGCGGGAGGCGAGGCATGGAAGCGCGAATCGATTGAGCCAACATTAATGCGGAGGAGCAAAAAAAACAGTAATTTACTTAGTAAAACATAAAGCCGCGCGCTCACGGCCGGCAGCCGGCGCACGTAGGCGCACGCACACGGCCGAAGCCAGCCAAGGCAAACACATCAAACATTTAGAGGGCATAATAACTCGCGGGGCATACGTATGTAAAGTCGGCGGTGGCGGCGGCGGCGGCGGCGGCGGCGGCGGCGCGCGCGCCCTTATGTGCTCCGCGCCTTATTCTTGAATAATGCGCGCGGGCCGCGCGTCCGAATTCCGACGGCGGGGCGGCGATCGGCAGCGGCCGCCGCGGCTCGGCGACGAGGCGCGAAGAGAGCCGCTGCAGCAGCGCGCGCGCTCAATTATTTGCGCCGCGCGCGGCTCCGGGGCTGCGGAGGATCGCGTACGCGCGCGCTATCTGCCGGCCTCGCGCCGCCCGCTCGCCCGGCTCGGGCCATAAATATCGTTCTGCCTTATCAACGCGCCGTTTGCCTCGGGACTAACCTAAACAAATAAGCTCGCCTCGCAGCTCGCAGCCGAACTGGCTGAACTGAAAAACACGCCAGACTCGCTAACTGGATTACGCCTCGCGAAGGCGCGATACCCCCGGCGAGGGAGAGCGCCGGCCAGCCGCCCCGACTGCGAAACGTCAACAAACAGAGGAAAAAAGCCCCGGAGTAGCCGAGAAAAATAAAGGCAGCTCGGCGAAAGTTGAAGACGGAGGGCCTCGCGCGACTCGCCCGACTGTGTGGGGCGCTCGCAGGGAAATTAATATCCGGCCGAGATTTCCGCGCTGCCGAGTCCGGGCGATCGCAAAAACGCCCGGCTGAAAACCGAGGCGGGCGGGCAAACGAGCGAGCGGGCGAAAGTTTGCAATTTACTGCCCGACATATTGGCTGCGAAAGCACCCGAAATTAAGGCTAGTAAAACATTCTTCTGACACGTATGGCCGCCGCGAGCGGCAGAAATATCCGATACTGCAACTACTGCGAGCGCCCCGGCCGGCGAATATTTAGGATTCCGGTTAAAGCGCTGATGCCGCTGCCGGCGACAGTGGCCGCGTTTTTTTCAAATGGCTCGCCCCCTGCCCCGCGGCTACCTCCCGTGCCAGCTCGAGTCGCTCTTTCTTCCCGGCGCCGCGGCTGCCGTTCGCTGGAGGACGGACGCACTCTGCCGCCTTATTACCGCATACGTCAATAACAAAGCGTTATACAATCCTGATCAATCGCGCCAATCATTTCGTATTCGTTTATCGCGTCAGCCTCGGCTACGTCACCGTCGTTCATACAAACTTTCGCATTACCGCACTGATTATCTCGTACTGTTGGAAGCTAATCACGCGACAAATGTGTCCAAATCAACTTTTATTTGTCTCCAGCGAAACGACGGAATCAGAGAGTGACAGAGACAGAGAGAGGGGGGAGGTGCATTAAGAATACGGCGCGGAGTCTTTGTTGTGAGTTTCTATCAGCTCCACGCTCTCCCTGCCCCCCCCCCCACCCCCCCACGGCTCACGGAATTTTACATTATAAAACTTCTGCCGCTTCGTCCTTACTCATTCTTCCGCCGATTCATCATCGATCAATACTTTCCACGTATATGTGTATATATATACACATATCTATATGCATATATATTTTGTAAATAGGCTTACTGCGCGTTTCATATACGTCGCTCGCACACACTACGACGAAATGCAAAATTGTTTTATTATTCATTTCGATCCTTGATACTACTGCGCACAGGTCGAAATAGTTTCGCGATATGCGTGCACGGATCAGACGCCTCGACTCGACTTTTCAAAAATTTGAAGTACGGTGCGTGCTCCCAATTCATTCGCTTGATCGTCCCGTGCGATATCTGCAACCACAACGAGAAAATTGCGACGTAACAAGAACCGTCGGAATCCGTATCGTTCATTTTGTGCACCAAGTTTCCAGCCTCGCAGGTCTTTCGGAAATGTAGCTATGCATTAAAAACTACTTGCCGATGAAATTGCCGAATAGACAGGTTTCATAGCGGAACTTATTCCATCAGAGCTCTACAAGGGTCCACATTTCTGACAGAAGATGAACTCAAATACGGTTTCCCACGTATTCTGTGGGAATTGCTATTCAGGCACGCGCGCTACTTGTTTTCATTTTCCATCGAATTTTAAAGGCCACGAAAAGCCACGAAAAATCGCCTATTTATCATTATTAACGGCAAGATCGTATTGGTCGAAAAAAGGATGTCGCGAGCACGCGCGGCGATGAGTCGAATGATTCTCGGAAGGGGCGCACTTGGTAGAACGGCGAAGCCGAAAAATTAAGATTCGGCGAGGGTGCCGTTTAAACGCTCGGAAGCAACGGGGCGAATTAATGGATTTTTCCCCGCACTGCGCGTAAAGTGGTGACTGTGCGCCCTCCTAGCCGGGAGTACAGAACCACATGGACAGCCTATGATATGAGAGCAAAGTACCTCGCGCATGCGCGATGCGTCTGTCTAGGAAAACAGCGCATCGTCTTTGCGCGAGACACTTCACCTTTAGACCGACGATGCGGTTCCGTTCCGTGTCGCCTGCCGAAGACGCAACGTCGAGGGCTGTGCGGAAAATGAGTAGACGCAACACGGGTGTGCAAGCAGGCGAACAGGCAATCCGTGAAATGCCACGGCGCGTACTTTGCCTACTTAGTCTACACTCGAGCAGCGTAATGTACTATTTCGTACGGAATTGCTCGTGTGTGTGTGCGTGTGTGTACGTAGGTTAAATCATTTTTTATTTTTACATATCTTACGGTTTCATCATCTGACAGAATCGTTTGAATAATTTATCAATTAATTTAATGCTTTGTCCGTCCTCCATTTTAATTAAAGTATTAAACATTCAGAGGTTTAGAAGCACATGTTTTATCAATATTAAAAGATACGGAAAATTAGAGCCGATACCAGGCAGGAAGTCTGGCCATGGAAAATTCTATTGTTTCCACGTCTTATTAAACATGTATTCAGAATATTGCAAATATAGAGTGGAATTGTAAAATATTTACGACAGCTTTGCTGACTTCGTCCGCTCGCCATCTACTGGACAACGGCCTAAGCAAAATACCGACGGCGCAGCACGTTCAAACTTTCAACTGCTCTTGTCCATCGCAAACCCCCGAGCAATTAATATAAATAATAGAAACTTAACGACTTACCGAATAAACAACAAATAAATCACAAGAAGCTGGCCAGATCTGAAATTAAACGATAGCCTTGTCAATGACACATCTACTTTTCGTTCAAGTAGTGCTCATTCACACTTTTGATAAAAATCATTATTTAATGAGCGTTTGAGAAAGCAATTGGGCGCGATCAATGAATTGAAATAATACCGCGTTGCTCCATTACGCCTATCAACGAGCGAACGGACACCACTGATAATCTACTCGATTGATAAATTCGAAAACAGCTGACGAAGTGACGACTAATTTATACAAAATTACAAAGGAGACACTGGCCGTATGTGTGTGTAAGCGCGCGCGCACGTCAAGCGCGCACAGAAGTTGCGACGGCTGGGACGACGACCACTTGTGGATTCGCGCTCGCAATAAACACGCGAGTTTGTTCCCTATAGTCGATCAGCGCTTACCGAATACGTAAATTAATTTTGCCGCAGAGAAAAAACTCGCCGACAGATAGAGAGACTAGCCGTGGAAGAGAGGTTTCAATGTTGCGAGAGAAAAACAGAGTCGGAGGGAACGAGTCAGCGAGGAATCTTTCGGCAAAAAGGCCAAACGAACAAGACGCCGGACGCAGCGGCGGCGGCGACGCCGACGCGTTTTTTCCAAAGAAGGCAAGAGGAGAAAAAAGACGAGATTCCGGCGGCGGACGAATGTATTATCAGACCGTCGAGCATCAGCGTGTCCGAGGTGGAGGGGCGTCGAAAAAGAAAGAGAAAGAAGTAGAAAATCGGCCGCTTACCGAGCGCAATGACAAGACTCGAGTGAAAAATAAGTCCTCCCTCGAAGGGCTCGCCGAGGCGCCAAACAAACATTCACAGCTCGCCGACGACCAAGATGACCCGCGGTGGCTGCGAACCTCGTCCTCGATGATTTTTCCCTCGCAGATCCAACGGCGTGACGCCCTTTTCTCTAAACTTTCGGCAAATGATGATGTTTGGCTGCTTCTTTGGCTCGTTCTCTTTTTATTGCTGGCTGCTGCAGACAACTGCATGTACACATTGGCCACGCTAACGCCACCTTCAGGGCGCCGACCCAATTGCTTCGGCCTTACCTCTGCTCATCCGGTACATACGTACCGCCGACGTTATCATATATATATATATATTATTTTAATCGTAGACTCACCGATGTTTTGCAACTGTTTCCATGATCGAGTTAAACAATCCATTTCAATGGCTATCGAAGTACAATAATTCATCGTTCACTTTTATAACCAAGAAATGACATCGGTATATGGATCCGACAGTTAATCTACTATAAACTGCGTCAGACGGGAAATAAACTACGGTAGCAAAATTAATTATTGCTTTGTTTGTTTCTTTGACCATGTGTCACAAGAATGCAATGAGGAATTTTGGTTTTCGTAACTGGTGCATACGAAGCTTTGCAAAGCTTCCCGTCGGGGAATCACTCTTTCATTTACACGTTATACCGTTGTTAATATATAACTTTTTTCATAATCAAGCCGACGATAAAGCGAGAATTTTTGTCGCTGTTTACTTTCATGTACCTAAACAAGAGATAGTTGGTACCTACCTGCACGAAATAGATTGCGACTGATCCATTTTGAAGCGATCTACCGTTCAGACGGAAAGAAAACTCCAAAATTGATAGGTCGAAATCCACTCCGTGTAGGTATGTTTAACTTCAGTACCGTTGCAAGCAAGCCACGACAACATTTTCTCTTGCTTTAGTATGCTATAGGTGTTATAGATTGACGATTTAGCAAACGAAGACTCGCTCACCATTCCGAATAATATGAAATGTTCCCAAAATGACTGTAGTCGTAAAAATCGCGATTTCTTGGAATTCGTTTACGAAAATGTTTATTTTACTGCCTATCGATATTCAATACATTTATCTGTTATTCGAATTCAAGGTTAATATATCGAAATACAAACGAAACATCGATAGGAATATATCGAATGGAATTTTGTGTGCATATACGTTTTTCGTTGCACCTAATTGTTCTCATGTTTAAACGGGATTTTTCGAATGAAAGCTTATTTAAAGTTGTGTTGATTTGCATAATAGTAGCGGTATTAGAAGTGTGTTGTCAGGCAATCAGCCCATTCCCCGTATCTAGATGAATAAAAATCGAAACAAATGAGCAAAAAGCACGCGTATATTCAGTTTAGCGAACGCAGGCGCGATCGTAAATTACACTAAAGTGCAGTCCTGTGGGGCGCAAGCGCAGTGTAGAGGTGGTAAAGAGATGGCGTCCACGGCTAGGGGCCAGCTGCAGACGTCTTCTTGCACGCACGCGGACGTGACTACGCGAGGAGAGCTGCTGACCCGAACGATGTTTTCCTGAAATAAACGGAAAGCCGAACATTTTGCACGCTGCTTTGGCAGTAGCTCAAAGCTCTCGCGAGTCTTCTACACTGATCGCACAGTGGCTGGTTACGGGCTAAGCGAGTGAAGCAGCTCGCAATAAAATTGAATCGTCAAGAGCCGAGAAAAAGCACGACCGTTGTTATTGATTGTGCGTGTATGTGTGCATCGCGATTGATTTCCGAAATTACTTTGCACGAGGAAAGGACGTCTCTTCCTCGGCAGCTGCTTCAAGAAGTCGTAAAACCCGTGGTCAAGGAGTGTCGAGTGACATTTGCTTACGTAATGAATATATTTTTGCGGCCGAAAGTAGCATTGTTGGATCGTTGCTGAGCGAGCATCGCTTCAATACTTCGGACTGCAGCCGGCTCGCCAAAATCGTGACAATACCGAAATACACTAAGCATTTCCTAGCTCCGACTCCGACTTAACCGTCCAGTGACCCGATTTTTATTGAACAGCGCGCGCGCGCGCACACACATGAACGTCCTTCCCTTATCTTTTTTACCTTTTCCCGATATCGTTTGGCCTTACCCCAAGGCTCAGCGTGCTTAACAAGCTTTCCTCGATAAGGGCTGCGAGGGAGCTAGCGAAGTTCAGCGCTTGACCGCGCAAATTATGACAAGAGGCGACAATCATGGAAAACTTAAATTGGGATCCCTGTGAGTGCACTATTTTTGTACTTTCATTTCACGCTTCACCGACTTTGTTACGTTGTGTTCTGCTTATACTCAATGCTATTTGCCAGTTTAATTGGATTTACAGAAAAGCTCAGATAATTAATTTTGAAGGCAGAATGGCTATTTTTATCCCTAACTAGTTGATACTTTACTGTCTGACATTAATTAGGCTTGGCTTGATATACATATTTTCAAGCATGCATATTCATTTCAGCTTTGTCAAAATTATTGAGTGCCTTGGAAGCCCACAGAGCTTCTGTACCAAGCTGCTCCGACGAGGAATTCAATTTTCTAACAGATCTGCTGCAGTCCAAGGAATTAAATGCACTTGTGCAAATCTACAACAAGATCAAAGATAACAAATGCTGTGCTATTCTCTCCAATGCCATGGAAATCAATGTTGAGGTACTGGGAATACTGGCATCCAAAACACATTCATCCGAGGAATTCAAGGAACTATTTCACTTACTGCAAAAACCTCATGTGCAGGTAAACATTCCATTGGTTTTGTATTTGTCATGAAATATTCTCTTAGTCAGAAATTTCAATTTGACATCTTTTGCAGGCTCTTCTCATAGCACATGATACTGTAGCTCAAAAAGACTATTATCCAAGACTTCCTGATATACCTGTGGAGGTTGATGAAGAAGAAGAAACTGTAAAAATTGTGCAATTGGTCAAATCTGATGAACCATTGGTATGTTATGTGAAATGTGTGTTTCGTGTTTGTCTTTTGTAAAAATTGATTTATATGAGCTACTAAAAAAAATTTAACAATTTGACTTAAGAGGTATGATACTACACTATGCAAAATAGTTATTTCAACTGCAAACTTATTTGTTTAATATGTTTGTTGACATGCATGAAATTGAACAAAATATTTGTTTTACATATAACTAATGAAAACGTAGTATTGTGGGCTTTTGAGGACCTTTCTAAAGCTCTTCTGTGGTAAAAATTGAATCTGTAATATTTGCAAGTAATCGAATTTTTTTTTCATTGTCAAACTTGCTCCAAAGTCTGGTACTGGCATTGAACCAATAATGGTAAGTGTTGAGAAAGCCCCAGACTTGCATCAACCAAAGCGCGATTATATTTTTCTTTATTAGGCATTGCAATACTTTATTTGTGCTGCTAAAATTAATTTGCAGTCACTCGATGGGTATTATTTTTATTAGCTGCTCATTCATTTTATGACACTGCTTTGTTCTTCTATTGTACAAATTTTATTTACTGTTATTCGTTGTATCTGATCTGCAATGGCTGTGCACTGTGTGTTTAATCATCTTTCGTTTCCATTTACTTTGTTATTGTAAATAGTGCCGTGTAAGAATTATTAAGCTGTATGCATGACTTTATTTCGTTTGTAAATAAATTATTTGTGAAACATATTTCATCACTTTTATTTTTCCCGCATGTATGTAATGTACTTATATTATCCGAAAGCCGAGAGGCAGTCGAGTCGCCGTTACGGCGAAACTTTTTCCACACTGTATTCGCCGTCAAATTAAATTAATCAGTTGGCATCCCTTTTTTGTGTTTCCTCTTGTCATATAACTTTATACGAAATAGCATGTCGTATTGAACGTGTTGTTAATGAAATAATTACCCGCACGTAATAGGGAGCAACGATAAAGACTGATGAGCAAACTGGTAAAATCGTGATTGCTCGTGTAATGCACGGCGGGGCCGCTGACAGATCTGGTCTCATTCACGTCGGAGATGAAATACAAGAGGTCAACGGAGTCAGCGTCGATGGAAAGACTCCAAACGACGTTTTGAAAATTTTGGTAATTGTAATTCGACAATGAGTGTGCCTAAAGCGACTTGAACTGTGTCTAATTTAAGCATTTCATTTTTAGCAAAATTCCGAGGGAACAATTACTTTCAAAATCGTACCAGCGGAAAGCAAGTGTGTGTTTCGAGAAAGCAAGGTAGCCGATGAACTTAGTTGAACGCCTTCGTTCACCATTAAATGACCAATCGCTCTGTCAATATTGCAGATGAGAGTGCGAGCTCACTTTTCTTACAAGGCGTCAGAAGATCCGGAGACACCGTGTACAGAGGCAGGGCTTGATTTCGAAGTTGGAGACGTGCTTCACATCGTTTGCCAAGACGACGCACACTGGTAGGAGCTAACGAATATTGCTGCCCCTATGATTTGTAGGCAGCAGAGCGAAAATAAAAAATGTCAAGCGCCTTTATCGTGGAAACGGCAAGTCGACACTACAGAAAGAACGTTGCATTGTTTAGGTGGCAGGCGAGGAAAGAGGGCGATCGCAACATGCGAGCAGGACTGATTCCTAGCAGGGCGTTGCAGGAGCACCGCATCATAAGACAGAGGCAGCTGCAGGAGAAGTCCGAAGACGACAGTATAAGTAAGAGCATGGACCGGTTGTACCTAATTGTTGTTGATATTGCTAGAGTAGATGTGATAGATGCGTGGTCCACGCTGCACGATTGACCATTCTAACGTATAGAGCAGCAGCAGCGACGGCGACAGCGATAGCGCGTGCACACGTGAAACCCATTTGGCTGACCAACGGCTTGCTAACGTACGATATTTGACCTAACCGTCGGTTAGGCTTGTGTTCTGTTGCAGTGCCTTTGCCCATGCTGTGCCCCCGTCCCTGTACCTCTTCTGTGCATGACTCGCCGACAAAGTGCGGTTTGCACGCGATAAAGACTAAAAAAATCATGTATGCCGCTACAGAGAACGATGACTATGACCGCGAAGAGATCCCCACCTACGAAGAGGTGGTGAAGCTCTATCCCCGCCCGGGTCTTCATCGGCCGGTCGTGCTCATCGGGCCACCGGGGGTCGGCAGGAACGAGCTCAAAAGGCGACTCATGGCCACCGACCCCGCCAAGTACAAGACTCCAGTACCTTGTGCGTTCAGCTCGTCACTCTTGGCAGTCATCTACGACTCGGTTCTCATTCGCCTCATTGCCCTCGACTTTCAGACACCTCGAGACCTCCGCGGGCGGGCGAGGTCGACGGCACCGAGTACTTCTTCGTGTCCCGCGAGCAGATGGACGAGGACATCAACGCCAGCAAGTTCATCGAGTTCGGCGAGTACAAGGGCAACCTTTATGGCACGAGCGCGGAGAGTGTCACCTCTATTGTCGACGCCGGCTACGTGTGCATCCTCAGTCCGCACTACCAGGCGCTCAAGATGCTGCGCACGCCCGCGCTCAAGCCCTTCGTAGTGTACGTCAAGCCGCCGCGGTTCGAGATCCTTAAGGAGACGAGAAGCCAGTCCAGAGCCAGATCCACCTTCGACGAAACCAATTCCCGGGGATTCACCGTCAGTACATTTAGCGTCGCTCGCAGTTCCATCGCCTCGCTTTCGACTGATCGGCCTTGTTTCCTTCGCGTGCTTTCAGGACGAGGAATTCGAGGAGATCCTGCACAGCGCGGCTCGAATAGAGTTCCTTTATTCACACATGTTTGACGAGATCATCATCAACGCCGACTTGCCGATGGCTTTCGAGCAGCTGCTCGCTTCGATTCACAAGCTCGAGACGGAGCCTCACTGGGTACCGGCTTCCTGGGTCTAAATCCGCCGGACTGGACGCCTAGCGAGATCGTTTATACTTTGCGTAGATAATTAGCGAGCGAGGTTTCTTTGTCGAACCACGAGTCTCAGTCTGGATTGATACTACTGGCACAGAGCGACATTTGTTGCTCCAAGCGCCTTCAACATTTTCCAATTTCAATGTTCATCTGCTAAGATCTAAACTGCGTTGCCTGTCCTTCACTGCCCTTTCATCAATTTCGAGCTTTCAAACATTCGCATCAACGTTGACTATCGGTGTTCAAGTGGCGCTACCCAAATGAAAACTCTTTCGAACGGCATGCCATGACTAACCAATGAGCATTCGCTACTTCTCTTCGCAACTAACAGCCGAGCATTTCACTAGCGACTTGCCAGTAGTATTCCCTAGCGTGGGACGAGCAGAGAGCAGAGAAATTCTATTTTTCACTTCTGTGATTGTTATCGACTCGTCGTTGTTATGACTTGCGATTTTTTATGTTGTCTTGAAACCTAGACAAATCTGTCGGGCCAATGGACGAGGACGAGACGCAACGATCCAGCAATTGTTTTCGCTCTTTCTCGGGATGTACTTCACGTAGATTGATTTCCGAATGCTCCGTACCGAGGCGCTTTCGAATGCGCAATACTTGCCTTTATCGAGTTTTTCTAGACTATTTTGACGATCGAATGCGAGCTGCAGGAGAAAAAGCACTGAGCAGGCTTTACGAGTGCTCTTGTTGAATAATATTCTGCAATCCGAGAGAATGAGTACAATAAGTATAAGCGTTAATCTAGAAATCAGTGCGTCATTAGGTTTTACGTGCAATTACTTGAACGTCTTATCGAGTATTCGCAAGAATGCCACAAAATCCACTGCTGTTTTTAATATCAAGAATTTTTTTAACCTACAAGGATATCAATATACATTATATAAAATGTTCAGACTTATCCGATAAAATGAGCAAGATAAAACGAGTGAATCTCTTGTACTTTGTGCCATACAGTACTTTTTAGCTTATTTAGCGTACATATTAAATAAGCCAACGACTCTCGCCGCAAAATGATATATGCATATATCAACACTATTGTGAATAGTAATATAAAAATTCAATTGTTGTTAATTGTTGCCAAATACACACGTTAGTCATTGACAATGTATAAATAAATTAAACGAAAGATTGGGCTTCTGCAAAGGCTCGACTCGAGTTCAATAGTTGTTTCGCGTGAATTTCTACGAATATGACATATTATGTCCATATTGGAATAATGGCCAGTTTAGAGCTGAATGCTCGGAACTTGAGGCTCGGTAAGCTCGGGCCACTCGAGCTTTTTGTAGAAGCCTAGACGAAGGACGAACCGACAACGTATAGATCGCAAATGAATTATCGAGCAGAGAAACGATATATCACGAAAGCAGAGACAGAGAGAACAGGTATTTTCTACATTGCGAGCGACGCCGCGGCGCGGTTCGCGCGCGCTCTCGACTGAGCGAAATGGGTCACGAGGCGCTGTCCAAGCGCGAAAGGCAAAGCAAGGCGGATCGGTGCGAAAAAAAGAAAAAAAAAGAGCGAGAAGGAGAAGGAGACGAGAGAAAAGAATGGACAGCGGCGTGTGCGCGCACGCGCTTGAAAATTCGACGCCGATTGAAATAGACGACCTAGGCACAGTTGGCCGTGGGAGCGTTGTCGCCGATGGGCCTAGACGTTGTCAGTCCGCGGCGAGTGCGCGCCCGCCAACAAGTTGGCATTTTCTTGCACGTTTTTCATCTCTTTTTTTTCGCTCTCGCTTTTTCCGTTCGTTTTCTTTGCTCGCCGGTAACCGCGGCAAACGCGAGATAAGCGCCGTGCCAACGGCCCGACACTAAAATTAGCCGGCGATTGCACAAACTGCTCACCGAAATAGAGAGCCGACGGTCGTCGAGCGACGCGTGTGATGTGTGACGCGGCTCTATTTAAAAGTGCAGGCCCGAATTATCACGATAGCCGCACGATCCGCGTGCGTGTGTGCATGTGTGCACGTGCATCGAATTTCAAGTTGTGTCATCTAACACGTGCAGCTGCAACTGCGGAGCCGAAGCCGCCGACGTTGTCGATTATTATTGCACCCTCTCACGCGCTCTTACGCGCTCTTACGCGCGCACACGCGACAGGTATAAAAAGCCAACTCGTCAACAGACCGACTTTCAGTTATCTTTAGTTTCTTTCTTCGCTCGTTGACCATTGTGTTTGCCTTACCTGAGTGACTGAGTGTGTGTGTATACCTACATATATAGAGATATATACACGAGACGAGTAGCCGCCGAGGAAGCGATTTGATCTAGACATATCAATAACCAATGCTCTGTTTGCAATTACGCTCTTCGTTGACCCTCTTAGCCAACGTATGTATTTCTTTTCCAATACAGATCCCTATGTTCAATAAAATTGTACATGTTATCGAAAATACAAGCAGTCGTTTCATTCCAAAGAAAGAAACCCAGTGCCCGAGCGATCAAGTTGGATCGGGGCTTTCGGGCAAGTAGCGGCCGAAGGCAAGTGGTGCTGATAGTCGCGCGCGTGCGTCGTTCAGGCGGCAAGTGGTTAGGCGAGCGAGCGAGACCGGCCTGCATTTTGAACTTTGGCCCAGTGGGTGATCAACCTCTCCGCCTGCTCGGCCGCCGCTGGCCAATACGAGCGCAAGCCTGCCACGCAGTGCTCACGCGACGCGAGTGACTCGACAGTGAGAGCAGCCGACGGGCCGGCGGACGCCGCCTCGGCGTGGAATGAGGATAACGAGCGACCGAGCGGTAAGTAATGGATGATGGGGCGTCGAGTGCCCGCGACGATCGCGCGGCCGAGGAGCGACCGCGGCGGGAAGCACTCGTCGACGAGTCGCGATCGATTTAATTCGCGCCAGTTTCACTCTAGATTTTCCTCGCTCAATCTTCGCTCGGCTCTGTTGCTCGCGATCGATCCACACGCATCGCCCTCAACAGCTCGAACGCTTCCTGCCAAAGTAACTTCGAGGTACTTTGTTACAACTATCCGCTCGATAGGTTGCGTATAGGCAACGACGTATTCGCAGCGACGGCCCCCGCGACGAACAACCGATGCTGCGGGCGGCCCGCCATCCTCGTCGAATCGTCAACCGCGCGTCCCCGGAATGGTGCTGGCGAGTGGCTCGACCTCCTCGCAACCCGAGTCGTGGTTCACTCGCAAGATCAAGATACGGCAGGTAACTCCGCTCGCCACTCTGCCTAGTTCTGGCCTATCGATTTTCATTGTCATCGCGTTGCTTCTCGATTCGGCCTTTCCGCACGACGTGCAATCAGGACGCGCGCGCGACTTGAATGGGGACGACTGCGCGACGAACCTAAGGCACGCGTGACTCACTCGCCGCTAGCATCCCGCGGAAACGAGAGAGAGAGGGAGAGAGAGAGAGAGAGAGAGAGAGAGAGAGAGAGAGAGAGAGAGAGCTAGGTGGGTCTGGTCGAGCAAGAAATATAAGAACGTGCGAGGAAATGGCACACAGCGCTATCGCGGATACGAGGCGTCGCCGGTGCCCGTCGAATTACGCTTAGCGACGCGCTAATGGAGCCGCGAGCGCGAAAACAAGCGCCAACTGCGACTGACGAGCGAGCGAGCAAGAGAGCAGAGTCCTTTATACCGCGTGCCCTCACGTGCGGCAATACAGCTGCGAGGAATATAACTGGGGCGAGGGGGACTCGCGCGACGTGCTCTGGGTCTCGTCGCCTGTCCGACTGCCCCGCAAACCCTCGGATGAGCGCGTCGCTTGCAGCCTGGGCACGAGCTTTCACGCCGCGCCGGTCGCGTTGGTCGCGCGTACGCGGCACATCCATCGATCGCCAGCCCGAACTTGTCTCGCGCGAAAAAACCAAAGTTCGGCTTGCGAGAGCGATAACGACTAGGCGCGAGAGCGAAAGTTTGCCGGGGCATAGCGTGGCATTTATCAGCGTCCGACCGAACTCTGGCCGTTCCACTGGAACGGGGGCGTAGGTGGTTGGGCGGGTTGGTGCCAGGCCACTTGAGCGCCTAGCCAGACCGAGGGTGCGACAGAGCGTAGCTACGCGCTGGCGGCTGTATATGTAGGTGAGTGCGCCGTAAAACGCGCTTGTGGAGCGGCGGCGTCGAGTAGGCAGTGCTTTTCTATTCTCAGCGGAAAGCCGAAGAGAGAGAGAGAGAGAGAGAGAGAGAGAGAGAGAGAGAGAGAGAGAACGAAGAGGCTGGCGTCGCTCTCGACGGAGGGAGGCCGCGATGTTCAACGATCGATCCCGCTGCCGTGCAGCCGCCGCGCTGGGCGTCGATGCTGATCTTGACGAGTTTCCCGCGGATCGCGTGCGCGCGAGACAAGAGGCGCAGCGTTGGCCAATCGCCAACGACGTCGCCGAGGGAGACCGGCTCGCGCGGGACTGGCGCGGACACGCGTTCCGATCAACGCGAGTGCCGAGCGGGTCCCATGGATCGGCGCGCTGGCAGCAGTCCGAGAAGATCGAGTCTCTTCCGAGCAGCACGCACCGACACGACTCGCAGTCCGCGCGACGAAATACGGCCGGCCGAGATGGAACCGCAACGATTTCCGCTATTCTCGACGAGCGTCCGCGAGAAGTCGGATCATTTAAATTTAAAACGGCTCTTGCGTTGGTTCCGACAGGTACACGTGGGCGTGTACCCGTCTGTAAACAAGCGCGTCGAAAATGGGAAGAGCGCAAGCCAATGCACGGTCCGTCGGAATGCCGAACGGAGCGGGAAAGCTACGGTTAAGATCAAAGATCGATTGGGTTATCCATTGGAGTGTAAACGAATCGAGACAAAGATAGGACGCGGAAGCGCCGGCCGGGTAACTCCCGCACAGGCGAGCACGCGGCTCGACCTTGACTGCCGCCACAAACGAACTCGCGAGACGCATCGAGTGCTCGGCGCTGGCGCACGGAAACGCTCCAAAAATACTCGGGCGAGCACGCACTAGCGCGCGATGTACGACCGACGAGCCAAAGAACAGCCGAGTGAGACGTCGATGTGTGCGTGCAACAGATCGCGGACAGCGGCCGCGGCAGCGCGAGTCAGCGGGCGCCGGGGACCATGGCCACTAGGGCGCCGCCGAGGCAGCAGCAGCGGCACCAGCAGCAGCGACAGCAGGAAGCAGTGGTAAGCATACCGCGCGATCATCGATCCGAGATTCCTCTCTCGGAAAGAAAGGGCGGGAGGGGGGCGGGCGCCTTACGAAGCGCTGCTCTCTGCTCCCGCGCGCCGGCGTGCCGCGCGGCTCGAGTATCGTATTCCGATAAAGGCGCCGCGCCGCGACTCGAGGACGAGGGCCGCGCGGCACGCCAGGCCGGGCGCTTTTATAATAAGCTCGAGTCCAGCGAGTCGAGCATAAAGGCTTTTGAAAGCGCGCGGGGCGAGCCTTGAGCGCTCCCCCTCGGCGCCTAGCTCGCTATATTTATCGAGGGCTGCGGCCGCGGCGCGCGGCCGACGCGAGGGGCTGCAGCTCACGCGGACGGCGCGCTGCTCGCAGAAGGTGCGGAAGATCACGGCGGAGAGCGGCGGAGGCGCGAGCGCCGGTGGCGCCAGGCAGCAGCGGCCTCGAAATAGCGCAGACGGCGGCGGCGGCGGCGGCGGCGGCGGCGCAGTCCTGCAGTCCAGTAGCGCGAGCGCAGCGGGCCGCAACGCCACGGGACGAGCCGCCTCGCCCGTGCTCTCGCAGTCGGGCCGCCGCCAGGCCGCGCCTCCCCGGAGCCGCAGCCCCAGCCCCAGCACCCGCGGGCCCGCCGGCCAGCCGGCCCCGGCGCCGACCTCGCTGCTCGCGGGCCTGCTGCGCAGGCAGCGCCGCGCCGCCGAGCCCGCGCCCGCGCCACTCGGGCCGCAGCCTCGCAAGTGCGTGTCCTTCGGCGCGGACGCGGCCGAGCGCCCGCGGGCCGCCACCGGGCGGCCGCGCCGGCCGGCGCACGAGGCCAGGCTCTACCGCAAGGGAGTGCTGCAGGGTGAGTATTCGGGCGACGCGCGGCCGGCGCGGCCGCCGCCAGTCTCTGAGCAACGATCGACTGTTGCGCAGATCGGCAGAGCCGCGGCTCGCGCGAGGCCGCCGCCGACGACGGCAATCTGCCCTTGTCCTGGGAGGAGTGCCTGGGGGGGCCGCGGGCCCTCCTGGGGGCCGCGCACGACGCCGACGACGAGCTGGTCCAGCGGATCGTCAACCTCGCCAACAAGGCGGGCCTGGGCAACATCCAGCTGAACGCCCAGGACAACAGCGGCCGCGTGAGTAGCGCCCGGCGCCGCGGTCGCGCGCACGTCGCCGATCCCTGAACGGTCGTTGCGTTGCAGACGGCGATCAGCTACCTGGCGGGCAACGGCAGCGCGCTGGTGCTCGAGGCCTGCCTCGCGCTGCCCGGCTGCGACGCCAACCTGGCCGACAACGAGGGCAACGCGCCGCTGCACTTCGCCGCGCAGGCTGGTCGGTACGCCGCGGCCGCTCCCCGATCGGCGCTCACCTCTGCCCTCTGTTTGTCGCGCAGGCCAGACCGAGTGCCTCAACATCCTGCTGCAGCGCTGCCCCGACATCGAGGTGGACGCCAGGAACAACCTCGGCTTCACGCCGCTCATGAAGGCCGGCCTCCAAGGCAGGACCAAGTGCGCCAAGATCCTGCTGTTTGCCGGTAACTCGCCGCACTGTTCCCTAGCGCCCCGCGCCCCGCCGACTCACGCCGGATTTGCGACCCGCACAGGTGCCAATCCTACGCTGCGGGACCACGGCCGCGGGCTGCGCGCGGAGCAGTGGGCCAGGTTCTGCTGCAGGTACGTGTGCGCCGACGTGATCGAGCGCTTCGCCCGGCACCGGCTGCTCGAGAAGACGACCTCGTGCCGCTGGGGCAGCGAGCCCGAACTCGCCGCGCAGGTGCTCCAGGGCAAGGTACTCCGCGCGCCGCGCACTCGACGCCGCGCCGTGGAGTGCAGCTTTGGCCTCTGTTTTCAGCTGGTACCGGTGCCGCCGACGCCGGTGCAGGCGCCGCCGCCGGCGGGCGGCCTAAGGTCCAAGATCCGACGGGTGTTCCGCACCACCTCCAACACGGACAAGACGAGCTTCTCGCTGGTGTCGCAGCTGACGAGCGCCGCGCTCTGCGCGAGCAGCCCGGTGCTGCCCAAGCCCGGCGACGTCTCGCCCGCGGTCAAGAGCCTCCTGCGCCCGCTCAGCGTGCCCCAACTGAGGTACCACTCCAGTTTTTACGCGTAGCTCACGTGACTGTCGCACGCTCGCTCGGACCCTACCGCTACTTCTCTCTCTCTCTCTCTCTCTCTCTCTCTCTCTCTCTCTCTCTCTCTCGCTCGCTCGTCCTCGCTTTCTTCTCGTAGTTTTTCCGTTCTCGTCGCCGCCACTACTCTTTGTCAATTCAGTGCTCCGCTACGCGCTTCGAATATTAAATGCGTCTGATAGAGCTTTATTGAAAGCGCCAGTGCGGCTGCTACTTGTATCTCGTGCTTATATATAGAGTCGCTGCTCTGTTGTGTGCCTGTGTGTGCTGCTGCTGCTCGAAAATCACGTGTTTAACGCTCGCGCTGTCAATTACACTTTGTTGAGAGAGAGAGCAAGCTGCGCAGACTGCCGCCGCCACATCCACGTAACACGCTATAATCAATGCTGAAAAGAGATCTTGCTTCTTTCTACTTGTATCTCATTTTCAATTAACCGTTTAACCAAATAAACAGACCTTTTCTGCTTTGCCTGCCAGCCTCTTACATACAGCGCCCGTAGCTCACTGCATCGACCACAAGATCAAAAACTAGCTTCGAATTGCTCTGCTTTTGCCGTCTTCTCATCTCAATATCTCAATTTTCTTTCTCCCTCGTTTCCAATAACTTGTTTATTTTTAAGGATAACGCTCGTTGCGCCCCAGGACGTGGTCGCCGAGAAAACGCCCGACAAGTGCAGTCACGGCACGACTTTCACCGAAAAAATCGAAAGCACAATGGTCAAACCACCACGAACGAAAAAGAACAGTAAATAGTTAAAAATCCGCGGCTGTTCTTCTTCCCTATACACTGCGTCGCATCCGCCCGCGCCTTGACATCTTTATCATCCAAGATTTAGCGCTGCTATATTCAACATAACGGGCGCGATGATGCACTTTGCCGGCATACGCTGCCCCCACTTGTTAATATATCCTCACATGCATACATATGGTATTTTCCTTGCATTGCCAACCAATTTATCGTTCTAGCTGTAAACAACAAGTACTACGTACTTGATCAATTTTTACACAAGTGCCCGCTGTCTCTCTGTCGACAGACTATAATTATACATTGATACATGTACCATTATTATCATCCAGCGAAGTTAATCACGTTCATTTTGGTATTATACAAAAGTGTACAATGCACAAGTTTGGTCCTGGCATTTTTGTACGGAGAAACGTCAAACTGTTGTCTTATATAATATACATATACTGTTATATATTTGTTTAAATACATTCGTTCCAACGTATCAATTGTAAATGTAAGAGTGATTTACGCATATTTGTCAATGTGATCGTAGCCGAGAATGAATGAATCGAAATCGGAGGGCGGGATCAGTCTTGAAAAGTTACAAATATCATTACTGACGTACAAACATTTCAGATCAACTGTCGTCGTACTTTTTGTTTTTTCTATCGCCGATTTTTGAGAAAATCTCGTAGGCTTGCTGGATCTTGAGGAATCTGTCTTGTGCCGCGCGATGCTTCTCCTCCGTGGCCTTCACTTTGTCCGGGTGGTGCTGGTCAATGCACGCCACTTTGCGGTTACCTCGCTTTGCGAGGCGGTTTGCGAGAAGCCCAACACCTGCGCATCCGAGTTCGGCTCTTGTTATTCTTTACATACGACCGCGGGCTCCGAGGGTTAGATTGATGCTCACTTTGTAGGCATTGATCTCTCCGCGTGAATCCGTGAGGTCAATCAACTGTCGCCAGGTCACTCGAAAGCCTTTTTGCCTGAGTTTTGCCTGAATTTGCGTTTCTTCCTGACAGGCCTATTTTAAAATAGTCCTTCGTTTACGCTTCCTTTTTTCAATGAAAAACCAGTGTGAACTTATCGATTTATCGGCAAATGAAAATAATCACGAGCGAGTAGCAGGATTACCTTCAGATCAAGCCATATGGGCGAGGTGAACAGGTGTTTTATGGGTTCGGACAGCTTGATTTCTTCTTCCTCGGTGTTGCTAAGAGCCGCGGAAAATCCAGTCCTACGGAAGATGCAGAATAACTTGAAACTAAGATTCGATGCAATAACCATAATGCCTAGCCAAGTGATCTCGTCTCCGATGCAGTCAAGCGTCAAATAACAAAGGTACGACGCAAACAAGGCTGTCCATATCGAGCCTTGTTCTCGGCCTACATTTCCAACTAGCCACGTTCTTGGATGGATATTCAATCGTTTATTATTAGTCCGACAATCGACGAATAAAACATTATTTTATGTCTCGACTCATTCCTCATAGACTACTGTTCGTTCAATAATATATCATCGCATATATTATTTCAAAGTAATTTTGCATAGCTGCGCAAAAATAAACGAGGGAATAAAACTGCCTTCATTCTTAGATGTGTCGACATTGTATTAGCGTATGCATGAAATGCACGCGAGCACCTTACTCTGATCTAAAGCAAATTATCATTAAATTTCCCTTGTACTTGACTGCGCTATATTAAAAAAAATCAGTATAAAAAGGAACATTTCGTTTGCTAAACTCATCATTAGGATGATGAGCGGTTTAAAATTGATTCCGTTGATTTCGTCTTCTGGAATGACAATTAGAATAAACTATCCAAACAAATACTGTATCGTCATAGCTCCGACGAAACGAAGCGTGGCTAACGGCAGCTAGAACGTTTATTTGTTGGCATTAAATTATCCTTTTCATTTTGTCGTTTGTATTCAAAGAGTAAAAAGAGCATCGTCAAAAAATTACTTTTTTGTTGAAGCGGACTTGATGCTTCAACCAATCGATGTAATCATGCTGGTCGTTAGGGTCGGCCACGTAAGTAATTTTCTTGAAGAGGTTCCTGAGCTAGCCAAGTTCAACGCAGCTGCTCAACCTACAGAATCAGACGGCCGGTCGCTGAGGTAGACCTGCTATGCCCGAAAATGCCGGCAATCAGCCATCAAAAGTAGATGTGTTTGGCGTTCGTCTTCGGTTCGGTCTGGGCCCTTTTTATTATCGTTCAATCTGCTTTGCCTCGTTGCCGGCGGCTCCACAGTATAGCTAGCCAACTATGTGCATCTGTATAAATACGCGAATACGAATCACTTTGTCCATAGCAAGACGGTGAACGTCATTTCCAGCGGCGAGTGGCAAACTATTAGATTGCCAGCTAGTGTTCTTGGTAGAGAGTATTGATGTTTTCCGGCTAAGTTTGAAATGACATAAGCACCGAGACTGGAGCAACAGGTGTAGCTGGTAAGGCCTTGGCATTGTGCTCGAAAGTATGCTACGCTCGTGCGCGCGACAATGCTCACGCACAGGAGGACCGACCGATGACCCAGTTTTATGCGCAGCACAGGGCAGATGGATAATTTACTACGTAGGCTCGAGCAAAGACTGTTTCAACGTTCTGCTGGCCAAAAGGGCCACGGAACCTCAAGATATAGTGAAGATCTTTATTTGGAATGTGTATGAGCCTCTTGCATGATTATGATTTTTAAGTTATCTTCGTGAAATTTGGCATTGAATCCTTTTTGTTAAATGAGTGTAGTTTTACATTCGCACAACCGTAACTTGTCTAACTTACAAAATTTGTTATTTCGCGTTTTTATTATTGAACTGCGATGGTGAAAAGAACTTGTATAAGTTGCCGGACTGTATTGCGTGCATACTATGCCATCGGACTCCTTAGTTGCCACTGAATGGAAAATTCTCTGAAAATCATCGAATCCGCAATTTAATTAAAGGAATTTTTCGCTTCAATGTTATTTTCGAGATAAAATATGCTAATAAAAGAAAACAAAATGGACTCGTTTCATGCTCTATAGGCAACGAGGCCAAAACAATTTTTTTGATAGCAGTACTAACAACCGTTTCGAGATTGAGATTTGTTCCAATCGCAGCCGTCGAGAATCACGTAGTGCTACCATTTTCATCTAGATTTATCGCATAACAGTTTTATCTCAAAATTACGATATCACGTTGCAATTTCATCGCAGAAAGCCAGCATCACCATTGGTCGAACCAAATGTTCTGAACAGTATAAAAAACAAGCGTCAGCGCATTTCATCAAATTATTTATTATAATTTGTATATGAAATCTGTCCACAAATACGTGAAATAGATTTAGTTCATTTTGTAAAATAACAATTCTTTCAAATTCTTACAAATATTACCTTGTATGATGAATACTTCAATTAAATATCTTAATCGAAACGGTTATAGTATGTTATCAGGGTACATGAGGTTTGAATGAAAAGAAAATAACGATGAAGTAACCTCTACTTATCTCGCAGTAATTTTTATGAAAAACATAGGTCTATGTGGTAACATAAGCAATTTGCAACATCGCGCATCAGAATTCGACAATGTAAGGTCTCGAAATAGATTCACGTGAGCCCCTTACGTTGTTTACGGTAGGATTGTTCAGTTATTGTCAGGATTATTGTCAGGCTATATCACCTATTGAAACAGCTGAATAAAATATCAGAATAAACAAAAGTGTATAAATAATATCATGCATACACATACAAAGTACAGATTTATAAAATTAAAAAAAAATAATTAAGATTTGTTTTCACCTTGACGAATATTTTCATATCTATGCAAACAATACAGCTGTAATGAATTAATTCATTAGTTGATATTTATCTCCATTTGTATTGACAATTTTTTAAAATATTTATAACCATTTAAATATTTATAACGGTAAGTATGCTTTTATAAATTATACCTACGATTATCTGAAATACTTGTTTTTGAGTTAATAATTATTTTTAATGATTGTTAGCAATTCTAAGCAGTTGTGTTGAAGAAGATTTAATTCCTCTATAAATTGGAATGGCAAACTTATTTCAATAATATCAATGCTTTTAAAACTAAATATCGGCATGAAAAATTATATAAATACTTAGATGAATGGCGTTTGTGCTCATCTGAATTAATTAGTTTTTAGTTGAAAATTATGTTAATATCGCCCAGCTATTGTATTGATCTGGCGTGTAGCTTATTAAACTGCCAAACATAAAAACAAAAAAACTTTTTGCTCTTTACGATAGCATTCCGCCAGTGCAGCGTTTCTCTTTTTGAATTGAAAATATTTCACAAAAAAGGTGATTTAATCTAATTAATCACAATAGATAATATATAATAGATTCATTATTTAAAATAATATATTTCTTTCTAAGCATATTAATATACAATAATTATGTCATCTTAATTTTACTCGCGCTTGTAAAAAAATATTAAGTATTATTTGTCAGAGAATTTTTATATTTAAAAATTAATATTTTACTAGCTATCATGATTGAACATAAAATTAAAAACGTCAGAAATCAATTGTTTATGGTAACAATTCAAATAAGTCCAACAACGCTTGATAATTGGATATAGTGGAAATGAAATTAATTTCAATATTGAATTCTATTTCAAATAATTAAAGAAGAATTATATTTCTTAATTTAAACTATTTCTGCCAAATTAAAAAGTTGATATAGATTTTACATATACGTTTATGCATACAACAGAATGATTGTAACATGCTAAATCAACTTATTTTTAATAGCAAATGCATCTAATAACAACTTAGTTTACTGAAAAAAATATTTACATAAAAATTATAATGAATATTGAAAATCTCCTTTCCTGTATACATTGCGTCTTACTCACCCGCGTGTTGCCATCGTTGTCATCCATGATTTATTACTTTATATATGTAAGATGACACTGCCTTTCACTTGTTAATATATTGGTCACATGCATATACATCATATATTTCGTTCGTTGCCAATCAAATTATTGTTATAATTGTAAACAACAAATACTATGTGCATGATCAATTTTTACACAAGTACCCGCTGTCTCTCTGCCGATAGAGTATTATACACGGCGGAAATATCCTATACATTGATATATGTATAATTGTTATCATCTAGCGACTTTGACCAGGTTCATTATTATCATACAAAAGTGTACAATATACAAGCTTGATCCAGGCATTTTTGTACGGAGAAACGTCAAACTGTTATCTTATATACATAAACTGTTAATATATATTTGTTTAAATACATTCGTTCCAACATATCAAATATAAATGCAATAGTAATTTATGTAAATTTGTCAATGCGATCGTAGCCGAGAACCAACGAATCATTACAAATGATCGCAAACAGGGAGTCGGAGCACGGAATCAGTCTTGAAGCGTCACAAAAATCATTATTGACTTACAAATGTTTCGGATCCACTGTGGTCGGATTTTTTGTTTTTTCTTTGTCGGCGATTTTTGGCGCTTGAGAGAATTTCGTAAGCTTGCTGGATCTCGAGGAATTTGTCTTGTGCCGCTCGACGCTCGTCCTCTGTGCCCTTCACTTTGTCTGGATGGTGCTCCCTGGACAATGCACGCCACTTTGCGGTTACCTCGCTTTGCGAGGCGGTTTGAGACAAACCCAACACCTGCGCATCCCAGTTCGGCTCTTGTTATTCTTTAGATACAACAGCGGGCTATGAGGGTTTGTTTAATGCTCACCTTGTAGGCGTTGATCTCTCCGCGTGGGTCCGTGAGGTCAATCAACTGTCGCCAGGTCGCCCAAAAGCCTTGGTGTTTTGCTTGAATCCACGTTTCTTCGAGACACGTCTATTTAAAAATAATCCTTCGTTTATGCGTCCTTTTTTCAATAAAAACTAATGCGCGCTTATCGATTTATCGGCAAATGAAAATAATCACAAGCAAGAAGCAGGATTACCTTCAGATCAAGCCATATAGGCGAGGTGAAGAGGTGTTTTATGGATTCGGACAACTTGATTTCCTCTCCCTCGCTATTGGTAAGGGTTGCATTGAAATAAAAGTAACTGCTCCAGAGTCCACCGTAGACAAGGGCAAACATGACAAAAAAACCGATCCTACGGGAGCTGCTCTTTATTTTCCTTCTTCTCAATCTCCACTCCTTGGAAAATGAATCAAAACTGAGAGTCGATGAAATAACCATAATGCCCAGCCAAGTGCTCTCGTCTCCGATAAAGTAAAGCGTCGGGTAACACAGGTACGACACTATCAAGGATGGCCATATCGAGCCTTGTTCTCGGCCTATATTTCCAACTAGCCACGTTCCTGGATGGATATTCAATCGTTTATTAATAGTCCGACAATTTGCCGAAATAGCTTTATTTTATGTCTCGTCTCATTTTTTCATAGACTTCTATTTGTTCGTTTGATTGATGTGAACACCCATATATTATTTCAAAGTAATTTTGCATAGCTTTGCAAAAATAAATGAGGGAATAAAACTGCCTTTACTTCTATAGTCTTTGTTAACACTAGTAATATTTAGCACGCTATGCGCGCTCATCGTTTTTTTTTTGCGTTCATTTTAATGCACGAATATAAATCAAACCTTTTATTGGTGAAAATGAAAATATAAAAGTTCAATTTGGATTAAATATTCTTTGGATTTGATATGAGATATAGTCGGCGACATTATTTACTGGTAGCAGTTACGTTGATACTCATAGTTTGAAAATATTATCAATGAAGTTTTAAGTTTTTATCATCGCAAGTTGTATATTGAAAATCACCATTTAAAAGTTAAAAAAATGATAACAAATGTATTAGAAGTTCGAACAACATTAAATCTTTTTATAGTCACATTCTTCACGAAGTAAATAACATACTTCGGTATAGAACGCTATAATTAGCAAAGCTATGATTTGCACCTTTTCAAAAAAAAATTTAATATCCTACGTAACTTAATAAAGCCGAAACTGTACCATATTTTATCGTAATAATCTGTCAATTTATATCTTTTATTGCCTACTTTATTTATTTAAAGTTAAACTTAGTTCAATTAATTTCTCTGCTGAGGTATCAGTCGGTCATTATTTTGAGATTATTATAATTAAAATAGCTGTCAATTCATATTAAATTCATGCCAACTATACTTCCATTCATCTTTGATATACTGATACATTTTTTGAACATTAATCGTCCAGGAAAATCTGCAGCAATCATTCATAAGCGTATACAACATATACTATCACATAACAACTAATCACGTGACTATATTTTTCAGCGAATCAGATGATGAATAAACTGGCTTTACGTTGTTAGGTTCTCTTTTTTTTTAGAAGAGGAGGGTTGTATTAGTACATGCATGGAATACACGCGAGCACTTTGCTCTTATCTAAAGAAAATTATCGTAAAACTTGCCTTGTACGTGATTGCGTAGCTATATCAGTTTTAAAATGGAATGTTTTATTTTTACATTAAACTCACCGTACGCTACAGCAAGTGGTATTAGGATAATGAGCCGCTTGAAATTGATTCCAATGATTTCATCTTCTGGAACGGCAATTAGAACAAGCTGTCCAAACAAATACGATACCATCACAGCTCCGACGAAACGAAGCGTGGCGAACGGCGGCTAGAATGTTCATTTATTTGGATAAAATTGGTCTTTTAATTTTGTCGTTTGTATTGAAAAAGGAAAAAGAGTATCGTCAAAAAATTACTTTTTTGTGGATGCGGATTTGATACTTGAGCCATTTGATATAATCAGGTTGGTCATTAACGTCGGCCACATAAGTGGGTATCTTGAAGAGATCCCTGAGCCAACCAAGTCCAAAGTAGCCGCCCAATGTACAGAACCAGACTACCGCGTGCTCATCTCTGCGGAGGTAGATGTGGTGCGCTCCGAAGATACCACCAAATAACCACCAAAAGTAGGCCCAAAATTTGCTCTTCAAATTGACGTTAGCATTCTTTTCAGTGGCGTTCGGGACTTGGCCGTTCGTCCTTGATTCGTTACGGGCCCTATTCATATTCGATCAATCTGTGTTCCCTAATTGCCGATAATTTCACAGTGCAGCTAGTTGACTATATACATCTGTGAATGCAAATCTCTTTAACAGTAGCAAAATGGTGTACGGTGGATAACCCAGTTTTGAGCAGAACACAGGACACTTGTATATTTTCCCTCGTAAGCTCGAACGAAGACTGGTTGAATGTTCCGCTGGCTACGAGGATAACGGAACTTTACCTGGCTAAAGACGTGGTAGCAGAGAACACACGCTGCCTGCCATTGAAGTCGACTCTTACTCGTACTAACTTCTGTCTTTCCCTTTCTAGTACTTTTATTTCGTTACATTTCCTCGTCAATTTTATTATCCCACAGTAATCTTTAAGAAAGCCACTGCAAAATTTCAATTATTTTCAAAGATTAGTTTGTCGACTAATTCCACAAGATTTGAATTTAATCGATTCGACTGAGTTAACGGCAGAATCGATTGTCGATAACAACGATTAAGTATTTGTATTCGGAATATTGGAATTGGAATCTTTCTGTAGATTGCAGATGGCGCAACTATGACTTCCTGCCTGGCTATTTATTTTATCTTCGTCACCTGAATGAATATAAAAATAGACTTAGTCTACTGATTGTCAGTAGAATAAATGAGAAAAAATTACAAAAATTGAGATTCCGTAAGTTCACAAATCCATCCGATATAAGCAGTTAAAGGAACAATAATTATTTTGAAGCATGCGCAGTTACGCATTTTCAAGATGGCGCTCGTCGTCTGCTATTGGTGGCTGTACTGCCGCCATCCGCAGATACGCGCATCATTGGCAGCTTGGTTTAGGTTTGGCGCTAGTGGCGACGACATCTAGCTCTTTCCGCAATCCATTCTACTACTGTCCGCGTTGCTTCGCGCAGTTGTACTAGTCGAGTGCTTATTTGCAATCGTAGGTGTTACGTATAAGCATATAGGGGTACTTAGCGGACAGTGCGTGTTTATACATTGATTCTTTTTAATAAAACTTGAGCGACAAAGGAAAAACACAAACCGTTCAAAATGTCCGGTTATGGAAAGCGAGCTTCCCAAGCGGCCAAGCCATAGGGACTGGCGACGCCAAGTGAAAAAACAGCGACGCAAGCGCCTACGACAGAAAGCCGCCCGGGAGCGTGATCAGGAAGAACAACGTTTGCAGCTTGTTTTCGAGCAGAGTGAAGACTACTTACACTGGTTCAAGGAGCAGGAGCACTTGCGACAAGAGGAGGAAAAACGCGCGCGTGAGGAACACGATAGGTTGGAAAAAGCCTGGCTCGAAGCTGAGGTGAGTGTACGATGCGTCTGCATCATGTCAATTGGTCGCGTGCTGCGTACTTTCTTAAGTTAGTTTTACATTTGCCAATTTCTATTTGTTAGGTGAAAGCTCAAAAGGAGTGGGCGATTTTACAAGAACGCAAAGCCAAAGCTAGGGAAGTACAGTTGGCTCAGGAGGAAATTATCAGGAAAGAATTCGAAGCCATGCAAGAAAATAGTCGCAAGAAGAAGGAGGCCGAGAGGCGTAGAAGGGATGAGCAAAAGAAATTGTTTGAACGAATGAAGAAGGAAATTGATGCTTACATCGATGATGGGTCTAGAACTCCTAAAGTTTTTCGCACTCTTAGCGAGACTCAGCCAGGCAAAGAAATTTGCCCATTTTTTACAAAAACTGGAGCCTGCAGATATGGAGATATCTGCTCTCGTAATCACCAGAGACCTGGTCTTAGCACAGTAATTCTTGTGCCCAACTTTTATACTCATTATTCATTAGAGAGACACTCTTATCACTCTGATGATAGACTTGAGTATGATCATAGGGAAACTCGGAATCATTTTCGTGATTTCTATTTTGATGTTGTACCAGAATTGGAGAAGTTTGGGAAAATCAAAACTTTACAATATTGCAAAAATACTGAAGCTCATCTCAGGGGCAATCTATATGTTGAATACTATACTGAAAGAGAGGCTGCAAGAGCTTTGCGTGGTCTCAAAGGACGATGGTACGCTGGGAGACAACTGCATTGCGAGTTTGTCAATTTGAAATCGTGGAGAGGTGCCATCTGTGGAATGATGCGTTGCCCGAAAGGAAGTTCATGCAATTTTCTACATGTTTTCAAGAATCCTTCTGAAGAATACAACGTCAAGAGTCCACCGCTGTGGCAAAAAAGACAGGAACAATTTGAGTCAAATTCATCTCGAGACAGCTCTTCTCGCAGAGGCAGCAGCAGGTAAAATTTTCACTATGTGAATTTTTTTTTTCTAAAGTTTCTTTCTACAGGCAGATATAGATACACAAGTAAAGATTAAAATAAATTTGCAGTTATAATTTTGGTAACATATTCACTGTGGTGGGTAACATGGAATGATCATAATCCTGTGTATTTATAAATTTTAGACGATCTAATTGGGAAGATCGTGATCAGGACCGTAATTGGAGATGGTCAGAGTCTCCAGAGCCAGATAACAGAAGACATGACAGAGGAAGACCGAATCAATACAATAACAGACCAATGCAGAGGAATTTCCAACCTCGTAATCAGTATAATAATCGTGGTGGTTTTGACAACCGCCGAAATGATAGAAATTTCTATGATAACAGACGCGGAAGAAATTTCAATAATCGATTTGATGACAGACGCGGAAGGTAAATATTTGCATTTCTATATTTGAATTTCTAGCGTGACAAGCCCCGCTCACTAATATTTTGCTAATTTCAGGCAACACAACTTTAATGACCGTTTCAAGCGTCGCTACTCAGATTCCGACAACAATGACGACTATGGTTCCAAAATGAGGCGTAGGGAGAGAAGGAGTAGGTCCCCTCGTTCTCGCTCTGGATCTCGATCGCGTTCCATTTCTAGATCACCGTCAAGGTCGCGATCCAGGTCTCGCTCTCCTCGCTCCCGTTCCATATCTCGGTCAATGTCTAGATCAAAGTCCCGCTCTCATTCTCCACCATCTCGCGGCCAAACCAGATCTAGGACTCGTTCCCGAAGCCCGATACGTCAAGCGCCGGCTGATGATGGATTTAACAACTCGAAGAGACCAAAGGAGAGGCCCAGGGAGATGCGTCCTATAGAACGTCCTAGTAGATCTGCGTCGGTCGAGAGAAAACGTAGACCCCCGTCTCCGGAACACGAGCCTCGAGAACAAAGTTTCTCAAAGGTTAGATAGGTTGATAATTGCAGATTGCTTAGTCAATAAAATTTCTTGCCTCGGTGTTGTCATCATATTAATACGTCAATATTTATTTTTATTCAAAGGAAATGAGACCACCACCGAGTCGTCCTGCATCGAAATGGGATAGCGAGAAGCGTGAATCGAGCCCAGAAGGCCAACGCTCTCGATCCAGATCGAGATCAGCATCGCCTTACAACAAGGCCCCTGCGAAGAAAAATAGCTCGCAGAAGTCGCAGCAGAGACATCCTCAAGAATATTCAAAGCCAACAGCTAATTCCAAGTCCAATAGCCAGAAAGAATATGAGTGGGATACGACCGATTCAGAACACGAATAGTTTTTAGAATTGTAACAAGTCGGGAGTATAGCATATGTGTACAGCTAATGCGTACATCAATATTTTTAATATTATTGTGTACGGCTCTCAAGCTTCCGATTGCCCAAGATGTCATTCAAAGATTACGATAACCCGAGTTTGATTACTTGTATTAATTATCTGTACCACGAGTCAAAGATATCTGCGTCGATCTCTCTCGCATACCATCTATTTTTTTAAACAGCAGTTCTTTTCAACTGAAACAACTAATAGATATGATCAAGTTATTTGTAAACCATGCGCGTTTTTTTGACGTTAACAAACCTGATAAGTTATCAAGTGCCTTTGCGATAGATTATATATCATTTGATTTATAAGCTGGACACGGAGTCAATTTCCCCTCAGATTAGCGACCAAGCTATTGTCTAGTATTCTATTGTCAACCTCAGTTATTTCGATAGTTTAGCGAAGAGAGAATGAAGACCATTGGCAATTGGTTTTGCGTGCATTTGGCATTGGCGCTGTTAACGTCAGTAAACGCAGTAGGTTTTCATGGATTACACTTCAAAGGGCTCAAGGAGCCTATATGGATAGGACCTCGAATTTTAGATGAGAAATGGATTGAACAGCGTTTAGATCATTTTAATCATCGCGATAATCGAACCTGGCAGATGGTATGTTTATGAATAATACATCATAATAACTCAATCAATTAACTTTTAAGATGATACAAGTATGAGGGTTGAGGAATTATCAGATTTACTTATGTAAGACACATTCTCATGTTATTTTCACGAATAAATTTAGCGATACTATGAAGAGGACAGGTACTTCAATCATTCTGGCCCAATATTTATAATGCTGGGAGGAGAGTGGACGATAAATCCGGGCTTTTTGTCAAACGGCTTAATGCATGATCTCGCGAAGCAGCATAAAGCTCTTATGTTTTATACAGAGCATCGTTATTACGGGAACAGTAGACCGACTCAGTAAATTCAGTTATATCTATATCATTCAGTATCATTAGAGATTGCTAGCATTTGTTTAATATTTTTTCTTGAAATTTTGCTGAAAACAGGAATATGAGCACAGATAATATGCAGTATTTGAACGTCGATCAAGCATTAGCTGATGTCGCGAACTTTATAGATAATATTAAGTTTAATAAGAATATTAGTGATTCAAAAGTTGTAGTTTTTGGTGGATCTTATGCTGGAAATATGGCAGCTTGGATCAGAATTAAGTATCCTCATCTCATCCAGGTAAATAAGTTATTCCATCCACTTAAATTTAAGACGTCAATCGAAGCAGTTGTTCTTTCACTATATCTTTAAGGTGGTTTTATCGGAATCTTTAGTTTTGTCATGGCTAAGTAAAAACGAGTTGAAAAAATATAATTAAATAGGTCCTAAATATGAAACTTTAGTAAACTATAAAGTGATCATTGTTGTTAATATGATGTGCAATGAAAATAGAAAAGTAAACCATAGCAATAAAAATAGTAGGGTTCATAGTTAGTGTTATACAGTGTATACTGCATAGCAATACCATCGGTTTTCAGTTTTCCGATGATTATTGTAATGAAACTAGACGGAAATATGTAACATAAAATAGCCTAATGTAGTATCGTTGAATTTTTCAAAACGATGTCATAATTTAAAAAAGAATTATAACAAAAATAAAACGTATCTCGTTATGCTCTCCGTGTAAAAGAAGCGTACTTTCATTGTTTAACGATATCTCACAATCCAGGCGAATAATCGACCTAAAACTTAGTTCAAACACGGATTTATAAAGTAATTGCGAGATTTAAAAATTTCAATTTGTGATAAAATCACCTTAAGGCTCCTGCCATTTATTCTATTCTGATTTTTTGCTTTTTTCAAAGAACTATTTTTTTCGTCTAACGTTCAGTCGAAGCTCATAAGCTCCTCCTTTATCGACGCAACGAATTCCCGATGGTTTTATTGCTGCAAACTACAAAACTCAATTAATAATTCGATGCAGCGAAAAGATTTCCCTTCGGTCAACTTTAAACAAGCTTAAAAAAAGAAAATTCTTGCATTTTTTTTTCATCCAACTAAACTATTGCAATTTTATGCGCATATTGCGGCGCCGCAATTTACCTTTTTTTAATTATGTAAGCAAACTCAGCAGTGACGTAAGCGTAAGGTACAGTAGAAAATTTACGCCGGCTTGTGAAAAAGGAAAAGAGCAAATGCGGTAATATTTTGCGCGGTCATAGTAATAAATATGCTAAATTTGATTGACATAACAGGGTGCTGTAGCGAGCAGTGCTCCGCTGTACGCTAAAACTGAATTTCACGGTAAAGTAACACGACGATTTATTCGAAACTGAACGATTCGATGCACATGAAAGTAATTGTGTATTCCACGTTCAGAGTATTATGAACTCGTGACGACTTCGTTAAAGCGATATGACGCGGATTGTCCAACGCAAGTTCAACGTGCATTTGAAACCGTCGAGGAAATATTGGCCTCGGAAGGGGGAGCCGAAAAAATCCAATCCATTTTCAAGTACGGCTTATCCTTATGAAAATTCCCCGCAGGAGCTTCATGACCGCCATAATGATGATATTTTTATTCTATTCTAGTCTGTGTAAAGCGCCGAACATCAAGTCTGACGACGATATCGGATTCTTAATGAATTTCTTATCAGAAGTATGTATTTCCTGTAGATCGATGAGACAATGATAAAATCAGCTTGATAATCTTGTAGATATATCTCAGTAATATGGTTTGTTTTTGTCGGTGGCATAGATTTTTGCTGGTCCAGTGCAGTATAACAAAGTAGTTAATGGTAAAAGCAGCATTGGTGCGCTCTGCGACGTAATGCTCGATCGGAGCAAAGGCGAACCGATCGATAGATTAGCAAATCTTATTGACAAAGCTGTCAAATGCCCTGATGCAGAATACTCGAAATTCGTTGAGTCAATGAGAGAGATTGATTGGAGTTACGGAGCAAGTAATATCAGACATCTATATATTAATCTTAATCGTTGGCCATATCTTAATCTCATCCATATTCACGTTTACAACGCGGAATCGGTTTTTTTCTGCATTGACTGTGCTTCGTTATCGTCTCTCCCTCTTCATTATTCTTTTTTTGAAAAGAACCGTTGTTGGTTATGTTGAGCAAACGTCCTCGATTCACTCTTGCAACAATTGATTCAGTGAGGCAGTGGTATTTCCAAACGTGTGCAGCATTTAGGTACTATCAGACAACGAGTTCCAACAAAACAGCATTTGGCAGCTCGGTCAAACTCGACTTGTTCGTGAACATATGCACAGACGTCTTCGGCAAATAGTAAGTATCTGCTTGACTGTAAACTAAGTGGCGGGCGAGCGAGAGAGGAGGAGGAGGAGGAGCTGTGAACAAGCCACATAGGCAATCAGACGCGGCCGTAAAAGCATCGAGGTTCTGACACGAACGATTGCGATTGCAGTTATGAAAGAAGCTTGGTGGACTACACCGTCGCCAAAACCAACGTAGATTACGGCGGCAGGCTGCCCGACGTGAGCAACGTCATCTTCGTCAACGGAGACGTGGATCCTTGGCACGCGCTGTCCGTACTCAGCGACCTCAATGAATTTTCGCCGGCGATTCTCATTCGAGGTAAATGCATTTGACGGCCGTCTTAATGACTCTCGTAACGACATGCCGCGTGCTCGTACGCGCTGATTCTAGGTTCGTCTCACTGTCAGGATCTGCAGGCCGACGCAAAGGACGATATCCCGGAATTGAGAGCGGCCAGAAAGAGGATAAAGAGCATCGTTGCAAGTTGGCTGTGATCATGAATCTTTATAATTAGAATGTAGGCTAATAAAGAGTAGTATTTTTCTTGATGTTTGGTGTGCGTTTAATACGAAAAAATACATTCTTTTGTTCGATATACAATATTTATAGCTAAATCCTGTAACTAGCAAAGAGAGGAAAAAACTTTCGAGAAGAAGAGCCTCGATCCGCGTCTAACAATTAACAACTAGAATACTTCCCTTAAACGCTAAATATTTTGTACAACGCTCGACGAAGACGCATGTCACGGTAAGAGAACGAATCGCATTACCGATCTCGCCCTGTGAAAATTTAAGTCGCGTGGCAGCTCAGTGCCTGCGTTGCGTGCGCGAAGTAAGAAAGGTATGAAGAGAGAGAGAGAGAGAGAGAGAGAGAGAGAGAGAGAGAGAGGGAGAGAGAGAGAGAGAGAGAGAGAGAGATAGAGAGAGAGATAATAACAGCTTGATAATTAACCCACAACGCGTTCATCAGCGTGATGATAATAACGATAAATCATAAAGTCTACGATGATCTAGCTAGAATGAGAAATGAAGAGTACTCATTGCTCGCAGGTGAGTCTACGTGGCGGCGAGCGAGTAGCGACACAGGCGCGGCCTGCATCAGTCGACCTCGAGCTTCCTGAACGAGCCACAAATGCCGTGCATCGTTGACTCGCCGCTGGTGGCGTTCATACAGCTAAAGCCGGCCTTTAGCGCCGACACCGCGCCTTCGCGCGCCTTGTCCGAGTACATCTCCGGTCGGACCCTCATCTTGTCGTTGATCAGCAGCGTTGGTCGCAGCTCGAGCAGCTCCTTACGCCACGCGTCTGCGAACCAAACGCGAGATGCCCGTGAAAGTACACCGTCTACGGTGAGATCGAGCGCGGCGTTCAAATCCAATGACCCACCGATCATATGCTTCATGGGAACGCTACCGCCGTACTCCTTGGGCAGCATGCTCGCGTCCATCTTGTTGCTCTTGGCATCCTCCAGGCTCGTGTAGATCTTCACGCGGCTGCGGATCTTCTCCGAGATAAGGGACATGCCGAAGTCCAGGGCGAACTTGAGCGAGGGGTGGGCGTTGATCGCGTGCACCTCTTTGTGGCGCATCGGCAGTGTTCTCTGCGCAGAAAGCCGCGCTCAGATCTGCCGGGCGCTGCGACCCCGTTGTCGGCCGTGTTCCGAGGGGGAGAACCGGTTCTCGCGAAATCGTCGGGTCGCGATTGTGCGAGCGCGCGGCGGCCTTGGCTCGTTTATCGACCGGCGGGACGTCCAACGAGGACCCACGGGCAGTCGGCCAGCGCAAGGTTGCGCGCACTTACCTCGCCGTTCTTCACGATGCGCACTGCTTCCTTGGGCGTGAAAAGCGTGAGGTGCGGAAAGCTCACGCCGGCGCCGTCCGCGAAGTGCACGAATCCTCGCACCTGGCTCTCCTCGTCCTCCATCAGCGCCTCGTACGTGATCGCGTGGATTTTGCACATGTCCGCGTTGGTGTACTTGTAGGGATCGAAGACGCCTGCGAATAATCACAAGGCCCTCGGCGTCAAAAACGAGCGGCAAACTGACGAACGGCCGAGTGGCGCGCCGATTGCGCAATCGAACGTCCATTTCGACCAAGACAGTTTGGCCATTGCGAAGTGCAATAGTCTCGCGCGGCTAATAAGCGCCGGGCTTGCGTCACGCAGCTTCGAGGCTTCTACGCAAGGACGCGCCGGGCAGCCGACAGAGATGAGTCTGTCATCCGCAGTCGGCGAACCAGAGATGCGGGAGGGAAGAGGATACTGGCGGTCGGGAGCTGATTACCGGGTCTGGCGACAACCACGCGGCGGCCCTTGGTGTCTCGGCCGGGAACAGCAAACAGGTAGCTGAAACGATCGAATGCGGCTGTCAATTGGTCGCGACTGGACGAAGCTCCGCTCGTTGCTCGGCGACGCGCGACCGCCTTACCCCAAGTCCAGCAGCTCGGACATGTTGGGCTCGAGGATGTCGAGGTTGTTGAAGGCCGGGTGGTAGACCTGGCGCAGCAGCAGGTAGCGCTCGATGGCTTCCTGGGCCATCGGCACGTTGAACTTCTTGCAGCGCAGGAACTTGAGCAGCCACTTGGCGTCTGAAATCATCGAGGTGTCGCCCGAGCGCGTCTGTACTTTGGCGGCTGTCGGCGAGAGGCGCGCGCGCGCCCGAGAAGGGGACGTCGCCGGGACCACTGACCCATTCGGCAGTTCTCGATGCGTGGGTGCATCCTTATCCAGTTGCGCACTTGCTCGAGCGCCTGGTCCCTGGTGTTCCTGTCCTCCCTGAGCTCCTCCTTGGCCATCTTCTGCGTGTCCTCGGGCAAGGCGCACTGGTAGACGTCCTCCTCGGTCACGTACTCGACTGCGCCCATCCTCGCGGTGGTCCGCTCGTCTGGCGGCTGGCGGCTGGCTGCTAGCTGCCGATTAGTGGCAAAGCGGCAATGGAGCGCGCTCTCTGACCCACTGAGCTGGCCGATCGGCCGAAAAGGCGCGCCTCGCGCGGTTATTATTGCGAATGTTACGTCGGCCGGCGTAATGCGCTTTTCGGATCGATATGACATAAGAGCGAGCAACGCACGCGTCTCGCGAGCCCAACTTTCTCCGCGGCTGTTGCGTAACGGGCGCGCTAGCTGCTGCTCTCGCGTGTGGGTTTATGGGTAAAGATCGGTTGTTCACCCGTCGCGGTCGTGCACGCGGCCGCATTTCCATTCCCTTTATTTTTTTGCCTCAATCCGACCGCTGGACTTTGGCCTTCCAGCTCGTCGCTGCGGCCCCGGTTCGCCCGGCGCGTCCTTTCCTTTTGGCTTGTCAGCGGCTTACGTAACGCGCGCCTGACAATCGAGCTCGCCGCCTCGAACAGCGGCGCTCGCGAGACTCGCGGCCCTTTCGACTCTCGAGATGCGCCGAGGCTAATCGAGTTTTTGAATGCAGCTGCGCCCGGGTGAAAGCGCGCTAATCAAGCTACGACGGCGAGGCGAGCGCTCGGGTTCGCGACGACGAGCCGATCGGGGATGGTTGGTGGTGCGCCGAAGGCGAACTGTTTGTTGGCCCACTTTTCCTCGCCGCGAGTCAATTGTCGGCCGCGCTTTACTGCGCTATTATGTCACGCCGGCGCTCTTTCTCCGATGCAGCAGCTGCGCCTGACGTAACTTTGCCTAGAGAAATCCGCACCTAAGATATACGCGACCACGTGCGCTTCGGCGCAGCCTCTCCGCGAGGCTCATGCATGCATGCATGCATGCACGCACGCGGGTCGCGCACTTGCAATGCTAATAACGCCGTATGTGGACGTATCCTCGTCCTCCACTGCCGAGCCGATTCGCGGATCGCATATTCATCGATTGACGCGCGAAGCCCGACGCGAGGACACTGCGTGATCGGCGTCGCACTCGCGTGTCCAGTTGTCCGGAGTGCCGACGAAAGCTGGACGCGCGCGTCGCGGCCGAGCGGAGTCGTATACCAACCTGGACTGGCGAACAAAAAGCGGCGGTGGGGAGCGACGCGATGCTGCAGCCCCTTGGTAGTTGTAGGTCCGTTTGCGCCGATCACTGGCAGTCGACTGCTCCCTTACCGGTTCTGCTCACGGTCTTTTATAATTTCTGGCGGACCTGCCGATCTCGTTATGCTCTCCCTCTCACTCACCGACTCGCGTATGCGCGTACACGCGTACCTATCTAGCGGCTGGAACAAGCGCGGCGGCTCCTCCTTCCCCTTTATTCCCGCTTGCGTCGCCGCCGCCGCCGCCGCTACCACCACCGCTGCGCTCGACTGCGAACAATGCCTTGGTCGGCTCGCGTCCCTTCTGGCGTGAACGGTTTGGAGCCCGTGCCGATTTTTTTCAACCCACCTAAAGCCACCGCCGAAAAGAAAAAGAAAACACAAACAAAAAAGCAACACCAACGCACTCGTGGATAATCAGAAGGGCGTTACATAAGTACGATCGCTTTGTTACGGCAAATGGCTTTCTACGCGTTCAATGGATTACTCGTTGTGTCCGGATGGCAATGTGCGCCCGAGGGAAACAATAACTGTCGAACAATGTCGAAACGATCGCGACTGGGCGAAAGAGATATGTAAAAATAGCGTGATGCGACTGGACCGTTTCCGCGGAAATGCAGCTTCGACGAGTCAGCCGCTATTGCATCATCGGCCGTGCTCAGTCGAACGATCCGCCGGTGAATGCGTACGTGAAAACGAAGCCGCCGCGCCTCTGCCTCCGGCTCGCGATTCGCACCGTCGGGAGCTTGCACGCGCTTTCGCTCTCTCGCCGATTTGTGCGACGATCGCCGTCGCTTCGATTCTGCGCGGCGACGCACGCGAGACAGACGTGCCAACTTGGGCTTGACTTTGCGGCGTGCCGTCAACCATAATCAACGCACTTGCTTGGTTGCCTCGCGCAATAGCGGTTAATCTCTCTCGGCACTCTCTCCACAGTCGTGATCTACGAGAAATTTCATACTTTTTCGGCTTATCGCTTCGGTAAAAGCTGCGCTCGTGTCGCAATGTCAAAAAGTTTGCGCGCGTGCTATTTCAATCAGAATGGGCAGTAGGTCGCGCGGCATCAAAATGCCGAAGTGGCACCGATTCGACGTCATAATTGGTCGGCAGCTCCGCCCGACGCGTCCTGATTATTCGGAATTGCGAACGAGCGTCGGTATAGAAGACGAGGGAGGTTGCAATACAGGCGAAGCCGTCTGACATTGGCATTGCAGCGACGATTCGTTGTGGCAACGGCGAGGAAAAAGCAGGAGCCCACTTTCGGTTTTATCTCCACCTTTAGTCAGCCAAGGTCAGCGGCGAGTCGCGTGTGAGCGCGCGGTGCCGTTGCTCCGCGCTGCGAAAATTCATCTGGCACAGGACTGCGCCTCGGGCGGTCACAAGCGCGCTCGCGCAATCGCCAAATATTAGGAAACCGCCCGTTCGCTCCTTCGAATCCCGTCGACTGCTGCCTCCTCGTAGCTCGCTTTTGCTCGCTCCATTAATAAGTGCAATCGCTCCGACACTCACCAACATCACCGACACCTCCATTTTTTCATAATCCCAAGCTGTCCAACTTTCGTTTTCGAAAGATATAGGCTCTCGGCTTGTTCAAATCATCTGCTCGGTTTTTTCTGCTTCAAATGACGTTTTTGATGTCTCGCATTACGCCACTCCATGTTATTTTTCAAGACGATACCAAACATTGCGATTTTGAAGTGTTGCTACTTTCGCGAGCAGCAATTTCATTACAGCTTTTCAAGAACGGGCAATAAATCATCCAAATATCCATAGTTCGACTGTTTTATTCAGTTAGGATGCCACGAATGTTATACTCCATTTTTTTTATAAGTAGTTTGCTCTAAATACACAGTTGAATAACCGTTTGATCGAATGTGCTATTAAACAGTGACAATCGACGCTGGCAATGACGAGGCTCAATATAGAAATTAATATAAACGACATACAAAGTCGCTGGTATCTCGTAAGAGAGCGCTTTTATTATATCATCGTAATCGAGTAGCACGCGTCATATTTTCCCGCTCACTCGTTCATGTTTCTTTCTCTTCGTCTTTGCATAACAGGCGTAATAGAGTAACGCAACGTTTCCCCGCGGAGCTGCGGATTTTCGAAAAGGACTCGGCCGAATGTAAGGCGCACGCAACAGTCGCCGCTCGTCGCTATCCTGCGCCAATTGTCGACACAGCTCATAATAGGTGAAAAAGTGAAATGCGATTACAGCCGTAAGGAAGCTCGCGCGCATTACATAGCTCGGCTGCGGTCGGTGCGAGCCAGCTGCTAATTTAACGCGCAGCGCCTAATTCGGCAGGCCCCCAATATACAACCGGCAAATTGTCTCGCGGTTCTTTCGCGCGCTCCTCTTTGCTGCCGCGCCAGTTACGCATTGCCAGCATAACGCATTTTTATCGCTCGTCTTTCTCCTGATTTATTGTTATCCCTCAGCTTTATAACGCAAACAATTGGCCAGTAATTAATAGGAGCGTTACGCTTTCAGTGCGCAAAAAATACAAATTGCTTTCTCTTTTGAAGCTACGAATTGCCTGCAATTCTGTTGTCGTCCACGCCCTAGCGGTATACTTTACACAAATACTTTTTAAGATCTTGTTAAATTTCAAATTACCAGCGCGACAGTCAAAAGAAAGAAACTGTATTCATTTAAACGAGTCATTGCAACAACGACCAATCATGCTTGCGCTTTCACATGATCTACTTATTACAACTATTAATACTAATTTGTAAATGCAGTGTAATTTCTTGTTTACTTTAGATTCGGAGTCGCATCAGTTACATAACTCACGTTTTTACGTTTTGCCTACAAGTTGAACCTTTGCGTACGCTCCCTTACATCCACTTTCGGCGGTCAGCAAATCACGCATCACGTACTCAATGTCGTCATTCGATAATTTCACCTTATTGAAGTCTCCTGCATCTTTCACACATTTCACCAATGCCGCATGACTCAATGTCATGAAACTCATTATATTAGGCTGCAAATCCAGTCTTCCAAATTTATCTTTAATTATTGAGATTGACCTATCATGATCTATAGTCCTTTTCAAATTATGATCTACCTCCTCAGTATTAAATAAAGCTAAGATAAGAATGCAAAATTTTTCTGCTTGTCTTCTCAGATTACTTATAAAATTTGCAGCATCAACAATGTCATCAGTCTTTAAATTTTCAAGTCTTATAAAGTTGCAGCGACACACTGAAAGAGCTCTATACACTTCATCTTCTTTGTTATACAATGGCGGATAAACATCAAAAATTTTGTTGGTACTTTTTACGTTATTAATTATTATTTCAGCTGTATATGATTTTCCAACTCCAATTCCACCAACAAATACTAGCACTTCAAAACTAGTCTGGTTTTCTTTTTCAATAAAAAATTTTGCAAGTTCACTTATAGCAATATCTTGATCATAAATATATTTTTTTAGTTCTTGTGTGATTGTTTTCAAGTTGAATTGTGGGGTGCAAAAACTATTAGGATTTTTTACAGTGTTAAGAATCAATCCCAAAGATATAATAGTAACTGGAAGTAATATAAAAAACATTAGTGACCAACACAGGTATGTATTACTCTTCTTTTTCGGTTCTATTGCAATAAGTGACCTAAGTCTCTTTTTCAATTGAGATGTATCGAGTCGGTCCTGTATATTTTCTTCACTCTTGAGTAATTTATTCTCCTCATGAGCAATTTTTGGAATTGTTCTCTGTAGCTTATCCATTTTTCCATAATCAGAATTTTTTCGTAGTAGTGGTTTTTTGAAAAGATAATTAGGAGATATATTAGGATTTACATTTTTTAAGTAAACTTGCTTATCATCATCAAGATCACACTTTTCTTTTATGCTTAATTGATTCAACTTATTTTCATCAATTACAAGTTTCGCTGGTAAAATGATTGGTTTTGCATTAAGGTCACGTTTTTCAGTCAAAGTTTGATTTGAAAATGAACTTTGAAAATTTGATTGATTATTAGTATTGCTGAACCACAATGGTTTTTTCAAGGAATCACAAGCAGGTATAGTTTTTTCCCATGTATTCTCATGTTCTGCATTATCAGTTTTGTATGTATGTGAAACTTTTATTTGGCTGAAATAAAATAAGTTATTTGTGAATCAATACAAATGCTATCCTTTTCTAATAAATAGATAATATTGAGCCGTACTTTGTATTGCATTTTTTATCAAAAATCTGTTCACAGCTGTACTGCTTTAAAAGATTTCCATGTGTTTGTGTTTGATATTGTTTTTCTATAACTATTTTCTTTTTACTTGATAATTCAGAAAAACTAGCAGATTTTGTTAATTTATAATTCAAAACCGAGGAATTTGGATGCAAAAGTTGTTTATCCATGACATGAAAAACCTGTACACTAAAAATTTATGTACATAACATACAGGTTATAAATGATGTGATGTTTTTGTTAGAAAAAATAGAATTTATCTATTAGAGAATACGTTTTATTTAAAGAAGAGTGTGTAATATTGGTTAATTAAGGTAACAACATTGACTGTATTCGTAAATACATACCTAATAAAATTTCTTAAGAAATATGAGATATTTTACGTTTTTGCTGCAAGTGTAAGGAGCAACGTTTGCTACAACTCATTATCTCGATAGATCGAAAACAAAAAATATTCTAAATATTAATATTAAAAATAGTAGTTTCCTTTTATTAAAAATTTGTTAAAAGTCTAACTTTCAAAATCGTACCATCAGTTTTTCTCTTATTGAAGGAAATTGAAGAAATACAATATTTCTACAAGCAGAGTAAGCACCCGGCATTTCAATCCGCGCGCGCGCATAAAAGGTGCCATCTTTAATGGCGAAATTGCACGTGTAAGATGTCTCGTCAATAGCTACTGGAAAATAGCCTCATGCATATATGTAAAGCATACGTATGTACACAGGTAACCACGCATACAATCTTAATAGTACATAAATATATAATAGCGTGACCACGCATGACGACGTGGGACTGTCATTAATCATCAATTTAATTCTCTGCTACATGAATATCTATATATAATACGTCTGCAAAGATCACGGACACACTAAATCTCATAAACACAATTGCTTAGTGCTTCCACAGTTCAGCAGCCTGCAATTTATTCGTATGTATTTTATTCTCTGGTCTAGTAGTGAGATTCGCAAATTACACAAGCTTACAATATCAATCAATTCGTCATCAACATACTCACATAGCGATTAGTTTACTAAGCAAATAAAGGACGGAGGTTACAATTGTAACGAAGTCAACGTGCTAAAACTTATTGAATTTAGGAGGGAAATGTAAACAGTTTCATAAGAAGAGTTACCAAAGGACAAATAAAAATGAAGCCTAAACTTACTCCTAGTATCATTTTTTTAATTTTGCACTTTTTTGCTTCATCTTCTGCAAGAATACACAAGTTTGACATAAAAGTAACTATTCTTCATTATTATGCTTTTTTTAATAAAAGATAGATAAATACATTGTTTGATTTCTTTAAATTTATAGGATGATTTTAGACGTTTCATATCTTTAAGTACATTTGGATTCTATAAAGATGGAATTTTGGATGTTAAATTGATTAATTTTAAGGCTGCTCCTTTTGATGAAAATGCAGTGGTAAGTTAACACATGCTCTACATATTATATGAAAAACTTATTTTCTAATGTTTATCTTTTTTATTATTGATTGTAGTTTGGCTTCACCTTAGAACGAACTATAAGTGATGGTATGAGTCCTTATGTAGACAGTCGTGATAAATGTCTCCTTCAAGGTCCAGTCAATGTAAAATCTGATTATGATGTAAGAGATGAAATAGCTATTGTATACTTTACTTTTGATTTGAAAAACTTGTTGTAAGTGTTATTTATAAATCTAAAACCAATTATTATGTATATTCTAAAAATATTGATAGTTTGTATTTCTTTTAGACTTAAAGTCAACTGCAGCAGTAATGTGCATTCTGTACATATTTATCGAAACGCATCTGCAATTCATTTCATGAGAGATAAAAGATATTCCTTTTCGTCAAGATTGAGCGATACTGCATTGTTCCCTAGAAGAAAGCGAGACATTATTCCCCATGGTAATTTATCTTTTAATCAAAACATATTCTCTCTGTAAAGATCTGTTTGTGATTATCAAAAAACTTGCACCAAGCAAGTAATCATCATTTTGCTTATTCTGTTTAATTTACTTTGTGTTTGGTTGCTTATTAAAACGTTTCTTTTTTATCATCTGCTTTGAACGTATTGATAGTTTTTAAATTGAAATTAGTAAGCAGTAATAAACGCCATGGGAAATTTTGTTATATAAATATAAGAAAAATTTCTAATTTTAAATTGAACATCTGAATTGCTTCTTCTTGATATTTACAATTTGTCGCGAACGTTGTTTGTCTATTCAGATTTCGAGTGCACGTGATCAATTCTACAATCTATTCATATCCATCAATGTGCAGATCAATGATGACGCAACGACGATGTTATTTTAAAATTTAAACTGACATAACTGTACGAAACTTGCAATTTGATATAACTTGCAAGCTTAAGTTCTATTTAAAGCTTAATAGTTTTATTAAGCAAGATTGTCTACCATCTTTTTCGTTTAATAATTCAAGTGATTATTTTACAGAGTTTGAAAAATCAGGATCTGCTCTTCAGGAACGTAGTTCCTGCCAACAAACATTACCTATGACTGTTCAAGAAATTAAAGGAGAGAAATATTACAACACTAGTTTTGCCATGTATGTTGCCAATGATGAAGAAGAAGGATTATACAGCTTATATTTCCACAACTGTCCCAATTACGTACACCGAGTCGATGTTAATTTCTCGGTAAAAAACGCAAACAGCTGTTTTATTCAAATAGTTACCATATTTATGATTTATTTTAATAATTCATTCGACAGGTAGAAATTAAAGAAATCAATAGCGGTAATTTTCTGAGTGCAGGAGAAATGCCTTTACCGGAATTATACTTTATGATGGCTCTCTTATTCTTTCTTTCGGGATGCTTTTGGGTGTTCCTTTTGCGAAACAGCAGGTACTAGTATTGTACAGAAATAGACAATAAAATAATTATTAATATAAATCTATTTTTTCTACAGACATCCAGTATTCAAAATTCACTATCTCATGGCAATTTTAGTATATCTAAAGTCATTTTCTTTATTATTTCACGGAATAAATTTCCACTTCATTGAAACAAAAGGTGAACACGTTGCAGCATGGGCTATACTTTATTATATTACACATTTATTAAAAGGAGCAGTTCTATTTATTACTATTGTATTGATCGGAACTGGTTGGACATTTATCAAACATATATTGTCAGACAAGGATAAAAAATTATTTATGATTGTCATCCCGCTTCAGGTGAGGATCTAAAAATTACAGATTTAACCAGATTGCACAATCAAAAATATGTAATCTCATTTTTACTTTGGCGATAGGTTTTAGCAAACGTTGCGGAAATTATAATCGAAGAAAGTGAGGAAGGAGACATTGAGCACAAAAGGTGGCGCGATGTATTCATTCTTGTTGACTTAATATGTTGCGGGGCTATAATGTTTCCCGTTGTTTGGAGTATAAAACACTTGCAAGAAGCAGCACACATGGATGGTAAAGCTGCTGCCAATTTACGTAAATTAAAACTATTTAGGCACTTTTACATCATGATCGTTTGTTACATCTATTTTACGAGAGTTATAGTCTACTTGCTAAAGGTAAACGTTAATACATAGTGAGTTTTTCTATTATTTATCGTTGATTTCATTATTATTTTTTTTTCAGATTACAGTACCTTTTCAATACGAATGGTTAGATGAAATGTTTAGAGAAATGGCTACTTTTGTGTTTTTCGTTTTAACTGGATACAAATTCAGACCAGCTTCAGCAAATCCTTACTTTACACTGTCACCCGAAGAACTAGCTCAAGACGATGATGAAACCGACATAGTGTAAGTGTAGAGATTGTATATAGTAATTAGACGACGTTTTATTAATTTTCATAAAACTATCATAGTTTATTTTCTAGTGTCTCGGGCAGCAGTGGCGTCACAGAAGGACTCAGTAAAGTAAGCAAAGTTATTAAAGTCAACAAGCCGCTATCGTCTGAAGTACCATCCACTGAAGAAGAACGGGATAACTTGATTAGCAGGAGGGAATCTTCACATGAGTATGACTGAATGGGTATTTTTTATAGTTGAATTTGTGAAAACTGAATGAGAGTGAATATTTTTATAAGAGTTATTATTGCCCTGAAGAGAAAGCCTGATTAGTTAATTTCTTCACAAAGGTCAGTCTGAAATGTGCTGCAGGCAATCAATATTCTATCATATTTCAAAATTTACTCCACGTTTTGAGGCTATCGATTTGAGTAACAATGTTTTGTGACTCATTCGAGCTATCTGACCAAATGGGGAAAAATCTTTCTCTTTAAAGCAACAAACCCACGAAGCTTCATCAATTAAATAATTTTCTTTTGAGCCACGAGCTTTATTTGAGAGAACAAATGTCATAGTACTTTAAAGTTATCTAATACATGTACTAATGATAGTACGTAACATACATAGTTGAACATGCACGTTGTATTTTCTCAAATTTACTCTAAATAGTGTAACCATTACATTTCTGACTGAAAATTAAAGTTTCTTTTCCAATAAAAGTGATTTTCCACAACAAGCATTCCGCTATGACATTTAAAAATTGTCTATAACTACAAACAAACAGCAATTTCGCAATAAGATTTTGTATTTTATTATTGAATGAAGTTTAGAAAAAGAGAACATTTGAAGGTTAAAAATTATTATGAAGATTATTATTATTCAATCCTGAAATATAGTAATTATGTATTCCCGTTGATCAAATTTGGATTCAATAACTATCTAGACAATAATGTAACCATTTAGCACAAACCTTAGTATGCTCTGTACCATTGAGTAAATTGTGATATACTCGCGCATTTTTATTTTAAAGTAATTCAAGAAATGCATGAATTTTTTTTAAGCTTACTCTTCGTTGCGGGGAATGTAATGTATTAGTGTAATAGTAATATCCCTTTTTTGAGTGAAAGTGAGACATGAACAGCTTACACATCACAGTTTAAAGTTCATAATGATGACGCAAAACCAGTTATTGGGAAAATATTGTTATTGGTGTAAATATATATCGAAATTGATATTTGGTATAACATATAAATAGTGCAAATTGAGTGTGATGTAGAATGATCTGCGAAAGTAGTATTGTATCTTAATTGCAAACAAGCTTTCGATCAATTATTTGATAAACATTGAGAAAAAAATTTATAACCGCATTGATGTAGCTTTAAATTCGTTTTACAACTTCATTATGAGTTGAGCAATAATACATATGTACATGTGATAGATTATTAATAGCAACAATGTACTTGAAATCTGCAGAACGATTTATTTATATAATACTATTAATGTAATGTGCATAATTATTATTACAATAAACGAACCAAACTCATTTGTAAATTAAATTTTTCGTAATACTTTCCTCAAATATTCAGTCTGATGAGATAACAGAATCAGTCGATAAATGTGCTAAAGGCTCAACAGCAAACATTAGCCGTGCCAACAACTCAGTGGGTTGTGATCCGGGAAATCGATATGCTAGCGTTCAAAAGTAAAGGCTATAGCCCGGACTTGTTTTGCAAGCTTTATATTCGGGCGTGTTTGATTGTTCGAAAAAAGTAAGAAGCATGGAATAGCGAGTGGTCATGCATAGAATTGCGAAACGATCATAATTTTGATACAAGCGAGCCGAGGATAATGAACTATTGCAATCTACGCGCGACAACGAATAATCATGAGGATTTGGAAACGATAAAGACAATATCTAAGAAGATTGAGCTACGGGTTCATGGTGCCAGCCATTGATTTGTCGGGGGTGACTGGCAACAGTTTGAATTTAATCGTACTCGCATGGCGCAACAAGAGAGAAACGGCCTACGTATACACGCGAGGTGAGAAATAAACAATTCATGCAGGTTTGAGTAGAAAAAGAAAGAGAGAGAGAGTAACAAGGCTTGAAAATAGTGGTGAAAATTCGGAAGTAGCTAAGGACAAGAGCTGACAATGAATCACTGGCATAGTCCTTAAATGCGGCTTACCACGTTCCCTACTCAACCTACTAAAGCAGTGTTCGTATATGCGATACTGACTTTCCCTCGGCTTTCTCTCCCCTTACCACTAATCCTATTACGAACATTGCTTCCTGCCACATCGCAATGATCCAGGCAATTAATCGTCACTTAACTGTAGGCGTGACGCCAACATTTTTTACGTTTGCTCGTTTCACGATTGCACGTTGTTTTCATCTTCTTTTACTTTTTTAAATAAGGGGGAGGCGAGTTTCCTGCCCGACACGACGCGAAAGGACACGCGAAGCTGATGTAACAGAGGCAGGATTGTGAGTCGGCGGGCACATCTGCGTGGATACATCTCTCGACGATTCTATCGCGTCGAGCCTTGTTCTTGTTCAAACTAAATTTACACGGAACTGTGATTGATCGATCGTGTCTGATATGACGCAGGGAATTGGTAAGTAGGCCACTGTATCTACGCGGAAGACTTGTCAAGTGGACGCGCGCGAATAATAACTGCAGGGAGTTTCGGAAGGATTTGTCGCGATGAAAATACACGTTGAAAGCAAAGCGCGGTTGATTTGACGCAGTAACAATCGAGCGCTAAAGAATCTGACGGAAAGGCACCTACGGCGTACTCGCTGGTCTCCCTGATGGTGATCATGTTTTACGTGTCGTTTATGCCGTGGGTGCTGCAATGGACAACAAAGAGACTACCTAAATCAATTGGCAGCAGCGTCCCTAGCGCGGGGAACTGGAGCAGTACTTGAGCAAAAACCGGTTGCAAAGTTCGTGCTGGCCGATCGACTGAGCCGGGCGGTGTTGTGCCGACCGGTCTGCACACTCACGGCCACGATACTAGCACCGGCCAGCTTCCTGGTCCACCTGCCCAACGCATTCCGCGACTGCCTGCTGACCGGTGGCCCCATCAACCAGCGCCGGTACAACGCGCCGCTGCCGATACAGTCCAGCTTCTCCCGAGTAACCAGTCCTCATCCGCTGGTAGCTCGAGGCGTTTACGGGGTGGGTGCGACGCTGCTGACAATCACGCTCGATCTGCGCATCCTGCTAGTCTACCAACGCTCGTGTTGGCGCCTGAGTACAGCCTCAGCGAGGACAACTACGGCCAGCCGTCCTATTGACGGGATACGAGCGAGTGTCTCGGATGCTCGCAGTCGAGCGGTCAAGGTAAGCAAGATCCGGCCGGAGTGCGCCGCGAGCGGCGATAGCACCCGACTGACCCACTTCGAAAATTTTTCTGGCGCGACCTTGCGTCTTTCTATCTTTAGGCGCGCATCCCCCTTATCGATCTCCACCCGCGGCAGCGGGCCGCTCCGCCTCGCCTCCTCGTCGTCTCGCTCGTCGGCTCGCGATATGGCCAGACGCCCGATCGGACGACGGCGACGCGCGGCAGCAAGGTCGCACCGTCGGCCAAGCTGCGACGCGAGCGGGGGGTTCGTTAACCGGCAGCGCTGCCGCGCCTATAGCCGCGTACGCAAATACGGAGCACGCGTGATCGATCGACTCGTTTCGCGGTTGTGTTTGCTCGAGCTGCGCGAGATAACGCATCGGCGCTGGCCCGCCAGAGCTCACAGCCTGTACACACCGCGCCTCTGGCTGCTAGCCCTTGCTCTCTCCCTCGCTGTCGCGCCTTGATCGTTCGACGGCTCGGCACTGCGACGGGCGCGGCTCCTTGGCCGAGGCGCTCGCGCGGAAGTGGACGAGGGCGTTCGAGCCGCCGAGTCGTTCGTCACCGAGCGACAGGCGCGCGGATCATTCGGAGGAGAAGTAGGCGTCGGCAAGTTCAGGGTTGCGTGGTCAAAGGCTCGCAGCGGATACTGCGCAGCGAGACCGCGAGTCGACGGCGGGCGAAGAGAGCGAGGAGCAACAGTGGGCCGTCACGAGGGACCGCGGCCCTGCGGGGCTCGGCCGGCGGGTCGATAGAGGCGACCGCGGTTGCATCCCTCTCCCACTGCCGCGGCCGCTCTGCGTGTGCAGCTCGGCGAGATTCGCCGGCTGGCGCGTGGGCGTCCGAGCGCACGCCGAGCTCTACCACTGGTCGCGGCGGCCCTCGCTCGGGCTGCCGGAGGCCGCTCCGCACCGTCGGCGACGACGCACTGGCGAGTCGGCGTCGCTGGCCCGTCGCAGTCGACACGGGCGGCGACGCAGCGTCGGCAGGGCCGCGAGTCTGCGCGCTCCGGGGGCGGCGGGCGCGACGGCACGGTGCGGCGAGGCGCCTCGGCCGCGGCCGCTCAGTCCGACGCCCAGCGCCGCGACGCTATGACGTCAGCGCGCCGCCCGCTCGCCAGCCGTCCGACCGAGCCGCTGCTGCCGTCGCCGCGCCTGCTGCCACTGCTGCGCCCACGACTCATGAATGGGAAGCCGTCCGAGGCTCGGCGCAGCCTGTCTCCGCGAGTGCCTTGCCCTCCCGGCGTGCTCCGGGGTTAAGCGCCGCGTCGAGCCAGGTATCGCCTTGTCGCACTGCTCTCCCTTTCTCCGACCGTCAGTCCGTCCGCCTCTCTCTCTCTCTCTCTCTCTCTCCGCCTCGGCGCCGAGCGAGCGCCGTCCTCTGTCGCTCGACGCCCTCACGCCTCGCCGACTCTCCTCTGTTGTAGCAGAGCTGTGGGTCCGCGGCAGGCCAGCCGCATAACGCGGTTCCGACCGCGAACTCAGGCCTGCGGCAGTGTGTGCGCGAGCCGCCAGCTGGGCCACTCGTTGCCGCGACTGGGCGACGGGCGCGGCGAGCCTTTATTTTTAAACGAGCGCAGCGCAGCCGCTGACACGCAGCCAAGAGAGTATAATTAAGAGGCACGGAGAAAAAAGAGGCTTCGAGCGAGGTTCGAGCAGCAGAGCGAGGCGATCAGCAGGCCGGCCGCAGGCCGACGACGAGCTGGCGCCGCAGCCAAGATGGGCAAAAAGAACAGCAAGCTCAAGCAAGACACCATCGACCGATTGACCAGCGACACGTACTGTGAGTACGCATGCACGCGCGTAACCGTGCCGCGGGGGCTACGTCGGAACGCGGCCTGTGTGCGCTCGTGGCCTTGCCCCCCCCCCCCCCCCCCCCCGCGTTATTGGGTACGCGCGATTCCGTAGGGCCGCCGACTCTCGGTCCGATTGATCGGGCCGCGGTGCGTCGTACCCGCGCCACTTGTCCGCGCGCTCGATCGCGAGCCACGCACCGATCCGCGCCGTCCACCGCGGAGCCGATCGCGCGCGCCGCCGTGGCCACTCCGCAGGCTATACTTTATTCATCGGGCTCGCTTAACTCCACCCGTTCCGCCGAGTACCACTCGACTGTACTCTCTGCTTTGCCTTTTTCCCTGGTGGCCTCTCGGTCCCTTTATTCGATCAATAGAGGCTGTTTAGCTGACAGTCCTCGCGCCTCCGCGACTCGAGCGCGCGCCCCTTCAGTGGAGTAGCACCGAGTTCGGTCGGGCGGGCTGCTAAAGCGCAAACTTTGCGGCGGCGGTCTAGTTAGCGCCCGTACGCTTAGCTTCGTGACTCGGCCGTGTGTACGGCGAGTCCAATCGATATACCTATAGCGGGCCGCTTCGAGGCGATGCTGGCCCGTTAAAAATGCACAAGTGCGTCGCGAGCGCGCCTCGCCCGCGCCGGCCGAGTGCCAATTCTTCGGAACTCACGTCCGGCGAGCTTTTAATTTGCGGCTCGCGTCGGCATTCGAAGGGTCGAGCGAAGCGCCCAATGACAAAGAGCGTTTTTGGCCGCGGTCGGCGCGTCGCGGACACGGGATGAGCGAGGTCAGTGCAGTGGAGTACAGGAAGCCCGAGGAGGCTGGCTCCGGCTCTGATCGAGCGAAAAGACTTCGGGGAGCTCGGGTAATGGCTCGACGGCAGTCTCGCGTCTAGCAAATCTCGTTCGGTCGGCGATTCGGCTTCAGTGGTGCCTCGTCGACGACGTCGCTTGAGAACCCGGCGCGCGGGTGCCGTCGAAGCTGGTCGGAGCGACGGGCGCGATCGGACAAATCGGAAATCGAGAACCAAGCCCGGCCGCGCCGGCTGCAGCTGGCGTGCCGAGAGGATCGATAGAGGTGTAGCTGCGGCGGCCGCGTGGCGCGCCACGCATTCGCAATTGCGTTTCCGTCGCATTGCGCAGCGACCTACGTCACGGGGTCCCCAGCCGAGGCGACGGCTCGCTCTTTCGGCAGAAGCTGCGAGCGCCCGATCGACCGCTCGCCGTGAGCCCCGTCCGTTGCTCTCGCGCTAACGCGGCTCAACGGGCCGGTCGGTCTGCCGCCGGCCCGCGATGACTAGCATTCGACGCGGCGCGGCGCGCCTTCCGAGCTTTCGACCGATCGTCGACGGCCTATGAGCGCCCGTCAATGTGGCTTTCGGCCGCGAGCTACCATACGCGGCGTAACGAGACGTCGTCGCGGCACCCTCGATCGATCGACCTCTCAGGTGTGCTGTTGCGTGGAGCCGAGGCTCCGTCGTCTCGGCTCGTCGACTTTGTCGTCGTCGACGTCGTGATTGCAAGCTCACCCGTGCTCGGGGCGATTTATTTGCGGATCACGTGCGCGCGGGAGCGGCGCACTCTACCGATACTGCCGACGGCCAGGCAGCCGTTCCGTCAACGCGGGACCCGTGCACGCCGACAGCTCGGCGCACGTGGCGCGACAAACGCGCAGTAGGCTTCGTCCTCGATCCGACCGTGCTCGTCCGTCTCCGCCTTGTCAGCGTAGATCTTTGAAGAAAAGCGCGGCGCGCCGCACGTATTCATGCGCAGAGCCAATTTACCAGCCCTTTGTGCTCTCGCCGGGGGACGTAAATCCGAGAGCTCCACGGTCATTTATCGCGAATCAGAGCCAACCGAGTTTCGCTCTTTGCCTGGCTTATGCGTTTTTTTTTTTATCGGCGTTTTGCCGTGGCGCGTGCCTTGCATTTTTGTCGCGAAGAACCTCGAGCTTCCTTTCGCGGGAGCCGACGGCTGCCCGTGTGCGGAGATCGATCACATCGGCGAATCACAGTCGCGCTTGGCGGGTAACGAGCGAGACCCGTGAAGTCCGCGTGCCGACTGGCCGGAGAACGGCGTCGACGACAAAGCCAGACTGCGAGGATATATTCCGGATTAACTCGCTCTATTTTGTCCTGTTGCAGTCACCGAGAAGGAGATTCGGCAGTGGTAAGTCCGCGGCCCTGTAGAGCCGGGCCAAAGGAGAGGCGGTTCGCAACGCGGCGCGACGCGAGCGCGCGGTCGGTCCAGTCGTCTCGCGAGGACCGCCAGCCGGCGACTCGGTCGGTCGGTCGATCGAAAGCTAACGGCTGCGCTTGGAAACGCTCGAACGCTCGACCAGCCCCTTGCCCTTGCCGAGCCTCGCCACGGCCACGGGTCCGCGGGCGGGGGAGGGGCCGATCAGCACGCGAAGCTTCCACGACTGCGACCGAAGGAGCGCTCGCGGCGCGCGCGCGCTGCGACACGACAGCGCGAGAGCGCGCCTCTCCTTTGGCCCAGCGCGGCGGCCGCTCTGACCGCCTTGCTTTCTCGTGGGCGCGCGCCGCTGCTCGCAGGCACAAGGGTTTCCTGAAGGACTGCCCCAACGGACTGCTCACCGAGCAGGTGAGTGTAAGCGGCGCGGCCGCCGCACGCGCGCTCGTGCCCCGCTGGATTGCTTGACGCGACTGTTGCAGGGCTTCATCAAGATCTACAGGCAGTTCTTCCCGCACGGGGATCCGTCCAAGTTCGCCTCGCTGGTCTTCCGGGTGTTCGACGAGAACCACGTGAGTATGACGAGCGCGCGCCGCGCTCGAGCGAAGCCCGACTGGCCAACCGTGCTTGCAGGACGGCAGGATCGAGTTCGAGGAGTTCATCCGGGCGCTGTCGGTGACGTCGCGCGGCAACCTGGACGAAAAGCTGCACTGTGAGTGGGCCCACGCCCGGCCTCGTAGCCAACTCGCTGCCGCAACGCGGCCTTGTGCTTTCAGGGGCGTTCCGGCTGTACGACGTGGACAACGACGGCTTCATCACCCGCGACGAGATGTACAACATCGTGGACGCGATCTACCAGATGGTGGTAAGTGGCGAGCGCGGCGGCGCGACGCTGGCGAGGCCGAGGTTGACGGGTGCTCTGGGTCGCAGGGCCAGACGCCGCAGGCCGAGGACGAGAACACGCCGCAGAAGCGGGTGGACAAGATCTTCGATCAGATGGACAAGAACCACGACGACAAGCTGACGCTCGAGGAGTTTCGCGAGGGTAGCAAGGCCGACCCACGGATAGTGCAGGCACTGTCTCTCGGCGGGCCTCCTCCCTCCGCGGACGGCTCATAACTCTCTCGCTCGTTAGCTTGCCGTTGCGCTCGCCGCCGCAGCGCCCCCCGTCGCTCGCGGACCGCAATGCAGCATCCGCCCGCTCTGCCGCGGGCGCGCGCCGCCTGCCGCACTCGGCGCCCGGTGCACTGCCGCTGCGGCCGGATCCCGCGCGGTCGTCTCGGCTGACCGCGCGCGCGATACGCTTTACTCGTTTGCCGAGAGAGAGAGAGAGAGAGAGAGAGAGAGAGAGAGAGAGAGAGAGAGAGAGAGAGCGAGAGAGGGGGGCAGCGGAAGGGCGCGCGGTCGCGTTATAAGCGTCTCTCGTCGGCAGCACCGCGCGGTCGATATATCGAGCAGGCCAGATCGTCGAATCGCACGCCCAAGCCTTCTCGCGCTCTCGCGTTTCTCGTCTGGCTTTTGCTTTGGAGCCGCGCTTTCCCACCCGTCCGCCCCACCCCCTCTCCCCTATAGCGCGCAACGAGCGTCGCGGGAAGCGCCGCGATTGGCCTTATTGGCAGTCCATCTCGCCGAGGGAAGACTGCTCGCACGTGCGCGCGAGGCAGTGGGCTTTCCGTCCGTGGTGCGGTCGAGTCGGGCCAATGTGCCGGCTCGTCGTTGCTCCCTTTCGATCGATAACCTCTCTCCTACTCTCTCTCTCTCTCTCTCTCTTACTCTCTGTCTTTTAGCAGCTGCCTCGAGAGGCAACAGCCACCCACGGCTTATCGAGAGCTTGCAAAACGCTCGAGCATCGCTTTATCCGCTTCTCATCGGCTTGTCGAGCATGCACGCAATGTCCGCGCGCGCCGCAGACGCGAACAAATAAAACTTGTTGCACGGACAATTGCTGTTCGCCGGATAAAATGAAAGCAGAGTAGTCGTTATATTGAATATATACATAAATATTGTTACATCGCGTCATCGCGTTATATACAACAGTTGAATAATATTATACCTAGTTGGCTGTTTTTACGCACGCGCAGGCAATCCGTTTGCTCGTTCTGTTATCGTCGAGTTAAGATGATTATTTTTCATAATGAAAGCACAATCAATATACATTACGAAACTCTGGTACCGATATACAGATGCTAGAACGACGAGCTTTTATCCAGCCTACGTACCGCGCACGTGCGCATTTGTCAATTTGCAAGTTTTTCCTGAACGCCACGTCAACCCTCTTCTCTATATATGTACGTAATAAAGGCGCGCCAAGCTATATCTGTCTTTTTCACACGGCTTGCCAGTCTAGCAATAAAACTTTCGCACTCTCGTTGCTGGAATCGATGTAGGAGCGAAGAAGAGACAAAAAGTAAATGATAAAATAAAAGAAGATTTTGCACTCTTTCGTAGACTTAGCACCGTTCGAAATTCTGTCTTGGGAATTTCCGCTGGCAAAGCTCGCGCTCGATTTTCTATATCCAGTTTTGAAGCATGCCGAGCTTCGTTTGTTACTTTGACGCGCTGCCCGACGAAAGTACTCGAGCGCGTGAACTACGCGTAGACGATATATCTCGAAAGGTTTTTACAGTTTTCAACGAGACGTATCCTAGAAAGTTGGCGTATATCTTAGAACGTATGGCGAAGCCGCTCGTGCGCGCATCTGCAGCTTGTATCGACTCGGGAATCGGTTCCTATACGACTCGACGGAGCCCGACTATCGACTTTCGACTAGCAAACTATCTTCGCTGTTGGATATGCTTTAATTCGGCTCTGCACCACGATTCTCTGGTAGACCGCTTGGAATCTCTCGGCTGTGCGTGCTCTGCGTCGCGAGTACGCGAGGCGAGTGCGTTCCCAAGAGGCAGCTCAGCCGCGCCGCCGCACGGGCATGCCACGTTGTTGTTGTTCTTCGGAGTGGACGAGCTGCAAGCAATCGGCGCAGAGTTATTAATTAATCCTAGCTGTAATTACACTTAATACTTGTATGGACGGCACCACTCGGCCGCAAACTATAATCTCGACGAATCTCGGCTATGCCCGACGGTGTAGCTTTAGCGCGTAGTCCGCTCGCAAGCTGCAATCTTCAGCGATTTCCGCCTCACCTATCCACACGCTCACTTACGATCTAATTAAACGGCATTACCCTTACGCGCCTATCTACATATATCTATCTACATATACACGTGCACATATACCATACATTCCTAATGATCTTCACACGCTCGCTATATTTTACAAACTTTCTGTGATAATTATTAACAATCAATAAATGATGGCGCGTCGTGTCCGAGAAGCGAGACGAAGTGTTATTTGACGACATGCCAACGCTGCGATATGCCTTTTTGCAAACTATCCGACGGACCCGGCGCTCGCGCTCGTTCGCATCTTATACTTTCGCCAAATCCAATGCCACTGGGACGGAGTTCGGACAGCGCCGCGCACCGACGTCCAAGGCACGGCGCTGCGGCTCGATTGATCGACCGTCGCGGGACGAACAGCGTGGAAACGCGCGGAAATTGACTATTGTCGCTGATGTTACGTGCGCCGCGGCCGCGTCACGCTCGTGCGTGCGCTCGAACGGCGCGCGGCGCGTCCAGGCTCGAGTAACGCCAGTCATCGGCGCGCACCATGCGTCACACTCCGATACTCGAGCTATACCAAGGAGAGCAAGAGGGAGAACGCGCACGTAAGAGGTAAAGTTCGATCGATGCCGCGCGAGGAAATCTGGCCGAAGCGACGAAGGCTATGTCTTGCTAAGAGATAATCGTTAAAGAAAAAGAAAAAAAGAAAATAATTGAAACGGAGATAATCGTTCTAGTTTGTTACGCTGGTCCGTTGCGTGCTGCGCCTTGTACAATTGCCAGGATTTCGACGATGAAAAATATATGACAAACAGTATATCTTTGAATGTTGCTCGTTTTCACGAAATTATTACGCGCATTGTTATTTTATATGGTTCCATACATTTTTTCTAAGCAATATCGTATTACGGTATGGAGACATTAATAAAATAATTTTAAGCCAATCACAACCCACGTGTCGTGCTTTATTCACACCTCCCCCCATCCAAATCCTCACACGCGAGATCGTCGTCGAAGCGATTATTTGTCACGGCTGATCGTAAAATCGCCTTACATCATCAAGTATACGATGCTCTGAACGTAAAATTGCATAAGGCGAAATGACAGCTAGTATTTCTTATAGTTTGTCCAAATTGTTGGGTGAACGCATGCAATCGCGTTCTCTCGTAGAGGGGATAATTTGCTGGCATCTGCTTCAACTATCCTATAACTGGTCCGCGCCAGTCCGCCTGCTGTTATTCGCCGTTTAAACTTGGACACCAAATCATTCGCCGCGGACAAGTAGTGCGCTGACATTGATCAAAAGTCATAATGGTGTCCGACGATGGCGCCGGAAAAGTGAGTTTGACCGCTATCGCTTCGCAATTACACAGACGTTCGCAACATTTTCTTTTGCTTTCGCAGCCCTCGAAAACGTTTTACATCGAAAACAACATAATTAAAGGAGTCAAAACGAAATTCGATTCATCGGCGACTGGCGTTGGACCATTGATCATGAAAGTTTTTAATGACAAACCAAATGTCGTGGCGCAAGTACTCTTCTTTATCTTTTGATTGTCCACTCGATACTCTGCTTCGAGCCTGTTACTCTTTGTTTCTTTTTTGCGCCATTCCAAGATCGAGGTAGAAACCGGAAAGCACACTACTTATCAAGAAATGAAAGAGAGGAGCATTCGGTGTGCGCTGTGGCTGCTCAAGCAAAACGTAGGAAGCGGCGACGTCGTCACTATTTGTACGCACAACCACTTGGATTCTTATGTTCCGTGCATCGCCACATTTTTCGTCGGCGCGATTTACAATCCCTGGCATCACGAAGTCACTTTGAGTAAAGTCAAGCGACGCAAACGTACCGATGTCGAAGAAAAAGCAGAGCTTTAAAAAAATGTTCATGGATTTTGCATTTTTTTTTGGTGGTTTTAGAAACAGCTCGACACTTGATGAGTTTGACCAGGCCAAAAGTTATTTTCGCGTGCGAAAGCGCTGTCGAGGTGCTGAAGGAGGCTGCTCGGTTGGAAGGGGTCGAAGCGAAAATGGTTGTGTTTGAGAAACACCTCGAATTGAAAACCTTGAAAGACATCATGAGGCTGCAAACGAACGAAGAAGTGGAAACATTTAAGTTGCCGGAAATCAAAGATCCATCGGGAATCGCTATGATATTGTTTTCGTCGGGAACGACTGGCTTGCCGAAAGGCGTTGCGCATTCTCACAGGTCCCTTTATAGAAATACCAGCTCGTTTGGCGCGATGGACGATTCGAAAACCCTTTGGTACTCGTCTCTGTATTGGATCAGCGGGACGTTCTGTCTGCTGCGCTCGACGCTGTGCGCTGCAACGCGCATCCTCCACGCAAATTTCGATGCCGTGGAAACTTGCAAAGTTATCGAAAAATACAAGGTATGATTGGCTGGCCAAGAGATCAAGTATCATTAATAATCGCAGGCTTTGGTTCTACCGTTGAGCTTATGTGATTTCGCGCAGGTCGATTGGTTCTTTGTGACACCAGTCATGATGATTGATTTCTGCAAATCAAAATCCCTCAAGAAGCATAAGCTCGATTGTTTGAAAGTCGTTCTTACTGGTGGCTCAAAAGTGAGCAGACCTATATTAAAGGAATTCAAAGAAAGCCTGCCCAACTGCGCGGTCGCCCAAGCTTATGGTAATGCGTTTAGATCCATTTCAACGCGTAACAATACTTCGCAAAGCAACTTTTCCGTACGTTTGTCGAAGGTATGACCGAGTTGGGAGGAGTCGTTAGCGCTCAAACAAAGGACTGCACGAAAATTGAGTCCGTGGGATTCGTCATTCCAAACATGCAGCTCAAAATCATTGACGAGCTTAGCAACAAGGCGCTAGGTCCGAACGAGGTTGGAGAAATGTGTGTGAAATCGGACGATAAGATGCTCTGCTATTACCGTAACCCAGAAGCTACGAAAGCGACGATTGACGAGGACGGTGGGAACGGGCTGATGGCGCAAGCTTCGAACCTGCCGTCGCACTCTAAGCCACCATTTCGTTGTTGCAGGCTGGATACACACGGGAGATAGGGGCTACTACGCCGAGAACGGCGAGCTGTTCATCGTTGACAGAATCAAGGAAGTGATGAAATTCCGTGGACACCACGTCTCGGCTATTGAGATCGAAGAGGTCCTGTTGCGTCACCCTGACGTTATAGAGGCGGCTGTGGTGCCGGTCCCTCACGACACTGATATTGAGCGCCCAATGGCCTTCGTTAAAAAGATAGCTGCGTCGAAGGTACAATAGCTTTCTCTTCTTTTCCACGAACGCTGTCCAACGGCAAAGGGGCCTTCTGATCGTTCGCCATTGCGGCTTTCCAAACTAGGTGACAGAAGAAGAGCTGGTCGAGCTGAGTTCTGAGCTCGGGACCTACAGGAAACTTTGGGGAGGTGTAAAATTCATCGAGGAGATACCGCACACCGCGTCCGGCAAAGTATGTCGCAAAGAACTGAAAGAAATGGCCAAGCTTTGCAGCCAATAAAGTTTTTGCGCTCTGTGAATTATTCACGTCGGTGCGTGGGTCGTCGTGTGACATTTGGATACTCTGGATACGGTAATAAATGCAAGCAGGCCAGAGCGTTGCACAGTTTGAACGCGGTTTTATTGGGAAAGGTTTGATTGTGTCGGACGCGAGAGGAGGCGAGCGCACGCGCGCAAAGGCCGATTATTAATCGGACTCTGGTTTGGGGTAGCCGAACCTGATGGCCTCCTTGAACATGGCGACGAGGGAGTCCACGACCTCCTGGCCGTTGGGAATGATTTGATCCGCGGGCAGGACGAAGCCGTGCCGGCCGGTGTCCCTCAACTCGTAAGTGAAAGAAACGGGCACATTGAGAGTGGCCTTGGCCCAGTCCATCGAGCTTCCGCTGGCGACGTCTGCAACGGGAAGCCCCTTGGCATGAATCGGCCTGCTCTGCCGAGCCGCGCGCCCGACTCGCTTGGGGATTACTTACAGATAGCCTCGGCGATATTTCCGTGGGAGTACTTGGTGCCGTAACGCTCCGCGAGGGCACTGATGGCTTTGAGACCCATGGCGTACTGAATGGCGGAAAAACGACGAGCGTTAGTGGTCGCGTCGGCGCGAGCGTCAAGTCAAAAGCAACGATCTCACGGATTCGTCGTAGTTGTCGAGGTGCTCCTTGGTGTGGCCGTAGGGGAAAAGCAGCAGCTGGGAGTAGCTGTGGAAGGAGATGTAGGCGAAGAGGCGCTCGATGCCCTTGATGTACTCGGACATGCTTCTGGTCTCGATCTCGGAGAAAGGAGCTCTTCCGGCGTAGGTCTCGGAGCAGGGGTTGCTACTCGCGCCACCGCCTGCACAGCAGATTATCGACAACGAGAATCGTAAACGGAGAGGGAGAACGCGACCGAAACGTACTCATCCACTTGTAGCCCCAGTTGCGGTTGGCGTCGGCTCCCTGGCAGAACAGGCCGCTCTTGGACAGGGTCTTGCGCCACAAGCGGTTCTGCGGATGAACAATGGTCGGAACGGTTAGGCGAGCAGACGACGCGGACCACCGCGGGGGGGCAGAGCTTGCGTACGGTGGTGTGCGTGTAGACGTATCCATCGGGGTTGAAGCTGGGGAACATGTACCAGTCGTGGGCCTCGGCGAGCTCGCGCACGCTAGGCTCCTGGCTGGTGAGCAGCTCGTTGAGCAGGTAGGTGACGGTGGCGGGCGAGATCCACTCGCGGGCGTGGATGCCGCCCTCGACCAGCACGGCCGGCTTGCCCTCGCCGAAGCTCAGCTTCACGCCCTTGATCTGGCGGCCCTGGTAGCTCTTGCCGCCCACCACTACCTGCACCTTGTCCGGGTACTGGGCGGCCATCGAGTCCAGCCACTCGTAGATCTCGTCGAGAGTGTGGTAGCGGTTCCAGCCAAAGCCGGCCTCGCGGGTCAGCGGGTTCTCCTCGTCGATCAGCCGCTGCACGTTCGACACGTAGCTCTCGTAGCGCATGTCCAGCTCGTCCATCAGTCCGACGAAGTCGCTCAGCTGGCCCGGGGCCACCATCACGTCCGCCGCCCGGAACAGCTCGCTCGGTCCGCTCCAGAACGAGTACTGCCGACGGACAAGCGCTTAGTCCCTGGATCGGCGCTCCAGCCGCCTCGCGAGAAAGCTCGCGGAATGTAGAACGCTCGCTCGGATTGGATTTCCGCGGAAAGTGCCTTTCGCCAGAGCGCCCGTCGGCAGAGCTATGACAAAGCGATCCGAGGCCAGTTTTTTCGCCGTGCCGCGAGTTGCTCGGACTTCCGGTCGTTACGCCGCGTCGGCTCGGCAAAATCTCTTTCTTGCGGGCATCGAACGAGCCAATTACACGCCGTCGCCGTCGCTTTTACGATCCGTCCGCTACCAATTAAAACTTGCTCGCCTCTCTCTACTTACGCCCTCGTTCTGCTCCTCCAGCTGCTTCAGAACTTCCAGCTGCTCGGCCGATGAAGGTATCACTCGGAATACCTGGTAGTTCTCGAACGAGACTTTTTCGGCCACGGCAAGGGCTAGCAGCCCGACGAACGCCAATTTCCCCAGCATTTCGTCTCTGAAACAAGCCATTTTCACGCATATACGTTAAAGACGCAGCCTTTCTCGATGAAACCATCAGTCGAGCGAGTGGCCAAGAGGGCTCGCTCCTCCATTCTCGACTCGGCGCAGTCACGTTCAATTAGTCCGACAATAGCGCCCGTCAAAAGTTACTCGAGGTCGCAGTGCTGTATGGAAAAGCAAGAGAGAGCGCGTAGCGTGAAAATTAGGTTGGCAAGCAATAGTTACCCTTTGTCGAGCGTGGGAGATGAAGTTGTGAGCGGCGTGATCTTGCACCGCCGCTATTTATCCGAGTCGTCCCCACCGCTCGCCGTAGAACATATTGCCGGCCGCGTGTGCGCCCGTTTGTCGGCTTCGCTTTATAATTATTTAACGAGAACCAATCGACATTGATTTTCTCGCGCTCGACCGTGCGCTTTAATCGAATAACGCATTCCTCGCCGTATTATCAAGATCGATTCGCGAGCCCGGCCGACCGATGCGCGCGATAGCCTCTATTCGCGGAATCAAAAGCTCACCTGTCAGTCGCCGACATGCGACTTTGATTCGTGCACCTCGATAAGGCTTGCCGATCGCTCCGACAACGCGATGCATCGGCGTCGCGGACGCCCTCCGAGGTGAGAAGCAATCAATATGCAAACAAGTTGATTTCGAGAGAGACGGTCGCTCGATATGCAAACCAGCAGCGATAATTCCGCGGCGATAAATGGCAATCTCGTCTGTTTCGTTGAAATTCCGAGCAGGTACGCTGCGCAGTCGTCGGTCCGTTCACGATAGCAATTCTCATCGCGTAGTAATTAGCCACCTTCACTGTGTACTGGATACTCGTATTGCCTAGGGTTTCGTCAAGCTAATCCCACCTTTTATCGCGTTGCACAAACGACGCATAGACAGCTCGGGCCCATAACGCGACGTATGTTGTGACGCAGTCAAAGATGGTTCTTCTTCATCGTCATCCAGGAAAATGTAAACTGTCTTTCAATGATATTTTTCTATCAGGCGCCCTTGTACTCGCTTGATAAGCTGTTTCGTGTGCCAAATACAAATAGATGCTGGTAGCTTGTCCCTGACTTTGTCTCGACGTTCCTCGTGTCAATATGCTTACATTTACAGGTGCGATGGACGTCCATATTCCAGCGAGCCTACGAAAATCAACAGCAAACATTCTTCTGTATTGCAGAGCCGGACAAAAATTTTGCGGTTGCACAATTGCAAGAAAAGCAGCCTTTAATTAGCTATCAAATAAGAGTCTTTGTTCTTGATACGTGGGTGCATAAGATATAGATACATCCATATACACATTCGTTTGACCTACAGAAAATCTGCTCATATAAATATAATAGTATAGATAAAAAAAGCGATTGAGACAATTCCATACAGTTGCGATACGATAGGTTTTCTTTTCAAATAATGCATATGTCGCTTTGCCAAATATGTATTCCTAAAATATTAGATTAACGCTTATAAAAAAGTCAAACTCGACAATTTTTTTTCATCGCTAAAAAAAATCATTGACATTGATAATTGAATTTTTCACTGGTCTTATCAAATGTTTAATTGTTTCCATGTCGCAAATTTCAATTACACAAGAATTAAGTATCTAAACCTCAGAAATTCAAAAAAAAATAGCGTTTGATTGACTTTCTATACTTTCCGACTAAAATCGGAAACAGGGCGACCTCTGCAGGTACTTCTTGAACTACAATACTTGGCGTAGGCGGATAACGTAAGCTCACTATACATATTTTCCGTGTGTGTGTTTGTATGTGCAATATATGTATGTACTATAGCATACAGCTAACGCGAGCATGTAAGGAGGCAATACTTGTGTACGGTAAACACGCGTACGACTGTTATCTCCATAAACAGAAATGAGACTTTGTTCTCAATGATCTTCGTCTCTTGGCTTGGCAAGAGCAATCCCGTGAACTTTGATTGATCCTCCGACAACTTTTTGTTGTCAATTAACAGTGTCGGTCATTTAATTTTGTTTCAATCGTACATTTTATTAACTGACTGCAGTTAACAGAGACGGCTCAATACAGAACGAATTTTGGGAGTGGCAGTGAAGCAAGTAATCTTAAAGTAGAATAAATGTAAACATTCGGGAGCAGTTGTATTTTTGAAAAAATCATAGCGTCTTGCGGATAAAATACTCGAGTTTTTACGAGTATTGTCGGATATAATTTACGAGAATACGAGAAGATTAGATATTACAAAACATGGTTTATTTTGGTATATGACGTACATACTAAGCTGGCATTCTCCATTAGTCTTCCCATAAGCGCTTATTTATAGTATCGCGTGGTGTTACAGTAAGATTACAGTTTCAGTAAATACTTTAGCTGTAGTGTTTTCAATTGCAAAATGGAGGATATTTTTCAATGGTGCCGGGAAAACAATGCGATGCAAGTTCGCGTTTGGTTAGACGATACAGAGAATGACATGAACCAGGGGTAAGCATAAAATTACCAAGTGAAACATCTTTCAAATAATCGTAAGCTTTTTTTATTGGCTTTATTTATTTCACAGAGATGATCATGGATTCAGTCCTCTTCATTGGTGCTGTAAAGAGGGCCACACAAAACTAGCAGAACTACTTGTTAGCAGAGGAGGTCGAATCAATGCTACGAATAGGGGAGATGATACACCCTTACATTTAGCTGCTGCTCATGGCCATAAGGATATTGTTCAATTGGTATAACTCAAACAGTGTCCAATTGATTAAACATCTAATATAATAATAATCTAATAATTATTTTTCATTTGTGGAACTTTCATTTTTAGTTGCTACGTAATAGGGCAGACGTAAATGTTACCAACGAACATGGTAATACTGCTCTTCATTATGGTTGTTTTTGGGGAGACCAAGCAGTTGCTGAAGAACTTGTAGCTGCTGGTGCTTTAGTATCGATTGCAAATAAAGATGGTGACACTCCATTAGATAAAGCCAGAGGTCCTTTGGCTAAACGATTACATGGTTTGTAAAATAAACAAATATGTTTTACATTGATCTTGGTACTAACTTATAATTTCAATATTAAATTGCAGATATGGCTGTAGAATTTGGACAAGATCTTAAAAAGATCCAATTTAAAGATCAAAGCTGGCTTGGTCTTAAAACTAGAAGTCGTAAGTTAAATTCAATTATTAATATTCAATCTTTTAAATAAGTAAGAAGATATGTTATCGTAGCTTTTGTTTTATTACACAGGTGATGCTACATTATCAAGGCACAAAGGAATAAATATGGCAGATTTGTCTCTACACACTCAATTAGCCGTTTCTCCTAGTGGTGAAACGTGGAGAGGTAGATGGCAAAACAATGACATTGTTGCCAAAATTCTACACGTACGCGAGTGCACTGCAAGAATCTCTAGGGATTTCAACGAAGAATTTCCAAAACTCCGAATATTTTCTCATCCAAACGTACTTCCAGTTTTGGGTTGCGTCAACCAACCTCCTAGGCTTGCCACTGTTTCACAGTACATGGCAAGAGGTAGTCTGCACCGTTTATTGCACGGCGGTACGGGAGTTGTAGTTGACACGGCACGAGCTTTGCGTCTAGCTCTCGATGTTGCGAGAGCTATGGCCTTTTTGCATGGGCTTGAGCGACAGAATAGATGTCGATTCCACTTGAACAGCAAACACGTTATGGTAGGTTAAGAAGCAATGTTAAAATAATGATGCTTGAATATTCCAAAATTATTTTTCATCATATTTTTCAGATTGACGAAGATTTGACAGCACGAGTTAATATGGCAGACTCAAAGTTCTCTTTCCAAGAAATTGGTCGTATATACGAGCCAGCTTGGATGTCACCAGAAGCTCTCAGTAAAAAATCATCGGAAATCAATTTAGAAGCCAGTGATATGTGGAGTTTTGCTGTTTTATTGTGGGAACTTGCGACAAGAGAAGTGCCATTTGCTGATTTATCTCCGATGGAATGCGGAATGAAGGTAATGTAGTTTGCTAGTTGAGTTTTGAAAACGTTTAGTCAACGTCCTTTAAAAACATATTATTCGCTAGATCGCCTTGGAGGATTTACGCGTCAGTATTCCACCCGGGATTTCCCCACACTTGGCAAAACTTATTCGCATTTGTATGAATGAGGATCCAGGAAAGCGACCCTCATTTGACATGGTTGTACCGATTCTTGACAAAATGAAACGTTAAACAACTTCTTAAAAGTCAACGTGATTTGTCGAGTAATTTTTTCGACAACAAATCGAGGAAAATAAGCTTTTTGACTGCCACTATATGATCATAGTGTTCAATATAAAACCGCCTCGAAATATTTTTATAAAACTTTATAAAAATATGCTAATAATGTTAAATTAGTATTTCAATAAGTGCCTATAATCACTGATAGCAAATTTTTAGTAGTTTTTTAATATCAAATGTAATAATCGAATTTATTAACGGTTAGAAGGAAATATACAACTGAAATGATCTTGGAAAGTTATATACACGTTTATATAGAAATGTTATTGTTTTATTTCGTATTGTAATAACAACTGAAAGTATTTTATAATAAATATTTATTTAAAGAATTCATAAAACTCTTGTGTACGCGTGTATTACATTTTGACCAAATACTTAAAAGAACCAATTGAAGCGGAGTAACTTTGTAATTTTCCATATTTGTTTATTTCCTCGAGCAATCTGTAATTATCGTAAATAAATGTCGATGTAACGATAGCGATAAATGGCGAGGAATACATAATACAGCACGTAGCATAGCTTGATTCAGTAACACGACAGCACAACGAGCATCGCGACTGGAACAATTGCATTGCTACGAAGAATATGGAACGGCCTATAATTTCGATTAGCGATGGCAAGATCCAAGGGATCACTCGTGAAAGCGTCTTAGGAAAAAAGTACTTGGCTTTTACTGGTATACCGTACGCGCAACCACCACTCGGCCATCTGCGGTTCAAGGTAACAAGCATAGACTTGGCAGAGCTCTTCAATCACCACGTCAAATGCAAACGATCTGAGAGACACATTTTTGTGCACTACACTAGGAACCCCAAATTCCCGCAAAATGGTCGGGAATACTGGATGCATCGAAACGCACGAACGACATGGCTACGCAATACCAAACCAGTGGGCCGAGACCGTGGAAGGTGATCGGGAACGAAGACTGTCTGTATTTGAACGTTTACACAAATGCCATCGCTCACAAGAGGCCCGTGATGTTTTACATTCACGGTGGAGGTTTCGTCGAGGGTTCAGGAAATCATTGGATTTACGGCGAAGATTATTTCGTCACTATGGACTTGCTGCTCGTCAGTGTCAACTATAGATTAGGGCCTCTCGGTAAAATGCAAATGATAAATCGAGTTATCGAGTCTTTTGGTAACAAGTTATTTCGGCTTCAGGCTTCATGAACCTCGGACACAAAGTAGCTCCCGGCAATCAAGGCTTGCGCGATATTCTATACGCGCTCAAGTGGGTTCAACAAAATATCGAGGCGTTCGGTGGAGATCCCGAGAACGTCACTATTTTCGGCAATAGCTCCGGCTCGGTCGCAAGCCATTTGTTAACTTTGTTACCTGCGGCAAAAGGTTTGCTTTGCGCGCATCGTGCGCCTCACTGCTATACATTCGATACATCCAATCAATCCATTACTCTTCAATGTCAATATCATTGTTTCCTAAAAATCTAGGACTGTTTCACAAAGCTATTTTACAAAGTGGCACAGCTTTCGGACTCAGGCACTTGCTTAAGGAAAACACCAAAAAACCGTTCTTAAATGGCTTCAAAATTGCTACGCTTTTTGGATGTGATTCCGACGATCCAATTGAAGTAGTCGAGTTCCTTCGTTCTGTGCCAGCAGAAAAGCTCGTGTCTGTCGAACATCATTTGTCAACTAAATGGGTACGAAAAAAATGGATGTTTTTTTCTTTTTTATTATATTTTCGAGTAGTTCCAACTGCTTGTATATAGGAAAACGTGATATTAGGTCGTTGTGACTACGGGCCCGTGATCGACGCAAGGTTTTGCGAAGATCCGCTTATTCCAGCTCCACTGGGTCAATTATTGCAAAACGATACGAATATACCGATAATAATAGGAAATACCATCAACGAGGACCTTCTCGGATTTGCTGGTACGTGCGAACAAATTTTTTTATTATAACTGCTATCAAACTGTATATAACTTTGCATTCAAATATCCAGGTTTATGTGAAGATGAAGAACACTTTTCGTTTTATGATGATCATATAGACAACATCATAAGAAATTCGTTAATGCTGAACAACTCTGGCGAAACTGACAAAATAATAGAACATATAAAAGAATATTATTTGAAAAATCAACGGATAAGTCCGAAAACTGTTTGGAATTTGATTAATTTACTGACTCATCTAACAGTAAATTTTGATCGAAAAGTAATCGATTTAAGAAATGGGCACGCTAAAGCTCCGACTTACGTGTACCGATTTTCGTATTGCGGAAACGAGCCCACATTTTATTCCTACGATGAAGGCCCGCAACCTGTGAAAGGTTTGATAGTTCAAATATTTATCGTCACATATAAAAGAAATAAGTTACACGCTGGTACTGCATGTTGCAGGAGTTGCACACGCTGACGAGTTATCGTACATGTTTCACATAAGTTACATGAAAGCTGATGGGACTTTTACGAAATGTCCCGAAGAGGGTTCTGCGGATAGAATGACGCTCGAAAGATTCGTAAGAATGTGGTTCAATTTTGCCGCTACTGGGTGAGCTATCATTTTATCCATTTTTATTTATATATTTTTTCGTATTATCAGTTTACAAACAAAATTAATTTGAGACATCGTGATATATTGGTTCCAGCAATCCCACTCCTAAAACTGATAGTCATTACGTTACAACTATATGGAAGCCGACGACCCCAGAGCATTTGTATTATCTTGATATTGGAGATCATCTTGTTTTGAAAGATGACAGAGATTCACCTGATTGGATAATTTATAAACAATTTCGCAAAAACTATTTAGGATTAAATTTATAATTGCTTTGAAATAAATTTACACTGTCAATTATATCGGAACAATTTTGAATCGTACTATGTAGATAGCAATTTCTATTAGTTATATTACAAATAAAATTTTCAGTTATTTTATTGCTTATGTAATTTTTTTTAAATATTCATTTCCATTTCTTTAATCGTCGATCATCATATGTGAAGAACAAAAATTACTTACAATCTCGACTCTGCGTGAAGCCGATATTCCATTATATCAGTGAAATTGTTTGCTTTCGAAGGTGTGCAATACAATATAATATAAACACAGACAGAATATGACAAATGGCGATTGCAGGTCTGTTATCAAAAATTTTATCTCGGAAGTCTGATTAAGCAATATATTGCCCTAATCTGTCACGCAGATAGGGAAAATGGTTATGGAAATCAAGAGAAATTTGTATTAACTAGGTTTTGGGATCAAATAAAAGGATTTTCTATCAAAAAATTCATATTTATTTATAAAATCACATCTGAAAATAATGAATAATCAGGTAAGCATCTTTTCGTGAATTTAGGGAGTCAGCGGCAGGTGATGGGTACAGGCAGAAAGATGCACTGTACTATAGATACGTATATAGTATAGTGTATATTGGTCTATATAATATGGTGCGTACGTGACCTACAGGCCAAAAGAGTGAGAGAGACAGCAAGCAAGCTTGCGCAGGAGCACCAATGCGGTAGGGGGTGGAGAGAAAGACCGAGACAGAAGATAGTGCTATGAACGCTGTGCTGCGGCAGCACAGAGTCAGCGGCGGAGTTCAGCAGAGTCCCTGCGAGTGTCGAGTGCGTTTTAGGTACGAAGCATTGTAGTATTGTTGATGCTGTACAATCCTTGAATAAAAAATATCACGAGTGGTACGTTGCAAGCCCACTGCAGCATCGCAGCGGGCAAAGAAATCATCGTTGACTTTCAGTACAAGGGTTTGTGCTTCTGTGCTTGTGTGTTTCTCATCAATTTTCAACGTGCCTGCGCTTGCCTACCTGGCTACCTGCAGTTCACTCGAAAACAAATTTTAAGTCGCGAATCACGCTCAATCGATGCATCCAAAAGGATCTACGCTTGACGTTGATCTCAAATAACAATTTGTATACTCGTAACTACGCACCTCAAGTGTTGAGGCTACCACCAGCTATCCGCACTGCATCTTCAGCCAAAATCTAAGCCAAGCAAGGCTATTGTTACTTATTTGCTGATAACTAAGGACAATCTTGCCAACGTTGTGACTAGGGTACACGAAGGAACGAGAGGCCAAACCAAATCGATGCCAGGAAAGTTTTAATCGCAAATGTTGAAAGAGTCAAAATTAAGCAGCAGCGTGCACGGCAGTGTGTTCTGATATTTCCAATTATTTGGTCAGTGGTGAAGAGTCCCCGCAGAACAAACTATTTTTCAGAAAGAAGGGTAAGTGTTTATATTGTGACTCGGCCAATGGCTTTTCTCTTTACACTTGTTATCATAACAATTGAAGCTGTTGATTCTTTAAAAGTGTTGCACATATACATTAATATCCGCGTGTATACATGTATATATAATTTATTTTGGTTAACCTGTTCGATCGATAAAGTAGATCTCTTTCAAGCTAAACAGATTCTTACTTAACCTAGTGATGAGAGAGAGAGATTTAACCTGCACGACGCCGATCGGTAAAGCAAAGCTCGCTCGTGCATGTCCTGTCAAACGAGTCATCCATTTTGTTTACACGAATTTTCTAAACTTTCTTTGCATCGTCTGCATTTTTTACTATGCTGTTCGATTTTGCTGATAGTTCCGTTTTTACCAATATATTATTTTTCTTTATCAATTGGTCATTCCTTACCAACGCAAGTTTCTGTGATGACTTGTAACAATAGTGCCATTTTACCACAGGCAAGATATTTTTCTTTTGGTTACACTATTTTTTGCACTATCACCTTGTTTGGAATGTTTAGTATTTCTATTTTATATTTATAAGGTTAATTATACATATTTATTAATATATTACTTAATTACTTCACGCTTTTTTAATTTTAATGCTATTACATCATGCATTCCAAAAACCATATTCAGTAAATAAACAAATGCTAAGTGCATTTGAGTTACTCATTAGTATTGTTGTTTTTTAATATTTTACTTATTTTTCAAATTCGATTTAAAGGTATTATTTGTCTACTAGTTATTTGCTTTTTTTTTCAGTAATAGGAGTAAAACATCTTACTATGACCTGAATTTCAAGTGACAAGTTTAATAATATGTATGGACAATATACATAATATACTTCATGAAATCTAGATAATGTGATTCCTTTTTACTTAATTAGAAAATCCAACAATAAAAATGGTTAGTAATACATCACACGGAACTCCACGTATACAGGTCTTTCGACCTACGTATGAAGAGTTTAAAGATTTTTCAAAATATATTGCATATATGGAAAGCCAGAATGCACATAAAGCTGGTGTTGCAAAAGTGATTCCACCACCAGAATGGGTTCCAAGAAAACAGGGTTACAACACAGATGACATAAAATTAACTATACCAGCACCCATTTGTCAAGTTGTCACTGGTAAACAAGGACTGTATCAGCAAATCAATATTCAGAAGAAATCAATGACTGTAAAAGAGTATGAAAAACTTGCTCATTCTGAGAGATATAGAACACCAAAACATTTTGATTATGAAGATTTAGAAAGAAAATATTGGAAAAATATTACATATGTTGCACCTATATATGGTGCAGATGTTTCTGGGACATTGACAGATCCAGATGTTAAAGAGTGGAATATAAATAATCTTGGAACAATTTTAGATTATGTTAATAAAGATTATGGTATCTCTATTGAAGGAGTTAACACAGCTTATTTGTATTTTGGGATGTGGAAGACAACCTTTGCATGGCATACAGAAGACATGGATTTATATTCTATAAATTACTTACATTTTGGTGCTCCTAAAACTTGGTATGCTATACCTCCAGAACATGGACGAAGGCTTGAGCGACTGGCTAATGGATTTTTCCCCTCAAGCTATCAAAGTTGCTCTGCATTTCTTCGTCACAAAATGTCATTAATATCTCCACCAGTATTAAAACAATATTCAATTCCTCATGATAAGGTATGTCATTTATTTATATTAATTAATATTAAAAATAAAAATTTTGTCACTGTCATTTACGTGAGATATGCTTTTTAGATTACTCAAGAAGCTGGTGAAATAATGATTACATTTCCATATGGATATCATGCAGGATTCAATCATGGTTTTAATTGTGCAGAGTCTACAAATTTTGCTACACCTCGATGGGTTGAGTATGGAAAGAGAGCTACACAATGTACATGTAGTTCTGATATGGTGAAAATATCAATGAAAACTTTTGTTGAACGTTTTCAACCAGATAGGTAAGAGTGAAATTACATAATCCAGTAAACCTATTTAAAACTATTGAGCCATAAAAATTTTACTGATCAATGCTATCTTTCTTTTTTTTATTAGATATGATTTATGGTTAAGAGGTGAAGATGTTGGGCCTCATCCAGAAGATCCAAGACAAACTGCTGCACCACCACCTACTGCAATAGACCTTTTGTGTCTTGAGAAACCAGAAGGGTCAGCTCATTTTAGCGGTGTTATACCAAAGAACAAAAGACACACTATTCATCGTAAAAAAAGTATCATCAATTCTAATGCAGAAATGAGTACACCAGATATTCCTCCAGACGTTAAAAAAGTTTTACACGATTTAGAAATGGAAGATGGTGAAGTTTTAGATGATCAACCTGATGAACAGCAATTGGAAGTTTTGGAAGATATTTGGTTAAAAGCTGGAGAAATGGGTAAAAATCATTTTAGTACTGGTGTTTATTATTTTTTTTAAGTTTATAAATTTCTCTTAATTTCAATTTTTTTTATTATAGATTTGACAGAGGCTAATGTATATGATGATGGGTACAATCGCAAGAAAAATCGTAAAAGAAAACGGAAATCACAAAATCATGCAGATAAAAGAAAATCAAAATTAAAAGTTGCCTCGACGAAATCGAGTGTTTCATCAGATTTATCAAAAGAAGAACCTGAATTGATTAAAGAAGCATTTTTAAATACTCCAACCTTAACTTTGCCAGACTTTGCCATGGATAGACCCGTAAAATCTATTTCAAATGATCCCAGTTCAGCAAAGAAAAAAATAAAGACTAAATTGCCTAAGAAAGTTAAAGACAAGCCAACAGTACCAAAGGAAGAATTGTTGATACCAAAGGATGAAAATTTTATTGAATTAGTTCCATGTATGAATATTCCAGATTTTAAATCAGAAAGTCCGTCAAAAGATCCTCTCAGTACTCTAGATGACATCATAACGAGCAATCCAGAAATAAATAATGACATAAATTATTCCCCTCAAAATTTGAATAGCAAAAGTAAAATCAGAGAAAAAACTCCTAAAAAGAAGAGATCACCTAAAATCAAGGAATCACACAGTTCAAAAGCTTCAAAGAAAAATAAATCTAAAACAAGCTTGTCAGTGTTAGATGTTTCTGATGTTAATACTTTAAGGCAACTAGTTAACGGTGGTCCCATCCAAAAATCTCACGTTAAGAATTTGAGTTTCGATTCAAATGGATCAAGCTTTTCTCCATTAAGCAAAGTACGAAATAACGAAATACATTCATCGCTTGCTTCTCATAGTCCTACACATAAGCAATTACTTAGCAACAAAAATGGCGGACGTTCAAAATCGAATAAGCCAAAAGGATCTTCAAATATGAAAAAGAATTTTCTGAAACCTCCAGTTCTCCAAATAAAGAGTGATCAACGCGAGGATAGTAATATTCCGAATTGTAAAACCGAACCGACACTATCCAGTGAAATGAGTGCAGTTCTGAATAATACAACATGGCCTATTATTTCAAATGATTTGTCTAAATTAAAACCGGTTAACACTTTATTCAATGCAGAAACTAACGTTTGTCTAGATTCTTCTAATTTTAGTCAAAACAGAAATTTGATTCCTCAAATAGCTAATCCCTTTCAAGCTAGACATTCTCTCACTGATCAACGAATCAAATTTGGTCTCAATAATAAGGTCCCAAATTCAACTATAAGTGGAAATCACTGGCAGATTGGAAATCAAATGCATTTCTTCAATAGCAATAAAGATACATCAAGAAATTTAGAATTAAACAATTCAATTGGTGCATTGTCAAATGGACAAAAAGCTGTTCGGGATAATGCTTTTTCCAATTTTCAAAATGTCGTTGAAAAGACAAATGTAGCCATAGCTAACGTTACTTTAGCTAAGCCGTCTTCATTAATGAGGATTCATTCTCAAACTGAAAATAATTTAGGTAGTCAATTATCTCAGTTTGCAGGAGAAATGAAATTATTAAACAGCGACATTTTAGAAAGTAACGATACAAATTCTCAAGTACAAACATCATTAGAGAACGCTGTCTCCAATTTGTTAACCGAAGAAATAACGTTTAACCAACCAAAATCTAACACTCAAGTGGACATGTTGCCACCTCATTTGTCACGCGAAGGTGTGTCAGTCACATTAATTCCCAAAACTAAATGTACAAGCATTTTCGGATCACCGCGTAAACAGGCAACTCCAAGGAAACTAAAAGTGAATACTCTTAAAACATCCGAGCAGCATAATGATTCGGAAATATCGATTATTAAGAAATCTTTGTCAATGATGGAAGACAACATTAATCTACATACATATGTTGCATCAAAAATTGAATCTGAGACTAGCTCTGACTGTAGTTTGTCTATGACAATGAACGAAGAATTCAAAGGTGAATTTGAAGATGAAAGTACACGCAGTACTTACAGTATACCAGAACATATAAAACCAATGCTCTTTCCGAGCATACCAGATCTCAGTGTTTTACAAGGGTTCAATCACTATTGGAGTGCCCACGTACCACACTGTTCCATTTGCGCGGCGCTATCGCTACGTAACCACAAAGGCAGTAAGCCAATGCCTTTTAATTGGAAAGACAGCAAACCCACAGTATTACCGGAAACGTCACCTATATGGGTAAGAAATAATTTGGTAGTCCACATATATGAACGGCGATGCAGCAGTTATTGATGAAAATTATAATTTTCAATTTCAGGTGTCGACTGATCTCTTTGCAGCAACATCATTAGTACAGAAAACAAAACCTGAAATCAACAAGTTGCTAAGATGTCGGAATTGTCAAGTGACAGTACATGCTTCTTGTTATGGAGTGACAGTACTGCCACCAGATCTGCATAACTGGGCTTGTGATATTTGTCATGCTGGCATGCCAAGCGTTGTAAGGATTATTGCATTATTAAAATTCAATTGTGAAGTTATAAGCGATCGTTATCATCCTAAATATCAATATTTTATCTTTGCAGATGTGTTGTCTATGTCCAATACGAGGTGGAGCATTGAAAAGAACAAGCGATAGCCAATGGGTACACGTACTATGTGCACTTCTGTTGAGCGCAAGATTCAAGGATCCTGTAAATAAAGAGCCGATAAATGTGCTGGGTATCCACAGGCCCGTAGGTGAAGTCCAATGTTGCCATTGTGAGCAGTCTACGGGAACGTTTTTAAAGTGCCATGACAAACATTGCGATGCCCTCTTCCATTCGACATGTGCCCTCTTGACTGGCGCAACTGTTGCCAAATCGACGTCCGAGAGAAGTCGATTAGAGGTGTGTATTGATGGCTTGATTGAATTGCGTAACAATGTTCAGTCGGGATTTTGAATGTGATTACTCGTGTAATAAACGAGACGAAATGAGTGTCCGATCAATGATATGCCCTTAATTGCGCTGTAACCTTGTACGATTACAATCATGCGTTCACGAGAGAAGCTTTATCGTGTCTTGTTAAAGTTATTCAATACAGTTATGACTCGTCAACGGATAAATTTCTTTTATTGACTTTGGTCAGGGAACTTGTATTCGTACATTTACTCACACGCTCGTCAACTCCTCAACTTATGACGAATGCCGACTCGTTGATCTTGATGAACGTTGTAAGCGGTTTTCCTTGAGGAAATTTAGTAAATTTGAACTTTTTACTTTTTAGGTGCTGTGTAATAAACATGATAGTCAAGACAAAATACCCATCAGGCAAGGAGAAATGGTTTACGCCAAGCATAAGAATACGAGATACTATAAAGCCGAAGTTATTTCCATATCAGATAGCATTTGCTTTTTCGTAGTCTTTGAGGATGAAAGTTTTTCAAATGATCTCCCGCCAGAAGATGTAGTTGTGAGTATTAATCTGAACCCAAAGCATGTCAAATTTTGTAGAGTGTAATTTGGTATCTTCAATGGCTCGGCCCGCGCTCGGCTTGAAGCTTTGAGTCTACTTGAGCCCTTACGTTTTGCTGTATTTTCGAATTCAAATTTTCAAAGTTTAATGCTAATTGGAATCAGCCTACGGAGTTTTAACGCTTATATTGAGCCTTCAAGTCTTTGAAATTCATCTGCTGAATTCAGAACTCAAATGCTCTGTTTTCTTGGGCTTTCATAACCCAAATATAATTAAAATAATAACTCTTATTTCAGGGTTACGAACCAGGAAAGATTCCTCCAATCGGAACAGAAGTAATGGTCAATTGGAAAGAAGAAGGTATCTACCCTGCTACGTTTACTGGAATTGATCACATGATAACTTACACGGTTCGTAACTATTCACTAAAGGATAAATGTATTTCCAATTGAGTCATTTTCATTCTAAGTTCACCTTGATATTGAAATGTTACAGGTCTCATTCGAAGATGGTTCGACACTTCAATTGAAACGTAGCGATATATACAGTCTTGAAGAAGAGTTACCTAAAAGAGTGCGATCACGTTTGGTGAGTTAAGTTTGAAACTCGATTCTGACGAGTCGACCATGGAAATCTTAAAAAAAATATTAATATAACTTGACGTGTTTCTGAAAATCTACTGTTAAATTTTATAAAAATTAAGAATCTTAAATAAGCAGGAGTAGAATAATCAACGCGAAAGATATAGCGTTAATTTTTTCAAAATTTATATCTATAAATCTTTTAAAAATGATAGCGTTCACTAATAAGAACGTTTTTTCGATAAAAGGAAATGACGTGTAAAAGCTATGAATTAAAAGAACGGCATAGTTACGATTTTTTAAATCGCACTTGTTATTTTTTTTTCTCTTTATTTGATTATTATTTTAATAACTAGCATAACGAATTTTCATTTTATTAATTTATTATGTTTATTTTGGCTGTTTTTTCGGTGTTTGCGGTATATAATATAGTCTACTGCTACGGAAATGCAGCATCGAGGACATCTTTATGGAATGAAGAATGGGAGTGAAATGAGAAAAGTGAAGCCACCGAAAAGATTGTAAATTCTTAACAGATTTATTAATGTTAATTTATTACGAGATAAGATTGGAATGAATGAAAATTATTGAGACGTAGAATGTTTGATTACGAAGTGACCTCTGTGTTAGAGAATTGTTATCCTTATTAAGTTAGCTGCAGTAAGTTATTTTGTTTAAAGATTAATGTTTCATTGTAGTTTGAGATTTTTTTTATCTAACAAAGACTTTGCAATGCTGGTAAAGCATTGATATCTATTGTACAAAATGAAAAGTACAGAGTCGTATTTTAAGTTGAAAATTCATGATTGCTTGTGTGTACTTTTCGTATTTTACGAAACAATCTTGTACATTTTGAGAGAAATAAATGCGAGGGAAAGATCGCGATGAAAAATAGTTTTACTTTAACTTTGTAATGCGTAACGTTGTATAATTTATGTTTTCTACGTTTGATATCTAGGTCTATCAAGTGTTTTGAAGCAACTAGCGAATCGAGACGGTTGGTGACGATGCGATTTTATCATTTGGCTTTGGATAAGATATTTGTGTGAATTTTTAAACGAGGATATTTATTTTGTAGTTGATGCACAGATCTTTCCTTCGTAATAAAATTTAAGAAAAAGGTCTGCCTACGAGCAGTTACACTGTAGATACATGTTCGACATTGCGCGTAATCGTACGTTTGTAACAAATTTCTTGGCTTGTATATGCAGCGTCATTTGCGACAGAGAATAACTGAATATTCTAGATTAAAATAAAATGTAGGCTATGATGAACAAGTAAGTGAGATCATCGAGTACTAAATATTATAAACAATGTGTGATTATTAAAAGTCTATCTGATATTTAAACAAAGAAACATAGCCTTTGTGTCTTTTTACCCGTAATACCCGTAGGTATGAGTACACCTATAGGTTTAGTTGAAATGCGGATTGATGGTGCAAAATTACTGGTGTGAAGTGGTGAACAAAATAAATCTTAAGTTTACAATTAGGATAAATCTGTTTTATTGTAGCGTCAACTTTTATATACTTCTCAAACTTAAATATAATTTTTGTCATTAAAATACAAATTCAGGAACAACGGTGAATGACAAAAACTAGCGAGTATGAGAAAAGTTTCGTTGCTTTTCAATTAAAATAATCATCAATCTATCTTTCGCTCTCTTTCACTCTCTCACTCTCGTTTTACGCGTACATCTCTCTCTGGAAAAAGATTTTCTCTAGAGCCGTACTTTTTTTCTCGCTTTCTCTCTCTCTCTCTCTCGCTCTCTCTCTCTCTCTCTCTCTCTCAATATCCAACTCTATAATTTTCTCTTTCGGAAATACACACAAAATATAATAATATAATAATTAAATAGCAAATATTGTAGCAGTCATGCATTGAGTCGCGCACACGATATCCTGAGAAAATACCTTCAACTAAATACTTGATATACGCGTGAGCGCGTACCGAGACAATATAGACTGATTACGAACCCCCGCCGAGTATCGGTAACCGCTAGACCCTTTGCGATACACGTATGCAATTACGTATTACAAATAATAATATTAATACCATATAATAATAAAAATAATCAATATTAATACAATAATATATATAATAAAATAATATATAACATGTATATATATATGTATATACATACATATATATATATATATATTATCTAAAGCGGAATGTACATTAAGTGTTTGCCACTAGAGCAAAAGAATTAAGTTACCGGGTGCAGCCTGCTTGCCGAACTCGTGCAGATCGGGCAATAAACGTTTAGTGACTAGATGAAGAATCGTCGGGGATCTCTCTTTAAATAAACATCGCTGGTTGTCGTTGTGGTAGGTCGTGTTTTCTATCTCTGTTTCACGCTCTCTCTTTCTCTCTCGCTCGCTCCCTCGTTAACTGTCTCGTAGTCTCGGTAATAGTATAAGCATATCGTCGCCGCTCTAGAATCAACAGCGCGTCAGACAGAGAATAATCAGTTGGATAGTCGTGCTAGGTCTGGGAGGCTCGGTCGGCTTCCTCGGCGTTTTCGGAGCAGCATCAGAGGCAGCAAGCCGTTCGCGCGGCGATCGTTGGCACGTAGCCGCCGCCGCCGCCTCCTCTCTCTCTCTCCTCATCCTCGTCCTCGTCTTCTCAAAGAGCATTGGCCTTCCTCTTTTCCGACTCCGACTGCAATCGTACAAACATTCCTCGTTTTCTTTCTAACTCCAGTTTTTTTGGCTTTTTCATCGTTTTGTTCGTGTCTGTTGGAAGGTTCATGAGAGATGGTGATCGATCGGATGATGATTATTGCATTGCATATTGCATTGCATTGCATTGGGCGCGTGACATGACGTATATCGGCGGTGCACTGAACGTTATCGCGGGCGAATGGTGATGCCAGAGTGGCGGAGGGTTGGGCGAGCGAAAGCTAGCGGGGTAGGGGCAGGGGCGGCTGCGGCTGCGGCGGCGGCGGCGGCAGGGAGGAGGAGTGGGCGAGGAGGGGTCAGAGGCGCATGGCCTTGCGGAAGAAGCGCTTGAGGATGGCGAACAGGTGAAAGATGCCCTTAAATAGAGAAAAGTTGCGTACTTTGGCGGCGGGATAGAGGAAGGTGATGGCCTCGGCCTCGCCGAGGCTCGACTTGGCGACGCACTTGTAGCCGTCCATGTCCTGCCAGCGGATGTTGGCTATGACGAGGTTGCCGTTGGGCTGCACGACGAAGCGCGGGTCCAGCAGCGGGTTGCCCTCGCCGTCCAGCCAGTAGACGTGCGGTCGCGGTTTGCCCTGGGCCTCGCAGGGCAGCACCACCGTCGAGCCTATCTCGGAGAAGTAGAGCGGCCGGTGGCGCGTGATGACGGGCGCGCTGGCCACGGTGTCGCACGTCGAGTTGCCGCCTGCGGGTCAGTCGGGCGCGTTAGCGGGCGCTCGGTCGTCGTCGTCGTCGTCGCCGCCAGGGCCGCGCGGGCGTCGCTCACCTTCGACGTTAAGTACCGTTGGCTGGCTGATGACTATCTTGTCGCCGGACACGCCGACGCAGTGCATCAGGCTCTGGTCCTGCGGGCCCACGCAGTCGATCGTCAGCCTGGACAGCTCGCGGGCGATCGCCGTGTACGGCACGTCGGCCACGCTCTCGCGCTCCAGCTGCTCCACCTGTCGGCCCGGGTTCTCGCCCATCACCCAGTAGACGCGCGGCGGCGGGCTGCCGTCCACCTCGCACTTGAGCTCCAGCCGCTGCCTGCAAGTGGCATCGGCCCGCTGTAGCCCGCTGTAGCCCGCTGTAGCCCGCTGTGGGTCGCCGGTTCGGCGCGCGGCCGACCTCTCGCCGCGCGGGCGGGTACTCACCCCCTGGCCAGGCTCACGTAGCTGCTCGGGCTCTCCTTGATCGTCACGTACTTCTCCAGATGGTTCTTGCGCGCGTCGGCGGGCAGCTCGCCCACCAGCTCGGACGCCTCGCCCAGGCGCAGCTCCTGGGAGTAGAGGTTGGCGTCCTCGGCCATGTCCTGCTCGACGTCGTGCAGCGTCCGGCTGAGGCTGAAGCCGCTGGCCGGCGCGAGCGCGCCGAGCAGGCCGAGGGCCAGCAGGCAGCCGAGGCTCGCTCTGGCTGGTCGCTGCATCTGCAATCGCGATCGAGAGCTGCTATTCGACACTGCGATGCTGCTGCTGGTGCTGGTTCGCGGCGACGGGTGACCGGTGGCGGCCGGTTGTCTTGACGCGTCCGAGGAGCTGCTGCCGAGCGGATCCCTCATAATCGACGGCTGGCGACCGAATAGCCGCTACGCAGCAGTCGCGGAATCGGCCTCCCGACTTTCTCTCCCACCCCGGCTCGTCGCAGCTCTACCTATATATTGCATCAGCAAAAAGAGCTCGAGCGCGAGAGAGCGCGTCGCGCGCGCCCGACTAAGACTGTGAACGAGGCCCCTCGGGAGTGGGGAGAGAGAGCGCTGCGCTTTTCGGAGCGCAAAGTGCCGGGCACGTGTGTGGGTAGCGTAGCGCGATAGGGAGAGAGGAGAGAAAGAGGGCATGCGAGACGCGGAGAACCGGCAAACTGGCCGCCACCGCCGCGCGTTTGCGAGCAAAGAACACGAAGAAGAAGAAGAAGAAGAAGAAGAAGAAGAAGAAGAAACAGCAGCTGCGGTAGAAGAAGAAGAAGAAGAAGAAGAAGAAGAAGAAGAAGAAGAGGAAGATGACGATGAAGAACGAGACGAAGAAGAAGAAGAAGAAGAAGAAGAAGGCAAGGCGGACGACGATCAAACGACAGGAAGGAGACTCACTGTCTGCTGGTGCAAGTGGAGGATTCGCCACTGAATGACTCGGGAGGAGCTTGAGAGCTTGGAGCGTGGAGCGCAGTTGGCTGCTGCAGCTGTTCCCAGACGAGTGCGAGCGGGACTATGAGTATGCGGGCGCGCAAGCCGCTAGTGTGCAGGTCCAGTAGTAGAGTCTATCCGTGAGTGTCCTTTCGGAGGAGGCGGGTTGTAGTCGACTGCTGAGCCTCCTGTTGCCGGCGGTACATTTATACGTTCAAATGCAACAATCGTCTTGTCTCGTTTCCTTCCGATTGGCCTTCGAAAGCCAGAGTGGGGGCATTCGGTTTCCCCAGCAACTAATTCAATTTCTCATAGCCCTCGCAGGCGTGCGCTCGGTTCTCGAGAGGTCGCGGAGAAAGGAGGAGAAGGGGAGAGCAAGCAGCAAGCAAGAAAGACGAGCAGCGGGAGAGAGGGAGGAAGGGATCGAGACGCTGCGGCTCGGCCGTCGCCGGCGACGATGCCGTCGGCGATGCTGCACGCAGACCGAGGCGCAGGTGGCAGCGTGGCCTCGCCAGCGGAGCCCTGCGCACGGCACTGGCGAATTCGGGAAGACTCCCGAAGCGCCGTCGTCTTCTCGGAAAAGCGCGTACGCTCGCTTCGGCGACTCTCTCCCTCCAGCCTCGTCCTCCCTCAACCCTCCCTCCCTCTCTCCTTTCAAGGCAAACTCCCAGCTTCTTTTCTCTCTCTCGCTCTCTGGCTCTCTCGCTCTCTCGCCCTCTTGCCACCTCCTCTCGTGGCGCTCTTCTTCTTATTCCGCTTATACACTTGTCGTGGTCGACTCGTTGCCGCCGCCACCGCCGCCGCCGCCGCCGCCGCCGCCGCTCACTATCTTCGTTTCGCTCGCGCTCTCGCCGGTGGAATTATCGAGTAGTCGTTAAATTTAACGCGAGCCGGAAGTTGCCCTCGGTCTCGCAGCCGCAGCTCGAAAACGCTCGTAGGCTCGCGCCGGAGTAGGTGAGGCGGCAGAAAAGGAAGAGGCTCGGATCCGTTGGCCGCTTCCGAGGGGGAGACGAGTCCAACGAGAGAGAGGAGAGATTCTCGGAAGGCCTCCTCGGCGACGCGGAGCCTCGCGAGAGGCGAGAGCGAGAGAGGGCCGGCAATTACGTCACTGTAGCCTAGAGATCGCAAGAAACGATCGTTGCTCCGGCACGCGTTCCGCCCATTAAATGACGATTATGAGCCTTTCTCCTATCGGGCGCCGATCGGCACGTACGCACCACCGGCTCGGGCACGCCGCCTCCGCTGCCGCTCGTCCTGCGATCGCGCGAGACCGAGACGACATTCCGAGCATTCCCGAGCAAAACGATATCTCGCTGCGCACTCCTTTTTGCCGCGCGGCTGCCGCTTTTCCCGCGGCCGCGGTGCCCGATCGGCCGCGGCCGCCAAAGGCCTTGCAAGGATGCGAAATCCGATAATTCGGGCGCGTAGGCGACCGCGCGCAGCTGACCACGCCGCAAAAGTCGCGAGGCGGCAAAAACGCCGCGCGCTCCGGTTACACGGCGGCCGACGCTCGAGATCGCCGAACGGCCGCGCCGCCCGTCTCGCGACCCGCGCCCGACCCGAGGGCCCTGACCCGCCGTCCGCGGCTCGCCCCCGCGGCCGATCGCTCGCCGATCCTCCGCGCGTGCTCGGCGGCCCCGGCGCCTCGGCCGGCGTCGCGCGGCCCTTATCTCGCCCGGACGTGCAATTATTTGCGAGGAAATTATTGGCCATCGCTCCGGAAAACACGTGCGAATCGCGGCTGACTCACTCGTCCAAGTTCGCGACTATCGCGCGCGCATTTCTCGCATTCGGCTGAGATTGCGTCAAATAACGCAATAGCAATAGCGACAATAATAATAACAATAACAGTAAGAATAACGGTAATAATGACGAAATCAGTCTCGAACGTATCCAAAAGGCTCCTTAACGGACTTTATTGCGTATTATGCGGGCGAAACTCGTTCACCCAGTGTAGGATCGACAGTTATGACGAAGCTACTTTAATTCTGTGAAATTCGTCCGATCGTTCAAAACTGTTCTTCCCCACCAAACGACTACTTTACGACTTATAAGAATCAACGAAAGGTGTGCATTTTCTTGTTCCAGTTTAATTTTATATGGAAATCTTTGATGCTCCGATACTTTGCGCCTGCACCTGTTGAATACCGCGAGGGCAACCCTATTCTTGAGACATCAAGAAGAAAGACCATACGCTGGTGTGTGTGTGTATGTATATATATAATATATATATATATATATATATATATATATATATATATATATATATATATATATATTATATAGGCCTCGGTGCAGCCCGCTGCTCAGCTGAGTTTTCCGCTCGAACTTTCGCATTTTAGACGGCGATGAGTTCTAGAGTGGTTCAAGCTTCCAAGCTTGCAACACACTTCGCACGCGATAGCTCAAAAACTGCGTTAAACCTTGAAATTTACCCAATTATTTGAGCTTTCCAGTTGATCAAACAATATGATCGGGTTGAAATTAAAATGATATTCGAGCACGATCGATAAAGTTCGAATTGACTCGGAGCTCCGCGAAGCTGAAGTCGCTCAACCTTTACAGCTTCTGCAGACTTTCCACTTTAAATAAATAAGCGCGGCGAGCATTAGAAATATAGCGCGCGCACATTAAAAATAAAAGCTGCACCATTGTTTCCGTTTGCAGATTAGTCGATTTGAAACTTATTTCTACTGCGTGACATTGTGTTTTCATCACCTGTAAAGATAGTTCAAACACCAGCCGTGACTCTGTCGCGAAAATAATTTTGTTTATTAACATTAATGCGTTCTTCTAAAAGCTGCCAACAATAGAAGCGCGCGTTAGCTTCGGCGCTCGGTGAGACCTTCAACGTCACCAAATCAAACGAGGTGCTGCAACTCGCACGCTGCCGCGCTTTCTCGACTAGACGAGAAAGTGAATTTCGACCAACATCATGCGAATCCGCGCGTCGAGACGCGAACCGACTTTCCATGCCCGCCACTGACTTCGCGCTTCAGAGCTGAAATTGCAAAGGACGCCTATGTGGAAGCGACAAGGGACGCCGCCGCGAGAGCAGCTCTCGCTGACGCAACGTTGTCGAAACGTTCGACAGCCTGCGTCGGTTGCTCCAGATTTCGGCCCGAGGGCAGAACAAAAGCGGTCGACGCCGGCGAAAACCAGCCGAGCGGCGCGCTGCTTTCTAAATCGCGGCGAGCGGGCGTGCAAACAGAGGAGCGCGCGGACGGAAGAATCGCTGCGCTGGACAAGCGAAGAGGCCGCGCGGCTCGCATACAAATGCGCCGGCGGCGGCGGCGGCGGCGGCGACGGCGGCGGCGCATTTGCATGTGAATTTTTAGAGGGCGCATCGCGCGCCCGGAGCGCATCCGCTGGAGCAATTGGCCCGCGCGGCCGGCGCGAGGCGGCCGCTGCGAGTCGTGACTGGCGGCACGTCCAGCTTGCAAACGTGCACTTCGCCACGAGGCCACGAGAACAATTGCCCGCGGGCGCGCTGGATCTCGGGCGTGAATCATGGGAGAGAGGCGCGCCGCGGCGAGGAAGGGAGGCGAGAGAGGGAGGCGAGAAAGGGAGGCCCCCCGGCGCTTGGATGAAAATTGGGTGGGCCGCGGCGATCGGGAGAGCGGCCGGCCCTTGAGCGGCGCGTCCGCTCCCTCGCTGGGGACTTCCCGGGGAATTCGGCAAAACCCCGGCCGGCGCGTGACACAATAGCCTCTCAAAGCTGCGCCGCGACTCGGCGGTCCGCCGCCTGGGCTTTCCGGAAAAACCTCGGCGCTTATCTATCGCCCACTGTGATGCCGTCGCTTGCGATATTCCACGAAGCGGCGCGCGTGGCCCACTCGTCGAGCGCCGAGCCGATCGGCGCCGGAGATGAAAAGAAAGGCCGGAATTGCCGGCATTCTCGGATTCTCGGCGCGGCGCGCCGAGCGAGAGCGGCGAGCGGGCAAATCGGCGCGAGTGATCGCCGATGCCGCGGCCCGCGCAACCAGGCTAATGCTTAATTGAGCGCCCGTCACGCGCGCACGTCCATCGGATCGGCGGCTCCTAGGCGGCGAAAGGGGAGAGTCCGAACAAAGCCTCGAAATTGATCGCGCTCGTTCGTAATAACGATGCGGCGGCTTTCGCGGAATTGGCTGCCCTCGATTGCCTCGATTGTCATCGGCCGGCGAGCCGCAGCGCTCGCCCCGCGGCGCCCTCCCGCCCCCGGGCTGCGCAGGCGGGCCGGCCTCCCCCTGCGGCTCGTCGTCGCCGGCGCGGAGCCGCGCGCCGCGCGTCATCGCGAAATTGAAACGTCCCAATTGCGCGCGGCGCGACCGCCGGCTATTTTCCACCGCCGCGGCGGCCGCTGACGCGCTCGAGCGCGGCCGAGCGCGGCCGAGAAGGCCGAGGGCAGCCGGCGGCGCGGCCGCGAGGACGGGCCGCGCGGGCCGCGCGGGCCGTCCGGAGCGCGCCCGCGGCGGCCGAGGGACGCGCGGGCGTGGGCGGTGCCGCGTGGCGCGATGGAAAAAGACCGGCGGAGGCGCGCGGCCTCTAATTGGGAGCGATATTCAATCAGCGGTGCCGAGTGGGAGCGACGTAATCGCCGGTAATTGAGGAAAGCGCGCGAGCGCGCGCCCGGCGGAGAGACGAGCCCCCGGACGGCGCGACCTTATCGCCGCGGGACGGCTCATCGTCCCCGGGCGTCCGCCGCCGCGGCGCAATCAAGCGGCGCCCTTATCGGTCATCCATCGATTGGCCAATTGGAGCGCGCCCGGCCCCCGCGGCGTCGCCGGCCCGGCTGCGCTCCGCGAGATGCCGATCCTTGGTTCGCCCGGCCGGCCAGCTGGCCACTCGCGTCGAGCCGTCGCGAGAACCAGTATCGGCTCGTTCTCCACTGGCCCCGCTCGGCCGATCGCCGCTCATCTGCATACCCGGTATAATCACCGCCTCTTATAATCTCTCGGCGGCGTAATTGCGCGCGCGGCCGGACCTTCGTCCGCGCCGAGCGCGCCGCGACTGTTCGAGAAGCGAGCGAGCGATAATCGGCAGTCGAGCGCGCCGGCTAACGATCGCGCCACGCCGGTTGCACCGATGCGCGAGAAAATTCGAGTCCGGAGGAAACTGGTCTATCTGGTCGGCGGCTCAGAAGCCGCAACTGCGGAGAATCTCGCCTAGATTCGAGAGATGCTCGAGTGGCCGTGTGGCCCGGCAGCGGCACCGCCGGTAATTGATTAAGCCACTTCCGCTATGTGTCATGCTTTTTCCTGGCGCGACACACGCGCGCGCCTCTAATCAATAGACCGCATGGCTTTATCGGCGCGCAACCGCTGATACGATTGCCACCGCACCGCGGACTGATCGCATCAACGCCGATTAATAGCCGCAACGACCGCCTCCATTCTCACGTGATCAAGATTGCCCATTAATTCGTTTGCCAAGAGAGCGTGAATTCGGCCGCCGGCGGATCGCGCCAGTTCGAGCTTTCGGCTGCCTCCCTCTCCCCCGCTCTCCCTCCCCCCTCGGCCGCGCGCAGCTATTTCTTTCGTCGGCCAGCAGCCACTTGCGCGCCGGCGATCAAACTTTATCCACCGAGCGTCGTTTAATTTTAGAGTTCGCCGCGGCTGCCGACGCACGGCGAGGGGCTTCGCGAGAGAGAGAGAGCGAGAGAGAGAGAGAGAGAGAGACAGAGACAGAGCGGGCGCGCGCGCGCGACCGACCAGACAGAAAGTCGTTCAACGTCCAAGGTCTAGCTTTCCACCTCTAGCGCTGCGCGAGCGCAGCTTTCAAATAAAGCTGCCGACGACACGAGCAGCACGACTCGCGCGTAGGCCGTCGCGACGCTCCTTTCGTCTCTCTTTCGTCTCCCTTTCGTCTCGCCCTTTTGCCTCTCTTTTTCTCGCGGCGCGCCCGTTCGCCCGCTCGAGCTTTGTGCTTCGCGCTTTTATTATCGGCTTTTTCGCTTCCAACTACGGAGAGCCAGCAAAACTTTAGAGCCCCGCGGTCGCCCTTCTCCCCCCGTTCCCCCTCGGCCCGCCCGTACCTCCACGTCGCAGAGGCGGCAAAGGATAATCGGCTCGCGCCGAGGATGCAAATATTCGGATTGCTCGCGCGTCTACGAAAATCGCCCGATCGCCCAGTGACTCATTGCCAGTAGAATGCAAGATAGGCGCGAGCCCGAGACGCCAGAGCCACTCGCCGCCGCAGCGCCGTGAGATCGAGCAAGGCTAACGAATTTCCGAACGGCAATCAGTGATTTTTCGGATATGACCGGTTCTACTTTGCGCAGCCACACTCATCGAACCGGCCATCGAGCCATTGCGCAGACCGCAGTACTCCAGTTTATATAATCGGATTGAATGGCTGCAATGGCTGCATGGAAGCGGGCAGGCCGATCGCCGTGAATCGGGCTTTTGTCGCTTGACTGCCGTTCGGGGGCGTTCAATGGCACATTTTCGGAATGGCCGCGGTCGCGACCGCCGCGCGTCATCTCAAGCTCCGACCTCTTTCGTCATCCGTTGTCGACCGTTGGGAAAGAGCGTGCCGGCTTCGCCCAAAGATGGTGCATCGGCTGCTCTTCCCAGAATCCCGACAATCCTTTTCCCAAGCGTTTCGCCACGCGGCCGGCCCCAGCCGCCTTTCACTGGCCGATCGCGCGGCCCGCCCCGGCGCTCGCCCGGCTGACCGACTGGTCGCGCGCGCGCGCGCGCGGCCCACTTGACGACCGCCAGCGAGGTAGATATCTGCAGGCGCGCGCCAATTCGAACGCGGCTCCCCGATCGCGCTGACGGGCGCCGGACGTCGCGCCGGACGCCGGGCCCGCGCCCCCCTCGCCGCGGCACCATCGGCGTCCCGTTCGAACGCGCGCCATCGGCGGCGCGACGCGACGGAAATGAGGCGAAAACGTTGCGCGATTACGAGCTGCCGTCGCGCCGATCGATCGCGTGATCTCGCGCCGAAGGAGCGCAGCGCGACGCGGATGACGCGCGTCTGCGATTGGCATCGGAGCGATCTCTCTGCCTCTCTGTCGCCGCGTGCGGCCCCCGTCACCTCTGCCTGACTCTTCTCTGAGCGGGTGCCATGTGACCGAAGATCCCGAGACTCCGCGGAATTTGCATTCGCGCAAGGCCAGCCGCCAGAGACTGCGGCCGCGCTCTCCCGCAGGCCGCCTAAAAATAAACCTCGCGTTCTCCGCGCCTCACCGTTGCCAATTCCAACGGTCCGCTAATTGAACTGACCTTTGCATTGCCAATCGATAATGCCGCTTTTTGCACAACTAGTGCACGCGCTCGTGGGGCAAGCTTTCCGCTGCCAGTGCACGCGGCATTCACCACACTTCACTCCTACTGAATAGTCTGACCTTATAATACTTACAGTTTTATGACTCTCGTGATTTATATGAGCGCGCCATAAAAACGGCGCGGTAGTCTCGGTAGGTAACGCGTTTACGGCTCTCTCCTGCTGGATAGGTGCTGCCACCTGCAACGGCTGCCGACAATTCCGAAGACAACTGCTCGCTCGGTAACTCGGAGCGCGCCAGTTGCCTCCAAAATGGCGAAATGGTTGGCTCTCGACAAAATTGCAAACTTCATTCAGTGTATAAAACACAACGGTGGGATCTTAGGATCGTTACGTACGTTGTATAGGTACGTTTGATCAGCAATTTTTCTAACGATACAATATCCTCTGCTCTGTTTATGCAAAAAAAATCGATGATTGTTGTTTGAACGTCGAATGGAGGTTAGGCCCAGCTAATGTTATGATATTAAAGTGTAAGTTTTTTTCCCATTTCAGAGTGGACGAGTTGAAATTTGGTAACTTGGTTGGTCAAGACAAGTATGGCAACAAGTATTACGAGAATAATATGTACTTTTACGGTAATGTCATTAGCGAGACCATCGCGAGAGCTTACTACCGGGTAAGTGTTGTTGCGTGTGATAACGATATTTATAGTGTTTTTGGATCCACAGGTAGGAACCGATGGGTGATTTACAGTGAAAATGTTGGTATGAACTATGATGCTGCGCAAGTTCCAGCGGAATGGTACGGGTGGTTGCATTACAAGACGGATTTACTTCCACATAGAGATCCGTACAGGCCAAAGTACAAGTGGATGGCTGATCATACGCCCAATTTATCAGGCACAAACAAGGCTTACATGCCCTACAGTACCACCAAACCAAAGATAGAAGCATGGCAACCTAAGGATTAGCTAAGCAAGGGTGTAGCAAATTGATGTACCGTGATAATATAGCAGCATTGAAGTTATTGTAAATTTTATTTCTTTTCTTGAGTAATGTATCAAAGTACTCTCTGTGTATATAATTACCAGTGTGCAAGAGCAACTGGACGTTGAATAAAATTAATGGGAGTTACTTGTTGGATCATTGTCATTTCTATCACTTGCCTTGACTGCTGAGGAAAAGACTTGAAAATTGGCTTTGGGAAAACTCGAAAAGGCTGGGGAACGGCGGCGCGGAGCAGGAGAGATGTTTGCGAAGAGCGGTAATGAGGGTAATGGAGCGATGAATCATTCGGCCGTGCTCAACCAATCAATTCAAACGCGACGCAAAAGCTGAGGAGCATCCAAGTGGTGTAAATCAGGCGAAAGTGCCGGCCGACAGCGTGGCCCGTCTAGTAGTACGTGTTATTCCGCGTGGAACGAGGCGTACATAAGAAGCTCTCCGGGAACGGGGTAGTATATGGAGTTGCAATGTCGCGTGCTAATTGAAGGCATAGATTAGCTCGGCGAGCAAGCGGAAACGTATATGCGGGGTCAGCCGGCAAAGTCGAAAGTCGCAGCGGCAGGGCGGAGGGGGGCTACTTAGCGCGTTAAGTGCTCGCGAGTGAAAGTTAACTGGACTTGACGCATCTCTCGGTTTCAGCGAGCGTTTCGCTAATTAGATCAGGGCATAATATACGGGAGCAGTGGCTGTGGGAAGTAATTGCATTTGCGCGATTGTTTATAATGAAGCTCAAGAGAGAGAGAGAGAGAGAGAGAGAGAGCGAGCGAGAGAGCGAGGGACGAGAGCCGATGTTGTTCGCAGGGCGTATTAACAAGGGGGCGAACAAGATCGAGGCGTGTCCCGGCAATAAATCAGGCTTAGGCGCTCGGGATTGTGCGCGCATGATTGCGGATCTCGCGCCGGAGGAGGCGTTTCGTTGGATCAAGCGGCTGTAAACGCGATTGTCAACGAGGCCGCGCTCGTTTTGCGGGCCGGCTCTTTATTTCGATGGCGGGCACGCGACGCCAGATAAGTGCGCTCGCTCGCCACGGGGGTAGGTCGGGTCGCGCCACGTGGCCGCAACTCTTTTCGGATTACAGCCGCGCTCGGGCTTATCTCCCCCGCGCCGGAGAGCCGAGCTCGCGCGAGAGCGCCCGTCGATAGCGCGCGCGAGAGACTCTCGCCGCGCCTCATTAATATCGGGTGCGCGCGACGCCCTGAGAGTCGGCCCGAGGAGTCGTAAAGTCGGGGCTGCAGCAATATCGGGGCAGCGATTTATCGGTCGCCGAGAGGCGTTAATACCTGCTTTCGCGCGGGGCTTTAAATCAATGAAAAATGTCGCCTAATTGCGAATATGAAAAAACTTGGCTCCCCTCGCAGCTGCGAAATTATCAAAGTTTGGCTGCCGCCGCGAGATTGTTTGTCGCGCTCTCTTGCCAGTCGATACATCGGCATTTTTACGAGGGACTACGCAGCAGTCGAACGCTTTTATCGGGCGTCGAGATGTATATATATATAGATTGCGCGGTGGCGGCGGCGGCGGCGGCGGCGGCAGCTCTGATTTATGGGCAGCTAGGCGCAAAGACAAGTGCATGGCGTCGGACGAGGGGGCGGAGGGGATGAAACTTCATCATAACAGGCTGTTAGCCAAATGTGCTGTCGGCTCAAAGTCGCGCCACCCTCGGGCACCCCAGCTATGACGCTTCCCCCCTCCCGCTCCCCAAGCGCCGCCGCCGCCGCCGCTGTTCGCCTCGCGCACAAAGGAGCCTTTATTCAATTAATCTACTGTTTAGTAAATTGATCCCGGTCCGCCGAGCATCGCTTACAGCTCGTTCCCAATTAACTGGCGGGGCTGCTGGCCGCTTTTGCGCCCCGGCCGTATATACTTACCTCTCCCGGCGGAAGCAATAAGCCGCGCCGAGGTGTGCGCGTCTATTGTCGGCCGGCAGGCTGATTATGGCAGAGTGGCCCCTGCTCCCGCGTATACTTTCCAATCCGCAGGGAAGATTTAATCAAGAGCGAGAGATCAATCGAGCGAGCGAGAGAGTCATTGTGGCGGAATGGACGTGAAAGGGAGCGCGGGCGGGGGAGGGGGGATGGAGAGCAGAGAGCAAAGTGCGGAAATTGGCCCCGCGTGTAAGTACACGGGTGTAACGAGCATCCGAATGGCTGGGCAGGAGTCACGGGCAAAGACAGAATGCGATCGGATGTGTCAGTTTTAGCTAAATTTTATTCTATTGACCATTTAATGTTCGACTTACGTCCGAATGAGATATTATAGTACACAAGCTGCACTCTGGTAACATCTATTTATAATTTTTACAATATTTTTATACAAAAGCGCACACGAGCACGCTCGCAACACATTCACTCTCTCTCACTCTCTGCTTCTCTCTTTCGCAACTCTGCATAATAGTCGATTAGCTACATGCGTATCTCGACGCTCCGCGGATACGGACATCAACGTCTTGCTCTGTTCTTTCTTCTCCTCGTGCGTATACCTATGTATATATGTATAAACGTATAGCACTCGTCGCGCAGTCACATATATTCTTTTCTCTCGACACGTATAATATGTATAATATGTATATATATAATATAATCTGCGCACAGCTGTCACTCTCACTAATAATAAATAAATACGCGTGTAGCAGGAAATGTACAGGAGTGGAGTGGAAACAATAATGGTAAGTAGGGTGCACGGTGGGTAAGAGTCGCGGGGAGGAGGAGGAGGAAGGCGGGGAGGGCGGTGAGGAGGAGGAGGAGGAAGAGGAGAGGAGGGCAAATAAATAGAAGCGCGTGCCGAGCCGGCTGGGTTGCTGGCGGCGGCGCTGGGCGCTGCTGTTGCGGGTATATCTACAAAGTATTTACAAGGGAGGCAGGAAGGAAGGAAGCGCTGGTTTTTGCCGGTGGGTGTGGGTGCGGGTGGAGGCCACGCCCCCTCAGGCGCCGCCGTACTGCTGCTGCTGCTGCTGCTGCTGCTGGTGCTCGAGCTCGCGGCGCAGCCGCTTGGCCGCGCTCTCCTCCGCGGCGTGCTGCTGCTGCTGCTGCTGGTGATGGTGCTGCTGTTGCTGCTGCTGCTGCTGTTGCTGCTGCTGCTGCTCGTGGTCGCTCGTCTCGCAGCCGTCGTCCGCGTCGGCGGCGACTCCCTCCACCTCCTCCTGGCGCCGCTTGGCCGTGGCCATCTCCGCGGCGTGCTTTTTGCGCCACTTGGTCCTCCGGTTCTGGAACCAGACCTGCCGCGCGCACGCGCGCGCCCCGTTAGATGGTCGTCGCTCTGCACCCTCGGCGCCGCTCCCTCGGCGCCCGTTACCTTAATTAAGTACACTGTTGCGGGGACGCGCGGAGGAAAACTCTTATCGCCGCCGACGAGCGCCAGGGATTTTAAGGCCGGCCGTTATTAGTAAGGAGAGCCCCTCCGACTTTCATTCCCGTGTAAACATTGGCCTGCGCTGCCTACGCCCGGCTCCCTTAATATCCAGCCCCTTTACCCCTTTCGTTAATTTTTCTCTGCTCCGCCGGCGCCGCCGAGATCTAATGCCCGCGCCGTACGTGCCAGCTGCACTCGCCGGCGCCAAGATTTTTTCAATCAAGCCGTCAGCGCGCGGCCCCTCGCCGAGCTTTCGGACGCCGCTTTCGCGGCTCGGCCGCGTCGCGCGAGGCGCCGACACCGCCTCCGACCGATCGCCGTCGCACGCGCGAATCCGCAGGCGTCGCCCGCCTCGGCGACACGGGCCGCCCGCGGGCTTAGCCCAAAAGACCGGGGATTTGTCGAACACGCGTGTATCTGGCAGAGTTTAATAGAAAAAAGATTAGACCGCATGAGTGATGTGTAATGCATGGCCAAATAATTAGATTCCGGCGAGGCTGCGGCGGCCGAGGATCGATCATCGTGCGGTAGGAAAAAAGAAGAGTGGCAAGCGCGGCCGGTGCGGCTCGACCGCCCACCGAATCGCCCACCGAGTCGCCCGTATGGCTCTTTGTCGCAATATTCAGGGACGTCGCCTCGCGAGCGCAAGACACGCGCGCCGACGAAACGCCGCTGCGGCGAGAGATGGATTTTTTCCTATTTTTTTTTATACGTCGCATTAGTCACGCACGCGCTGCCAGACGGCGGGCACCTCGCCCCATCGCCTCGCGCGCGCACAACTGTTAGATTTATTAAATCAGGATTATCTAAACTCGGGCTGTCTCGTGCTTCGTCGACCCCGTGAAACCACACGCGCATTTTTGCCCTTTGCAGCCGATCGATCGCAAAGTGGCTTTCGTTTTTTAAAACGCTTCGCATCGATTAACCGCACGCCCGTTAAGATCGGATTAAAATCGCGAGAGCGCCGCCATCCGCGGAAGATGGCGCGATGAAGCAATCGGCGCCGAGCGCGTTACGACGCGGAGGTGTGTAGGTGTTCGGGAGCAGGAGTTGTCGGCACATAAAACTGGCGGGGAGAGAGAGTGAGAGAGAGAGAGAGAGAGCGAAGAATCGGCTCGTCGGCGCTGCGAGCGTATGTGTCTATCTGTCGATACGGGAGGTCGAGACGTCGCGCGCGGAATACAGAGGAGCGCATTATCGGCTCTCCGCGGATAGGACGGCAGCTGCGCGGATATACGTACACGTCTCGGCGTTTTGGCCTCCTCGGCCGAGCGAACGTGGACGCGAATCGCGAGCGTCACCTTGCATCCGCACGGCGCAGAGGGGGAGCGCACATACATGAGCATTCGACACGCGCGCTCGTCGGCCTAATTGAGCCCGCGCCGAAATTGATTGCCCCGGCCAGCGGCGGCGGCGGCGGCGGCGGCGGCGGCGGTGGCGGCAGCGGCGAAGGCGACGGCGACGACCGGGTAATCTCGGTGTCGCACCCCGGCAAATCCGCGGGTAATTGAACGCGGCCGAGTTGGCGTCCGGGCGTCAGCGCGCAGAGAGGGCCCTCGACGAAAATGCAAATGCGGCGGTGGCGGCGGCGCCGCTGTCGGGGCGCACTCACCTTCACTTGCGACTCGGACATGCCCAGGGCGTAGGCGAGCTTGGCCCGCTCGGGGCCCGCCAGGTACTTGGTCTGCTCGAAGGTCTTCTCCAGGGCGAAGATCTGCTGACCGCTGAAGGTCGGCCGCGTGTGCTTCTTCTTGCCGGCTTCGTGGTCCGAGCCCAGCCCGCCGCCGGCCTGCTGCTGCTGCTGCTGGTGCTGCTGCTGCTGCTGCTGCTGGCAGCCCAGCTGCTGCGACACTGCAACCGCAAGGCAAAGCGCCGGCCGTCAGTGGAATCGCGCGTATCTCCAGCGCGAGCTCGGCGTGGCCGCGGCGGCCAAAATTCGGGCGCAGCCTCTGGTTCGAGGAGAGCCGAACGCCGCGCTTATTCTAATTCCGCCTGGGACCCAGCGGGGGACGCTCGATAAAAGTGCGCGCCGCGGCGCTGCATCGCGGGCTCGTCCCTTCGGCCGCTCGGAGCAGGAGCAGGAGCACGTGGTGCGCGCGCGGGCCTCGTGGGGCAGCGCGCGACCGAGGGGCGCAGGGGCGGCGTTCAATTTAATAAAGCAATTTGTAACGGAATACGAAACGAGGCAATAATGGGCGGCGGGGGAGCGATCCTAACGAGCTGCTTACCGCATTCCGCCGGCTGACCGTGCGTGCGCAGGCAGGACAGTAGCGCCGCGACAAAAATCGAGAGCAAGCTGCCGGGCAAGACGCGCGCGGCTTCCGGCCGGAATGAGGGCCGAAGGGATTGGCCGCACGTGCGTCCGTGTGCGTGCGCGCGCCCGTCTGCCAGATATCCTATTCAATATCGAGCCCTCCCGCAAAACGCCCGACAACTTTTATCCCCTTTTATCCCCGCACGCCCGATTTCCTTTCTTCTCTCCTCTCTCTCGCTCTCTCTCGCTCTCTCTCTCTCTCTCGCTCTCTGTTTTCTTTTTCACGCCCCATAATCCCACTCGGCGCTCTCCGCGGACTTGTAAACCAATTAATCCGGCGGCTCTCGATATCCATTTGGCCGCGCCGAATAAACATAAGCTTGCACTCGATGCGCCCGCGCCCGCGGAGGCTTGAGCGATCGCACCTCTGGGACGCGCCAAGGCGATGATACGCCTAACGCACCTGCTTTATTCGACTTCCGAGAGCGATATATATATTGATATGATGGGCGCTCGCATTGAATAGTGATTTTACGAGCGCGTCCATCGCCCCGATCGTTCGCCCCGCGCCACTCGCCGGGAGCACAGAGGGAAAACGGGAAAAACAGTGGGCGCGCCGACGCAGTGTTGTACGGAGGGAGGAGGAAAAAACTTGCTGACACGGCTGGGACGTCGTCGTCGTCGTCGTCGTCGTCCCTCGGTTTTTCTCGCGACAAATGAAACGCTATCGCGCGCTGCGGATACATCGCCGTAAGGGCTACGGGAGGAGGACGGGGGGGGGGGGGGTGTCGGGGGCGGGCGGCAGAAGGAGCGTCGGCACGATATATAAAGCGGCGCGCGCTCCAAAGTCGTGCGCAGGCACGTGGCCTGCTCGACGCCTCTAATCGTCGGCAGTGGTCCGTGCGTCGGAGGGAGGACGCCGCGCGCGAGCCTGCACCCGTTAAGAATAATGGCTTTTTCATGCGTTGTTGTACTCGAGCTAAGCCGCAGACGAGTGAGCCGCCCCCCGCAGTGAGCGCGGCCCGATAACATCGACAGATGCCTATCCGCGCGCCGACACTTGCGCCGTTATTGCCGCGCCGTGCGGCCGGCACGCACTTGCCTCCGCGCATTATTAGCCGTATCAATTAGGCGGGCCCGCATCTTGATCGACGCGCCGGATTAATAAAACGCGGCTTACAACCTAACTAATGCGCGGCCGCGTCGCCCCCGCCAACTTTTCGCGCCGCGCCACTCCTTTATCCGCGCCGCGGAGCATTTGTCATGGTAAGCTGGCTTTTCGGCGTATCGCGATAAGGCCGCCCCGGCGGCTCCCTCGCTCTCGCGGCCGACGGAACGCCACGCCGATGATGACCCGTCACGAGCGATTCCAGCCAGCGTGCGCGGCGATAAGGGCGCGCGCCAGGTAGCACGCGGATCACCATGGCCGAGTCGATGGGCGCTTTTAATACGTGCTACGTATCGGCGGTCCGAGATAAGATAGCAGGCGCGGGGGCATTTAATTGAAACTGTACTCCAATAAGTCAATCCGCCGAGATACACGTAAGTCCGACACGGGCGCCGAGTGCGTGAACGCGCAGCTGTCGCGCCCCGCAATCTGTCAAATTTGCCGCAGAGCACGCGGGAACTTGTGTTTTATCGATCGTCCGCTCGCTACAAGATTCCAATCTCAACCAAGCGATATTAGTTCATTGACGAGGCAGCCGAGCTGCGAGGAAAAGTCTCTCTCTCTCTCTCTCTCTCTCTCTCTCTCTCTCTCTCTCTCTCTCTCTCTCTCTCTCTCTCTCTCTCTCTCTGCGGCAAGCGAGCGAAGGGAAGGCGCTCGTTTCCGTCTCCTCTTTCGACGTCCTCGTCGGTTTTTTCCCATTTTTTGCGGCCGCCCGACGACGAGCACGTTAAAGATCGTTTCCTCTGTTTATTGTTTACGTACGTATGAGGTCTGCGCGGCAGCGACGACGGGCCTGGCTTCGGAGTGCTCCACGGGAAAAATAACAAACACGCGGGCGCGCGAGAGCTACTGATCGCTGAGCAAACAAGCAGCTTCGGCTCTCGATGACTGTTTTCCCGGAGGCCTGTTCTTTGGGAGCCGTCGTCGTTGGTGATTGATCCGCGTAGCCGCGCGGCCACTGGCGGCGAGAGCGAGCGAGCGAGCGCAGAACGACCGCGCGGAAGAGGCAAGCGACGGCCGTCGCGGGCTCGGCGCGGCGAGGAACCAGGCCCGGAGGCCGAGGCGGTACTCACGGGAGTGCAGTCGGGCTCGCCAGCCGAGGGGGTCGCTCACCAGGCCCTGGAGCCCCGGCCAGTAGATGGCCGGGTGGCGCGGCTCGGCGCGCTGCTGGAACTGGCCGAGGCCTGCGGGACAGAGGCACACAGGCGGCAGAGCGTTAGCGGCGCACTGGCTTAGCAATCGATCGGCGCAAACAAATCCGCGGAGCATTACCGGTGGAGGCGGCGGCGGCGGCGGCCGCCGCGGCCGCGAAGCCCGCGTGCATGGCGTAGCGGGGCGCGGCCTGGGCCTGGGCCTGCTGCGGCGGCGCCGGCTGCTGCTGCTGCTGCTGCTGCTGCTGCAGCTGCTGGGCGCTGGCCTGCGCGGGCCTCGACAGGATGGTGTCGATGCCGTGCGGGTTGCTGCCCACCGAGGTGATGGAGGTGGCGGGGCTCTGCTTGCCGCTGCCCGTCGGCGAGCCGCGCGCCGGCGGCTGCTGCTGCGGCTGCTGCTGCGGCGGCGGCTGGCGCTCGGCCATCGAGTGCAGCGCGGCCAGCGGCTGCGAGGCGGCCAGCATGGAGCCCGCGGCCGCGGCGGCGTTCAGGTTGAGGAACTGCAGCACGTGCGGCGGCGCGAAGTCGTGCAGCCAGGGCGGGCGCGCGGCCGCGCCGGGTGCCGGCGGCGGCGGCGAGCACGAGCCCATGGACGAGCCCGCCGAGGAGCTGCGCTCGTCCTGCAGCTGCTGCGCCTGGAGCTGCTGGGCCTGCTGCACCTGCGGCGGCGAATCTCCGCTGAGCGTGACTGCGCTGGGCGCGCGACGGCGGCGGCGGCGGCGGCGGCGGTGGCGGCGGCGGTACTCACGAGCGACTGGCGCTGCGGCTGCGGCTGCTGCAGGTGGCTGGCGTGAAGGTGGTGGCTGAGGTTGGCTGGCGGCTGCTGCTCCGAGGCCGAGGACATGTCCAGGGCGGCGCGCTGCCCGCGGCTGCGGCTGCTCGGCGGCTGCTCAGCGGCGACGCGGCCTCTCTCCCCGCCGACGGCGCTCAGGCTGCACACCATCGCGCCTCCGCCAGGCTGCGCATATCTTGCACCTGCTCGCACTCTGCACGCACTGCTCGGTCCCGAGGTTGCAGGCTCGACCGCGGCGGGAGGGCGCGCACCGTGCGACTGGCGGCTGCGGGCGACGGCACTACGCGCGGACGGGAGCTGCGCTGGCGGCGGGAGCGACGGCGATCCGGTGCCGGCGAGGATGCGAGTGCGGCCCGGCGCGCTCGGCAGCGCGGCCCGCGAGTCGCGGGGGGACGGCGCAGCCGGGCGCGCGCGCCATTGGCGGGGAGGCGGCGCCCCGCTGGCTTTGATTCGAGCCCCGGCGAGCCAACCTCCGGCGGCGCAGTCGCGTGGGGCGGGGCCTCTCAATCTCGCGTTAGCCTCTTGTTAAGCGTCTTTCATTGTCTGTTTAAACTCGTTATTTATGATGCCGACTGAATAAAACAAGAGCTCGGGCTCCTTGCTCGCTCACTTGCTCGCTTCCTTCCTTTCGTCCCTTGCCGGCGGCGCCATCAACTCTCGGCAAGCGAGCCCTGATTTCGCCGAGCGGCGGCGTCGGCAGCGACGACGACGGCGGCGGCGACGACGACGACGACAACGCCGACGACGATGGATATGGGCAGGCTGACCGCGAAGGCCGCGAGTTGCCGCGCGCGTGTAAAATGCGCGTCGCCAGCAGCGTCTAAACGAAAGCTCGGCAACAACGACTAAAATTGATTGGAACGTAGAAAAAATTGTTATTTATCGCAGCCAGCGTTATTCGGCAAGGATCGCGACTGCCTGCGACCCAGTAGCCCCATTGTAGACAATTAACGGGCCATTAAATTGCGCGCGTTACGCGCGATCGCCTCATTATTTATCGCTGGCATTATATGGGAGAAACGCGCGGATCGGCGCAACGAGGCGCGGGACAATCAATCGGCGCGCTATTAAGACGTTATACGGGTGCGCGGCCATTGGGGCCAGTTCGATCGTCGTTTGTCGTGTGAAATCAGACGTGAAATGTATTTAAAGCGTGAACGCGCGCCATAAATTTCCGACGGCGCGGCCGACACAGCGCCTCGGGTCACGACGAGCCGCGCGAACTACAAGAGCTCCCGGGATGTGCGTCGGATGTATACATCGAGTGTTGATTAGCTGCCAACAGGCAGATATAAATCAGGCCGACTGCGTTCGACGGCGCGCAGTCGATTATTTGCGGCGGTCCGGGCGTCTGCTGCATGAGCCTGTAAAAAGGCAGGCGGGCCGCGCAGGGAGAGGGAAGACGCGGCGGCGGCGGCGGCAACGGGGGCAACGGGGGCAACGGCGGCAGGGGATGAATGGCGCTGCAGCGGCAGGTAAGAGCGCGGGCTCTTTCCCGCTGACTTTCCGGCTTGCGCGCGCTCGTTTGTATTTGGACAGCATTAGAGCAGCGCGCGGAATGGCTTTTGTGGCAGGCAGCGCGCGCGCGACAATAGCTGCGTGTCGCTCGCCAGTCTCGAGCATGGGGAGGACAGCTGCGCGCAAATAGACTATCAGTCATCCCTCGCCGCCGTATACGGACGCGCGCCGCGAGCGCCGCGCGGATTATTGCGCGCGCGGTATTAGCCGCGTTCAGCGATTTCCTTAGCTGACCGCGCCGGCCGCGCGTCTCTACCGAATAACGCGACTAGATCGCGCGCCCGCGCTAGTCGCCCGAGCAGCCATCCATCATCGGCGAGAGAGAGAGAGAGAGAGAGAAAGAGCCGTGCAACTAGCGATGGTCGAGCATCGGATTGCAGCGACGACATTAATTCGTCGTTAGCGCTGCCGCCGATCAATCTTCGGGCGCGCAGGCGGCGCAAATAGCCGCGGCCGAAAAGTCTCTTTCTTCGAGGCTGGAAAGCTCTCTCGGGCGAGCGTGCGCGCAATAAAGAGGTGCGACGAGAGGAAGTGACCTGCGCCGGTTAGGACGAGCTGCCGTTCGCCCCGCTCCCCGACGCGCGCACGCACGCACACACATGCGCGCGCGCGAGCGTTCGCACACAGCAGTATAATAATAACACAAACGATTAGCCGTGAATAAAGCGCTCGTCAGGGGAACGAGAAAGATTGGCCGGCTGGCTGAAATCTGTCGGGCCGACAATGGCATTAGGCGTCAAATTAGGCGACGGCTTCGTGACTTTTCTCTCCCCGGCGATGCCGGCGCTCTCTATACAAACAGAGAGCCGTGCGCGCAGGCAGGCTTTTGGATCGGCGTTCTATCTGCTCGGGTCTATTATGCCTCTTGATCTCTATTATACGGCTGAGCTCCCTTGTATTCGTTCCGGCGAGCATACCTGCCAGCTCTCTCTCTCTCTCTCTCTCTCTCTCTCTCTCTCTCTCTCTCTCTCTCTCTCTCTCTCTCTCTCTCACGAGCGGACTTCTTTATGCTCCTCGGCTGCGCCGCGCACTCTCGACGCGATCGCTCGCTTCCGCCCTCGAGGCCGTGGTGGTGGCGCGCGCGATTAATCACCGGGCAACGAGAGCGACTGCACTTTTCACCGTGTCGCTTGTATTGATCAAAGTCGCATTTCCATGCTGCGAGCGCGCGCGGATGAAAAACCCATCAGGGCTTCGCCGATGAGAAGGTTTGGCCGGTCCCCCGCGCGAGCGGCCTGCGCGACCCCGTGGCGCGCGCGCTCGATAAGCCGACCGATTGATATCGGCGCGAGGGGCGCGCCTCCGAGCTCGCGCATCCAAACGAGCCGCATTACGCGACGACAGCGGCGGCGGCGGTGGCGGCGACTACGACGACGACGACGACGACGACGACTACGACGTCGGAAAGAATCGAAGCTCCGCAATCAATGTCGCGTTAGCCGTGCGCGCCGAAGTTGTCGCGAGTACGCGCACGCAGCGGCAGCTCGTTAAAAACTCGTGCAACTCCGGCTCGGCTGCATGCGGCCTGTGAATAAAAGAGCCGCGGCGGCGCCGGAGAGAGCCATAAACAAGTGCTTACCGCGATCTAATGCCTCTCTAATGGCCGCTGCGTATCTGCGCCACTTACGCGCGATTTAATTACTATGTAAATGTCGCCTCGCGCCGAAACCCCAGCAGGCAGCGCCGCCCGATGTCCTTAATTACTTTGCGCGTTGTATTAGGCGAGAGAGAGAGAGAGAGAGACAGCCAGGCAGTCGACTCACTCCATTAGTCCCTCGCTTCCTTCCTCCTTTCTTCCTTTGCGACGCTCGCGCCGAATATCTATAACGAGCACCTGCAGCATTCCTGCGCTCCGATTTACACGGGCGCTCGATCCCCGTCGCCGCTGATACTTCGGGGATAGCGACAAATATTAATGACGCCCGGCTGCGACGCCATCCAGCGTAAAACTTGCCGAGTAATGCCCCGTCTGCCTTTATCCGCGCACGACGGCGCGGTCATTAATGCCGCCCGGCTCGCCTCTTCACTCCCACGCCTCGCGGCACGTTCGCCGCTTAAGCGACTATTAGTTGTTTATTAAGCACAATAACATTTTCGGGAGAGCGGACGACGCAGGCTTCCACCGAACGGCATTCCCCGGCTCGCCACTATACCCGTTCGCCTTTCTTCGCCGCGTCCTCGCTCGGCCCGAGCATTCGACTTCTTTTACGATTTTTCCTTCCTTCCCATTCACTTCTCGCCTCCTCCTCGCCCTTTCAAATAAGCCCCGGCGCGCGCTCCTTTTACTCGCGCCGTTCGTCAAAAATATTATGTCCTTTTTATTGGGCATCCGTCAAAGAAGCTCGCTCGTTTATCCGGCCATCCTGCAGATTTACGGCGCGCGGCCGGATTCCGTGGTAAACAAATTAAACGAATGATGTCTCCGCGCGACCTTCGCCGCGGCGACGATTCCCCGATTCCAGCGACAAGCCGCGTACGTACGGATAGCGCCGACATATCCTATACGTTCGCGCAGTCGCCAGCTTTGCGAGCGACGTCACGAGCGCGCGAACGGTCGCTTCCAGTCTCTGCCAATGAAAGTCGCAAGTCGCGACCGATACCCAAAAGTACCGCATCGATCGGGACTTATTGGACGACCGTAACTCTTTGAAATTCTCAAAAGTCCTCAAGCACGGCAAAGTTCGCGCGACTCGTCCTGGCGCTTTCAACTTTTCGCAATGCTCACTTTTAGCGCATTATCTCGATTTATGCATTCCCAATGTCTTTCGGACGTTCGCTTCGCCATTCCGAAACTGAAAGTTGCGAGTGCGACGCTGACTGGTAGATTGTCGATCGATCAAGGGACCTCACAGCTGACAATGCTGCTCGGATCTTCGGATCGGGTGCTCCACAGGAGCAACCCTACGATAACTCCGCACGATTTGTGGTAATCGCTGAAAGATTTTGGGCAAGTGCACCAAAGAGCGTCCAATAGAAAAACGTTTGATCGCAACCGTGAAAAAAAAAAACGAACGGGAAACAGCGATGCTCGGCCGCAAGGATGTGTTCGTTTGGTGGGCATTTGTTGTTTACATTGACAAGCGGCTGGCTCGTCGATAAAAAAGAAAAAAGCAAAGAAAAAAAAGGAATGAGACATCAGTGGCGGCGGTGGAGGTGGGCTTTGGCGTAAAAATAAAAAGAGTTGGCTGGTGCAGAAACGAGGGAAAGGACGAGTGAGAGAACGAGCGGCCGGGGAGAGAAAATTTTGGGGTGAAACTCGGCGCGTTTCGGGGCTATCGCTCTATCTGTCGTATCTCGGCGAGCCGAGAGAGTACACATATATAGCTTTGTTACACGCCGTACACTAGACTTCGCTCCCCAAAATGAATCGGCTCGTGTCCCGATGGCTCTTTATGTGACATAACGCACGGCCTAATAGAAAATAGTAGCGGAGCCCGGGCCTGAGTTGTGGCTGTTGTGCCATGTCGGCGCGCATCAATTTGGCTAAACGACGGATTAATTTAATAACGAGCTGGAGCGCGGCAAGGCGTCCGCGTCCATTTGCTTGATGATAGACGACGAGATGGCCGATGCCGCTTCTCTCTCTCTCTCTCTCTCTCTCTCGCCTTTATTCGGAGTTCACGAGTGTGCCTTTTACGCTGTTCGCGCGCGCATCATTATGTGCGCGGCCGGTCGGATTAATTGATCATCAAGCGCTCGGCGCGTTAAATTTACAATGAGCGCGCTCGGCAAATCCCATCGGTTTTACGAGCCTTTTAATGCGCTCGCTCGTCATGCCAACTATCAAAAATACAACATATAAATTACCAGGCAACATCAAGGGACTTGTTGCTGGTTCACGGCGAAGGGGGTAAGAGAGAGAGAGAGAGAGAGAGAGAGAGAGAGCGGTGCATCGGGCCAAGGAGCCCGGTCGCGTCGCAGTCGAGAGTATCGCTGGCGGCTCATAACGCCGATCGGCTTTATTATTGCAACTAAGAATAACAGGGTGACAGCGATCCGCGGCTGTTTGCTCAGACAACACGCCGGCCTCTAGCGCTACTCGTGTTTACGGACAAAACAGCGCGCTTGCGTCCGTCGCTCCCTCGCGCCGCGACTCGTCGCGGGCACATTCCTCCTGCGGACACGGCCACGCCGATAGCTCATCTCGCGCTCCGATTTTTTTCTCGCTCGACTTCCGTCGCGAGGAGCGCGTGAGATACGCCGCGAAATTATAGGCGCGCTACTCGTTTCACTTTATTGCCATGGCCGATCCAATAAAAGTCCCAATAATAATGTCGGATGTTTTCCGATGCACCGTATTTGATTTAGTGTCGGCCATTTTGTGATCACATATCTGCCTCGTAAATCTCGAGGCGAGCTCGAGAGAGAGAGAGAGAGAGAGACAGAGCGAGAGCGCGCGGCGCCAGCGAATATCAAACGTCGATGCGCGCCACCGATCCGGCATCCAGCGCGTAAAATATGACCGCGCGGGCGTCGTATACATACGCCCTCCGCCGCCAGTTCGTTCGCTTTTTGCCCTCTCTTTTTCATTTTCGTTTTCATGCTCGTTTTATTGCTCCACCCCCGCCGCCCTCGCTGCTTTATAGCGCGCGGCCGCTCGAGAATCAAATTTGGCGAGATCCGTGGAGCGCGCGGAGACCGCAGGAAGGCAGGCAGGCAGGCAGTCAGGCACGCGCGACCTGCGCCGCAAGACTCGAGCGCGCTTCGGCGGCGCGGCGCCCGTTGTCGCGATTAATCAAGCCTGGGTACACACGCACGCGCTGCCAGCGCCGAGGGACACCGGATCGCCGTTAGCGCCCATTACGGGGGCAAGCGGGCCTCGCGAGCCCGCTTCTTACGCTTGCCTCGCTCTTCGCCGCGGCTGCGATCCGGCCGCCCCATGAATACTGATTTTTTTTCGCCACATCAACACTATATAGGCGCGGGCCCTTTGCCGTTTGCCGCTCGGACGTTTATATCTAATTGCTCGTTCGGCGCTGCCGCGCGCGCCTCACCCGTCGTATTTCAGGCCGCGCGATGCAGCCCGATCGCAATCACCCCCCCCCCCCCCCCAACCCCGTCGCTCTCGACCAAGTTGAGCCGCCCACTTATAATTCTCTCCCGCGCGCCCCACGCGCAGCGCGCCGCGTGATTAATTACGGCCGGCGCTGCGAGGAAAAAATCTCGCTCTCGGATTGAATAAAGATCGCGCCGAGAGCCAAAGTGATAAAAAGCGCTCGCTCGCGAGAGAGAGAGAGAGAGAGAGAGAGAGAGCAAAGCAGTGCCAAGAAACGCCGAATGATTAATATGTAGCGTTGCTGCGCGACAGCCAGTAGCGTCGCCGACGACGACAACGGCGACGACGGCGAAGAACAAGGAGCCGGCGAGCGGCCAATAAACGGGATAAAAAGCCTCGGTGAAAAATAGCTCGCTCATTAGCCGGCACATCTGGGGCTGCTCGCTCTCTGTCGCCCTCGCGCCACGGCAGCTTCACTTGTCTACAGCTCCGGGGATTTATTAAAAAGTCGCGGGCCGATTGCTTTTAATATTCCGCGCCAGCAGCTCGCAGCAGACGTGTAGATGTGCCGGCGCGCGTGTACGTATCGCCGCGCTGTCTCTCTCTCTTTCTTTCTCTCGCTGATCGATCTGTGCAGCCCCGCGGATTGAGTCGTAATGCCGGCGACGGTATCGCTTTTCGCCCACCATCTGTCGCGAGCGAGCGCGGCCCTATCGGCGTCGCGCGGAAAATTCCGGCCTGCACCGCTTTGCACGTTGCCACGAGTATCGACGAGATAGCGCCAGCTCGGGCGCGCGCGTGCAGCCGAGCTATTCCAGGCCGAAGCCAATTACCCCGCGGCCGGCGCGGATCATTTAAACTTGACCGAGAAAGTTCAATATTTGCAGCGGCCGCTGGCTCGCTCGCTCGCTCGCTCGCCACGCATCGCCGAGTCTTTGATGATCGGGCCGCGAGGCGTGCACGGCCGCCCCCCACGACTCACCTACATTCTCCTAATATTGAGAGTCGAAAATCAGCCAGCCATCTACGCAGCTCGCGGATTTCCGGGCAAAATGCGTCGGCGGCGCGGCCGTCTTCGCCTATATAAGAGCCCCGGCCGCGAGCCTCTATCCAGCACTTGGCTTGTCTCCGTATCCAGCTCCGCTCTGCGCTCGCTCGCCATGTCTGCGACCAGCCCGCGCTACCTCTGCCTGCTCGTTCTCCTCGCCTGTTGCGCGATCCACTTCGCCTTTGCCCAGGTATTGTCCGCGCGCACGCACGCGCCAGCCTGCCCAGCTCTCTCTCTCTCTCTCTTTCTGTTTCATTCTCCACGACCCGCAGGTGACGTTCTCGAAAGGCTGGGGTCCGGGCAAACGAGAGGCTCTCAACGGCCCCGAATGCCGCAACAACGCCAGGTCACTGGCTCTCATATTCCACAGTCTGCTGGTAAGCTCGCAGCAATTTCGCCACTTTTCTCGTCGTCTAGCTGTTCTGTCTCACATAGATGCGCATCGCGCGTGCTTTCAGGCGGAATTGAAACGCTCGATGGCGTGCGATCATCAAGCTGCGGTGAATTACCTGCAAGCGCAGATCGGAGAGCATTAGCACTCGGAAAGCCAGCGGCACTAGAGCCGCTGAATTAGTGCCGACGCACCGCAGCGCGATTAACAGCCTGTGGCCCCCAACCCCCCGATCTCTCAGCTCTCTCAGCTCTCCCTGCGTCGCCGTGCGCGCGGGCTTGCGTCGCCTGTAGTCTACCACGCTCCTGTGTAGTTTCATCGTGCTTCTTGTTAAGCGACAATAAATAATTACGCTTCAAACTGCCTTTGTCTACTTTATATTGTCGTACCATTGCTTATTATATATATATATATATGTGTGTATACAAATAACTCTACACATGCTTGCAAATTAAACAAGCGACATCATTCTGTTCGATCAACACTCAGTATATGCTGTGCTATTGTACAATAGTAATGATTAGAGCTCGCGCACGATTAACAAAACCACCAAGTCGTGATGATTAGGCACGTTAATGAGTTCGCGGGAAGAAGCAGTCGGGCGGTCAAACGGTCACGCCAACTTCGCCCAGGATCTCCGACAGTCTCTCGAGATGTTTGTTCACCATGGCAAAGTCTTGGCGCGTGCGGGCAATTAGCTGCAGGGCATTGATGTACTCGAGCTCGGTGAACTGCGGCCCATGTTCGAGTACGCCGTTCAGCACCTCCTCGGGCGTCGCGTTCAACAGCTCGTAGTACTGCCGTGCGAAGTCCAGAGCCAGCTCGCGCGTCATCGTGATGTTGGTCAGAGTCTGCTGCAGAGTGAACACGTTACGGCACATCCGCTGTATGTCCAGCTCGTCGATCTTCTCGATGTACTGCGCCGACGTTATCAGAATCTTGGCTATCAGGTGGTCCAGCCCCTCGAAGATGTACTGCGAACCAACGTCAACGCTCGCTCGTTCTCTCAACGTTTCCTCATGCCATTGGATTTTCATCGCGCTTCAATCTCGCCTCATCTTACCTTGTTTTTCTTCGGGTGAAGGGTCGACTGCAGAGCTTCGTCAATGTGCTGCAACACTCGACTGAGCTCCTCCACCCGCGGATCGGCCTCTCCGGGATCCTTGATGCCCGGCTTAGCCAACAGGTTCACGTCACCCCGCGGGTGCAGGTAGTAGAAGCACTGAACCCGCACCTGAACATAAAGTCGACGCACTCTCTATAAGAGGCACGCTTACCAAACGCCAATCGGCACATCAACGGCTCGACGCTCGACTATAATCACCTCCAAGTGCAGGACCAGAATGCAGGTGTTGGCAAGCTCGTCGAACTCGTCGGCAACCTGCTCAAGACTCTGCACCAGGCTGTCGGGCATCGACGGCACGGCGCACGAGTCCATTCGGCTCCTGTCGTGATTCGACTGGCGCAGCTCTCTGATCAGCGAGCGAATCGACAGAGAGAACCACTCGACGCTCTCTTGCAGTAGCGCCAGATTCCGCAGCTGCTCGCTGTCGGAGATGATTTCGTTGGCGGCGATGCCCCCTTCTCCCAGGTTGGCCGCCAGAATTTCAGCTTCTTGCAAATTGCGCTGTCGAATGTCCTCCGGGCTCTCCTCATCTTGAGTCTCTTGCCTGCGTGGCATTCGGCACCCAGGCAGGCCCTTTGCCCGCTGCTGTGACTGCACACCGCTCTTCATGCTTTCCCAGTTGGGCAGCGATCTGTGTGACCGACCCATTTATACAACGCACGCGATTAGACATCGAGAACCGACTTACTTGATAAACCTATTGATATCCTCGTCCTTGAGCCAGGCAGCCGAGCAGATTAGTCGATCGTGCCTGTCCGGTTGCACGATGCCGCGGTAAGCTGTTTGACAGGTCTCACGATAATTGTGCATTATGTTCAAAGCCAATGTACAAAAGTGTTCTCCTTGTAGAGGCAGCGCTATCATCAACGATCTAAGCTCTGCTACGCACTGCTCAACTTTTACGGTACTCTACAAATTACATACAGCTTCAGTACTCGTTGTTAACTAACTCAACGATCAGCTCTACGCGCACAATCAATTATTCAAGAGGCATTTAAATCCTACGAATTTTGAACTAGCCCAAACCTTTTCTTGATGAAACACATGGAGCAAATCGACTATCATTACCTGTAAAAGTGGCCTGTTCAATCCCAGATCTTTCATAAGCTCTGTAGAAGTTGTGGCACGCCAAGCGTCCGCGCTCTTCGTAGCTGCATCTATAGTAGTGGCAACTAAAACGTGATGTCTACCTAGATAAACTTCCTTTACATACACCGCCAAGAAGTTGCTCAATGTGCACTCGGTACCTCTTATGGGGATAATTTAACCAGCAATAGAATATTGATTAATTGAAATGGTTACGATTTTTATTTATCGCGTTTTAATAATTTTTTTTACCCAGCGGAAATGCCCAGAGCTCGCTCAACTTCTTCTATGAATTGCATTATCGGCCTGAATACTAAAATAATATTCTTTGGATCGGGATTACAAACTAACTTTTTGGTAGTCTTCGTTTGTTTGGCATCCTATTGCATCATATTGTTATAGTTAAAGATCATTAATTTCGTAAATTAATTGCACATCATTTACAAGCAATACAAACTCACCATCAAAGACAAACTACTGTATCTATGATCTTTCAGATAATTATTTAGAGTTATTGTATGTGTCGATGACTCAAATTTGAATAACAATTCGTTTTTCTGTCTTTGTGATCTTTTCTTAGCAAAATAAGCATTGATGTCATTAGTTTGTTCATTTAATGTCACAGAACTTTGGAAAGGTCCATCAACTATGTTTTGTACATCCAAATATTCAGTCAACAGTATTTGCATCTGTAAAGCAGCATTTGTTAATTATTCAGTTTTAATATATTAATCTCTTTATCCAATGATTCTTACCACTGCTTGAATGTTATTCCAAACATCTGTAACTTCATAAACAGGCACTTCTATATTATATTTTTTAATAACACGGGCAAAGCCACACAAGGCCAAAGAATGTGAAGCAATTACTTGTTGAAACCTTTCAAATGTGGCATTCAAAAGTTCTAATAGAGGAGATTGGCTCACTGATACTCCACTAGGTAGAGATGTATCTTTGATTTTTATATTTTGTTGTTTATCAGACGATTCGGCTATATTCTTTGATATTTGCTCAGTAATTTTCAACAATTCATTTTGCATTTGAGTTTTTACTGCCTACAGTTCAATAAATTCATTAACAATCATCTCGGGTTGAAACAAATATAAAAATACATACTTCTATGGCCTCAGGGATTTGATTTAACAGTGCCAAACATTCAATGATAATAGCAAGAAAATATTCAGAATTTTCTTCAGGGTTGAAATTTGTCTCATCCTCTACAATATTATTCAAATCCTCCAAACCAACACTGCTAGTTTTTCTGTACAAATAAATACATTATATCTAATTAAAATAAAGGAATTAAACTTGTTAAATATGTTATTATTTAAAAGTATACCTAGAAACCTGTCCAGACAAATAACCTGGTACACCAACATCCAATAAATTTCTTTTCACTTTGCTACCCTTAGAATTGCGTATCTCCATTCCACGCTGAAAATCTCTATTTGAACCTTGTCTTCTCAAGCCAAGGTCTTTAGGCTGCTCCTTGTATAGCTGTTTATTCAGTTCTTCTAAAAGCTTACTGCTAAGTTTTTGCTTTTTTGTTTCCAAATCTATTCTAACTTCACGAAGAGCCTCTACTCCTTCCAAAGTACCATCCCCCATTGAGAGAGCAGAAACAAGTAATTGCGTAGCATGTAAATAATGCTTTTTCCCCAAGTGCATGCTAAGTTTGGCAGGTATTTCTTTCAGCTGATCTCTAAAATGTGCATTTCATTAGAAAATGGCAATAGATTTAAGACTATTAGCAAAACTTACATGTCATTTAACAAATGTAAAACATGATTATGCTCTACTCCTTCTAACCAAAGTTTCATCAGTTCTTCTCTCCTACAATTCAAAAGCTGTTTACAAGCATTTAAATTTTCTTTTACAGAATGAATCTTTTCACGAGCTGCTGTCACTCTTTCAGACAATATTCCGAATATCTAGAAAAAATTGTAATAAATCATAAAAGATAATGCTTGATTTAAAATAAACTTCTTTATCATAGTTACAATAATTATTTTATCATAGTTACAATTACAATGTATACATACCTTCATAACCTCAGTCAAATCTTGTTCATGAGCAGAAACAAGCTCATCTAGTTTTTGATCACATCGTTTATAATCCTTTTCAAGTTTTGCCTTTTCAATTTCTCTTTGCTCATTAGTTTCACTCGCAGAAAGAGTACGGATTACAGTTATTAATAAGCCACTCTACAAATTCAAATTTAATGATAAATAAAACGTGAAAAAAATATAAAAGTGTATTATAAAATAACTAAAATATATTCAATTAAAACATGCTTTTATCTACTTTGAAACACAAAAATGTAACTTTTGAATTAATAATCTCAAATATCTCATTTACTTACAGTTTCCTTTGATGGTTTTATTCCTCTAGGAGGTTTTATTGGAGGGGAAATATTTAGCTCCATGTTTATTTACGTGCTTCAGCGGTTGAAACAGCGAGCTAAGCGAAGTACTATTGTCAATTTAAATGTTGATGATTAGCCATGTTCTATCAATGTTCTATCAGAACACTGTAAAGTTAGTTGTCATTTACTTATAATTATTTATAATATACATGAATGAACTTTATACATTGTGTTGTGGATATTTATACATATCATACACACACATACACACACACACACATATATAATGATATTTTAGGGAATAGTGCCACAATTGTTGTCATGTATTGCTATGTTGGCTGGTGAAGTGTGTGAGTGTATCTTTCTTTTTTTTTTCTATGTCCTCTGCCCACAAGATATGTAGTCGGTGTAACGTATCGTACGCCGTGCTTAATGCCTATGTTCACACAGTCACATCCTGTATAACATCATATCCGACATTTTGGCGAAGTGAACTTATCTGCATGTGCCGGATTGCTATACTTATATATATACCTGCGTTGACGAATCATAACCCATTCTGTTTTTTTATACAACGAACGATGATCTAGAAACGACTGTCTCTGATATCACCACATTAAAAGTGTTTCCAAATAATGTTTAATACTTTTTTTTCATGTACATCAGCTAAGTTTACAATTAATCTGTCAAAATAGCACTATTTACTAATTTGAAAATATTGGTAATATTGTGATTTGTATGAACTCTCTCGAGTAGTATTGAGCAGCTGGATAACTTGTAATAATTTAATAAGCTTTTACTGAGTTATTGTCCGACTATATTCACTTTCTTTATATATTTAGATTTATAATCTTTTGGAGCATGTAAAAGAATGTCAAATAATGACTATTGATTACTCCAATTCAACTGCAAATAAGCAAAATGTCTACTAGATTTTTAAAAAAAATTCATGGCAATGATGTAGCTTTAGAAGAATCCAATGAAGAAATTAATGATGCACATGTTGAAAGAGGAAAACAAAAAAGTTTTAATCTTTTTAACTTGGTGAGTTGATTGTTTGTAGAAAGTAAAAAGATAATCTTTCACTAAAATAATTATATTAACAATTTTTCGTTTGTAATTTTTTCTAGTTGAATAAAAATTCAGACAATGATGCTGAGAGTAGTGAACATGACATAAATGATGAAATTGAAGAAGAAGAAGAAGAACATCGTAATGATGGCAAAACTAAGAAAAAGCGGAAAAAGCACAAGAAGAAACAAAAATCTAGAGCTAGTGAAGACATTAAAAAAGATTCTAAAAGTCAAGAATTGGAGAACGAGGAAGGTTTAGATGAAATCGATAAAACTGTAAGACAAATAAATAAATTATTAGGCGAGCCAGAGTCAAGCAGTAATACTGATGCAGCTGAAACTTCACAGTTCAGTCTTATAAACAAAACTAAAGAGAAAATACTAACCGTACAACATAAAAATTTAAATCCTTATAACGAACTCAAACGAATATTTGGAAGTAGAACTATTCAAGCAGAGCAAACGTATGATACACTGTAGTACTATTTTTATATATTTTAAGCATTATATGAAATTTACTCTTTCAGTAAACCAAGATCCAGGGGTCGTACTGGACATTTAAAAAAAACTTGGTTAGTGACCATTCGCGATAACATGCTACCTATATCTAAATCAGGACTCTCGATGACTCTAGACAAAACTATAACAGCAGACAATGTTCAATATTTTGTTTACGAACACAGTTCTTCCTATCGACAAGTGCAACAAAAGTTTATCGATGCAGTAGAAAGTCTTAACATAGAAAATATTATTGTAAAATATATTATATTTATAATAACCATTTTTGTTTAACATTAATTAAAAGATATTGATATATTTTCTTTAGAGTATTGTAAATACACATCCATACCACGTTGATACATTACTGCAATCTGCTGAATTATGCAAACTAAATGAAGAACTAGCAATGGCAGCTAGTTTGATTGAACGAGCCTTATTTTATTTAGAATATGCATTTCATCCACTATTCAATTTAACAACAGGCAATTGTAGGCTGGACTATAACAAACAACAAAATCGAGCTTTATTTATAACTCTTTTCAAACATCTTGTATTAGTTGGTGGTAGAGCATGTTATAGGTATTGAAAGAAGTATTATATCTACAATTTTTTGTATCTACAACATGCGTGAATGTTTCTTAATATATTTTTCTCTGTAAATAGAACTAGCTTAGAATTGTGCAAATTGTTATTATCTTTGGAGCCTGAAGAAGATCCCTTAGCAGTAGTTCTGATGATTGATTTCTATGCCATCAGATCAAAAGAATATCAGTGGTTTTGTGATTTTTGTAATTTGTGGGAAATTACAAGAAATTTGCAACAACTTCCAAATATTGCCTATAGTTTGGCTCTTGCCCATTTTTACTTGAATGAACAAGAAATTGCAGACGAAATGTTGCAAAATGCACTGATAATGTTTCCTGGAGTTTTGATTCCATTGTTAGACAAGTGTAGTATAAATGCTGATTCAAAGGTGAGTACTTACAAAGTTAAAATAACGATTATTGATTTCAACATATTTAAAATATTAATTTCAGGCCACTAGTCACGAGTTTTTTCAGACCAAAGCTAGTTCAAGTACACCACCAGCTTTAGAAAAATTGCAGAACCTGTATGTAGCTCGTAGTTTCCATTTGTGGAAGGAAACTGATATTTTACCATGGCTTGAGAAAAATGTACATATTGTTCTACAACGCGTAAATGCAAAAGATGATTATGTTAAATTCTGTCAAGTTAAAAGAAATAAACGTTATCAAGGAAAATTACCAAGAAACATTTTGAGACATTTAATTGTGTCAGATCTAAAGGATGTAACAGTAAATATTCAAGAAGTATAGAAAAATTGTTATTAAATTTTAAACTATTGTAGTAAATAATGGTTTTTAAATTACTCATTTTTTTGTTTTCAGATACAAAATGAAAGTCCACTTATGTCTCACGACCCTCTACCTCCTATTAATTCAATTGATATTTATACTAATCCAAGAGCTGCAAGAAGGACTACTCATAATAATTCAAATTTATTATCTTTATTTTTTTCTTCTATTTTTATGAATCTTGAAAGTGACCAACCTCCTGTTAATCGCGCAAATCTAGATAAGTAAGTGCAAATACATTTGAAAGTTTTGATGTTTCTGTTCAATTGAAAAATTGACAAAAAAATATTTATTTGTTTCAGTGAAAATCAGGGATACCAAAATGAATTTGATTGAAATGTGATATATGAGGCATAATACTACTTTTAATACAAGATTTTCGTTTTTTTACAAAACATTTATTTTCTTTAGTATTTTTAATTCATCACACAACACAAATTATACTTTGCTGTAAATAAAAATAGACCTGTACTCTTAAAATCTGTAAAAATACTTGTAAAAATGATATAATTATAATAAATTTTGTTAATTGTAACATCACCTGAAAATATCGTTAAACATGTATTTTATTTTCAATCTAAATTAAGTAGATAATATAACATGCATATATAATAATATGTACATATTTATAGTTTTCTTTGACAACTTCGATTGCATATCTCGCGATCTGCTTTTTCAAACCACGTGAGAATTAAAATTAGATTGTTTTTATAAAAAAAAAATTACGTACTTAAGAGATGTTAACATATTTTTTAAGAAATTAATAAGCAAATGTAGGTGAAGTATAATATTTAAAAAAGCAACAGCTTCATTTGTATTGATTTGTTAAAAATTTTTTAATACAAAGATTTTATTTACTAGTAAATGCTTAATCATTACGAAATTTTTAGTCTCATAAGTAGATATTGTGTTTATGACAGGTGTTAATAACTTTAATACTATAACAATATATCTTTCATATCATGCTGCGGAAGACGGGATTGTAACGACAAATGCCTGGGCCATGTTCTTGATAATCGGCTTTTGTGTGGCAAACTGCATAGAATTCGGGATCACTAGCTAATAAAGCACCTCCGTACCAAACTGCACAGCGTTGTTTATGATGCGATATCACACGAACGTCAACAGGTTTTGGCTAAAGAAAAATCGGTTATTTATAAAATTGTGCAATTGCAATAATAAAATTGTTTATTGCTTTGCTTACAGTAATGTGTCCTCCACTTAGAGTCTTGCTCAATTCCAAACGAGCATCGACAGTTTTCTTTATATCCCTTTGTAATCGCCTTCCAAAATCTTTAAACATTGTTGACCCCCCAGACAGAACTATGTTATTATAAAGTGGTCGTCTTACATCTATGGGGCAATTTTGAATAACATCATCTACTATCTCACTCAGAGGTGTTGTAAAATCTGGGTTTGAAAACTAAAATTATAAAAATTTCTCCATTATTACATTTGACTTAAATGTGTATTATCAAAAATTATTTTATCAATACCTCAGGGTGGAAAAAAATTTCTGGGCCAAGAAATCTTTCATAACCAACATCAACAGCAAAAGATTGTTTTGTAATGTTATTCATTCCTTCATATCTTGCAAATTTACTGGAATCACTATCAAACTTTGCAAATTCTTTAGCAATGTCTGGACAGATGTAGCAAAATTTTTCTTTGATTGCTTTTGCTGTTTCTAATGATTGTTCTGGGGGGATACCAACTTCTCTATCTCTTAAAAGACTTTGAATAAAATATGTAATATCACGACCAGCTATTGGAATGTGCTTAATGCAGCTTCCTATAACAAAACCTTGAGCCTGTGAAACAAAATATTAATGCAACTGAAACGTGGGAACATTTTCTCAAATTGTGAAATGTTTCTTATTTCAAATCACTTACAACAGGAATGACATGAGTAACTCCATCACCACTATCAACAACAATACCAGTTAACCTTCTATTTTCAACAGTTTTAGCCATCCAAGAGGCTGCAAGAGCTAATACTGCTTGAACTGCAATATACAGTCCAGAAACATTGAATGATTCAAACATAATTTCTGCTGTATATTCACGATTTTCAGGTGTATTTAAAGGAGGTTCAGTTAATAGAAAATAATGATCTTCTGGCTCTGCTCTTAGATACTTGAATATACATTGTTGCAAGAAACGTTCCATCAAATCCCAATCTTCAACTAGACCATGTCTGACTGGATACTTTTGTAAAGTATAATAATCAAATGTGAGAAAGAGTACAAAGTTCATCAAAGATTTATAAATTAAAAATTATGTAATACCTTAACAGCATATCCTGTAGCTTCAAAAGCTTCATCACCAATATAAAAATCCAAATCTTCAATACCCTTTGTAACACGTCTTGCAGTATTATCCCCAACTTTTGCTGTTTCTTTTATTGCTATTGCTGATGGTATCACAAGTTGAGGTTCCTTATTACCAGCAAAACCCAACTTGGTATATCTATGAATCACAACCATACAGTAAATACAGATAGTACATCATAAATGAGTATTTATGCATATGTTTTCTATCATCTTGAAACCTTTGAAACTTAATTAATGACTGTTCTCTACTCTATTTGATATGTAATTATTGTTTTTTTACAAATGATACTTACCCTGTTCCTACATCAATTACACAAGGAGGTAGGTGTGGCATTGTTGCTACTAATATTTATGAAATTCCTTTAACTGCTCTGAAATGAAGTGAACTTACACTAATAATCTTGATTGATAAAGAACACTTTGTAGCTGGTTAGATTGTACACGTACGGTATGTACACTCTAGATGTATAATTGACTCTAGTGCTTACTTCTCAAACTAATGTACTTGCATTAATCATCAATTTTATGTACTCAAGTTTTGGATTAAGTTCAACTTGGTATACTTATCAAGTATACCTACCCTAGCCGCTGAATCGTTCATACTCTCTTCTCCCTGTTTGATCATGAATCACTTTATTCATGATACTCCTGCGATTCTGTTACTGACGACAGTGTAAACGGATGGCGCAAAACGGTTCAGTTTTCAAAAAATCCTTTCTGGCACAAATTTTTATAAAATTGTGAACCGTTGTTAGTCGATATAATTATTAAAAGTTTTTTAATAATTATATCGAATATATTATATTATATATTATATTTAATCCACGTAATCTTATCAAATTAAACTAGCAGTATTTTCTATAATTTTTGTAATAGTGCGTACTTATACACATTGCTAGAAATATGTGATAGAATGTAAAATAATTTAACCACATTAAGCATACATTTTTTTCATTTTGCAGTTACTAAGTATTTTTTGTAAAATCAATTTAATATAATGATGGGAAGTAGAGATAAAAAATAAGAACGGAGGCCGTAGAATTTGTCAGTCCAATCAATGTGCCTGGGTGGGTGGGATCACGCAATATAGTATATGTATGTACTATGTATGAGTATATACGTACCACTACATAGAATAGTTGTCACTAGTGTCACAGTTGCACACGTCAGCTACACAGTCTGATTATTTGCATCACTATTTTCGTGATGTAGAATAAAATATCGCAGAAATAGCGATTTTTATGATATAAAGAATTTTTTTCGATCAAGACTTTTACAAATAATACTCCGAAATGGTAATTTTAGTTACCATATTTGAAGCTTCAAAATCATAATTTCGGTTTTAATAATTTACTGATTTTATCATAACTTTGTTTGTAACAGGTGCTCATCGCTGCTTCGGTGTGTACCAAGGGAGGGAAGAGTAAGTAAAAGTATCCAGAGAACATTATTGAAAAATTATATGGCTTTAACAGAGCAAAGCAATTATTATAACCTTATTTGGTTTGACCTTAATCAGCCTGCAGCTAAATTGTATATGATGTACTCTTTTTTTTGCAGTTATTATTTCTCGCCAATTTGTTGAAATGTCCAAGGCAAGAATAGAAGGTTTACTTGCAGCATTTCCAAAATTGATGAGCAGTGGCAAACAACACACATTTGTTGAAACTGATTCAGTTAGATATGTCTATCAACCTTTGGAGAAATTGTATATGCTGTTAATAACAACAAAAGCTAGTAATATTTTAGAAGATCTAGAAACCTTGCGCCTTTTTGCAAGAGTGGTATGTTGTGATTTTATTATTTGATACATTGTTAGATTGTTGAAAATTAATCATGATCTTTATTATCTAGATTCCAGAATACTGTAAATCATTGGATGAATTAGAAATAGCAGAAAATGCATTCAATTTAATATTTGCATTTGATGAAATAGTTGCACTGGGTTACAGGGAAAATGTTAATTTAGCACAGATTAGAACATTTGTGGAAATGGATTCACATGAGGAGAGGGTATATCAAGCAGTCAGATTCACACAAGAAAGAGAGGCTAAGAACAAGATGAGAGAAAAAGCTAAGGAACTTCAAAGACAAAGACTAGAAGCTAATAAAAAAAGTACAGGAATTAAAAGTACAGGCTTTGGTGGAGGTTATGGAAGTGGAAATAACTTTACTCCAACACCAAGTGTTGGCGATACTGCAAATTACATTCCTGAACCTGCTAAGTCAGCTTACACACCAATGCAGTAAGTCTCCTATCTATGTGCATCTTTTATTATTTAAAAACATTATATTTCTATTACACACAAATGTACTTTGTAGAAAACCAAGTTCACTTAGTTCAAGTGCAATGAAATTGGGAGGTAAATCAAGGGATGTTGATTCATTTGTTGATCAATTAAAAGAAGAGGGAGAAAATGTTGTTACATCTCATTCAAACACGTCTGCTAAAGTTGTATCAAATACTGTAGATAGTGGATCAACAGAACCGTTAGTACTGCAGTATTTATTTAATTTATGTTTTTTATATTATTAAAATTACAAATTTAATATCCAGAGTTCACCTTAAACAAGAAGAAAAACTTAATGTTCGAGTTAGTCGCGATGGTGGAGTTAAAAACTTTGAATTACACGGTTTGGTGACACTTAACATATCAGATGAAAAATGGGGCCGTATTCGCGTTCAATTAGATAACAAAGATAATAGAGGAATGCAACTACAGACTCATCCAAATGTAGATAAAGAACTGTTCAAGACAAAGGGACAAATTGGTTTAAAAGTTCCATCAAAGCCATTTCCTTTACATACCGATGTTGGTGTATTGAAATGGCGCTTGCAATCTCAAGAAGAGATCGTTTTACCCATCTCAAGTATGTTTAAAATTGATTTTTGTATCTTTTTTAAATATTTTTATTAATTGCATTTCATGTATGTATCAGTAAATTGCTGGCCTTCTGAAAACGGCGAAGGAGGCTGCGACGTTAATATTGAATATGAATTGGAACATAAAAATTTAGAGTTGAATGATGTTCAAATAAACATTCCTTTGCCTATGGGTAGCAATCCAATAGTAAGTGAGTGTGATGGGCAATATTCTTATGAAGCAAGAAAAAATATATTACTTTGGTCCTTGCCAATAATTGATGCATCTTCAAAATCTGGAGCAATGGAATTTTCTGTTCCAAATTCAAGGCCATCAGACTTTTTTCCATTACGGGTTTCATTTACTTCAAAAACGCCATATGCAAGGATCTCGGTAAATCAATAAATATCTCACATTGTTTATAAGCGATTTATTAGTTATGAATTATTATAAATTATTTTTTATTACAGATCATCGACGTTGTTCTGGTTGATGATGATAGCCCTGTAAAACATTCAGTGGATACAGTCTTTATTACAGACAATTATGAAGTGGTTTAAATGAAAAGTTAACTTGTATTTTTGTATTTGTATTTATAATGCTTTTTGGATTAAAATCAAAGAGCGTTTTGATTGATATAAACACACTTGTTTTGAGAAGAATTTTGTGGTTTTTGTTTACTATAACATTTATAATCAATGATTCATTTTGGATTCTAGACCTGACGTCTGAAATGTATTCATTTTTTGACATGAATATTACGAATAATGAAAATTTCACAATGCTTTTAATGTTTAGATGGAAAAATGAGCTCACACGTTCATATTTTTATTTCTGCGATTACTTTCAGACGTTATCTTCATTAAAAAAAATTACAATAAATATAATTACGATTGTTTTCCTTTGCTATTTAATAATTTTATAATTTTAATTTATAACTGTAATAATGATTTATTATAAAAATAAATTATTTTATGTAAGTATGTATAATTCGCGGTCATTTTCTATCCATATCAAAATATTTAAAATCAATCAATAGTGTTATAGTAGTATAATCATTCATTCGAATGAAAATAAGCTAATGAATTAAAAATATCGCAATTATTGGTCAATTTTCATAATTTTTGTTTCAATATAACGTATATGTGCGCTTGCGCATACTATACTCCGATATTGCTATTTGCTATCTAATTTTTTTCTGCTATTACTGCCACGAGACTGTGGCACGTATAGTACATTTCATTTGCCCTTGCTTGTCATTGTCGCTGTTCAAGTATTATTTTTCGCAACTTTTTGATAAATAAATTGAATGTTATAAAAAAGTCACATTTACGTAAGTATGTAGTATGTTTTAGATAGAAATGAATTTTTTGTACATCTAATTTAATTGTTTAAGTTTTCTCGATTTTGCAGAATGACTTCGTATGCTAGTTCGATTGTTAATACAGTAACGTTTGAAGGTCAAAAGCCCGGTACTTCGGGCCTTCGAAAAGCCGTCAAAGTTTTTCAGCAGGAACATTACACTGAAAACTTTATTCAAGCAATACTTGAAGCCACTGGTAGCTCTTTAGTTGGAAGTACCTTAGTCGTTGGCGGGGACGGTCGTTATTATGGCAAAGAAGCTGTTCAGAAAATCATAAAAATTGCTGCTGCTAATGGGGTATGGTTCTTAATTTTGTTAAGCCCTTTCATCTCTAGAAAGTTACAAATTTAATTTTCAAATACTCATTGATGGTGTATCAAAGTAGTTTTTCTAAAAAAAGATTAAGATAATATCAAATCTTGAATAAGGTCATTAAGTAATAAATTATTACTACAGTTTGTGATAAGAAATCTTAATAAATCGCTTATAAATGGCATCTTCATGATTTGAGTTATTAGTCATCTTTCTAGATTTTATTATTTTATAGCCAAGATTTATTCGTACAAATTTTTTTATTTTGAACTACTTTAAATTGATGTAAATTTTAGATTGATCAATTTTCATATTTCTTCTATTGATTTCTTTAAATTTAAATTAAAATTTTTGTTATATGTCATTTAGGTTGCAAAATTGATAGTAGGACAAAATGGAATTCTTTCGACACCATCAGTATCTACAATAATACGGAAATACAAAACACTTGGAGGTATTGTTCTTACTGCATCGCACAATCCAGGTGGTCCCAATGGTGACTTTGGAATCAAATTCAACTGTGAAAATGGAGGCCCAGCTCCTGATACTGTTACTAATAAAATTTATGACATCACAATGAATTTGAAACAATACAAAATTGTTTCTGAATTGGATATTGATATTGATAAAATTCAATCCACTAGTGTGCAAGTAGATAAAAAATTATTCACTGTAGATATTATTGACTCTGTAGCTGATTATGTAAGTCTAATGAAAGAAATATTTGATTTTACATCCATCAAAAAATTACTGCATGGAAGTGCAGAACGTCCTGCTTTTCAAGTTCTTATTAATGCAATGAATGGAGGTAAATTGTTGAAAATGTATTTTTATTTGAATCTTGAATGTTCTTAATTTTGTTTTAGTTACTGGACCTTATGTGAAACAAATATTTGTCAAAGAGTTAGAAGTAAGTGATTCCAGTATAGTCAACTGTGTACCTAAAGATGATTTTGGAGGCTTACATCCAGATCCAAATTTGACTTATGCAGTTGATCTGGTAAATGCTGTTAAAAATGGACCTTATGATTTTGGAGCTGCATTTGATGGTGATGGAGATAGAAACATGGTAACTACAAAATTAATCAATTTTATATATTCCTTTTAATATTGATAATTTTTAATTGCTTTAGATTATTGGGAAAAAAGCATTTTTTGTTAATCCATCAGATTCATTAGCAGTTCTAGCAGATAACTTGAAATTGATTCCATATTTTATCAAGACTGGAATTAAAGGATATGCAAGATCCATGCCTACTGGAGCTGCTGTTGATAGGGTAGCTAAAAAAACCAATATTGAATGCTTTCAGGTACCAACTGGATGGAAGTATTTTGGTAATTATTAGTTTGTGTAAGTTTTTTTTGTTTTTCTGACAATTAGTTCCAATGATTATTATTACTCTAGGTAACTTGATGGATGCTGGACGTTTATCTTTGTGTGGTGAAGAAAGCTTTGGTACTGGATCAGACCATATTAGAGAGAAAGATGGAATTTGGGCATGCCTAGCTTGGTTAAATATAATTGCTACTCTTGGGAAATCAGTAGAAGAAATTTTGTTAAGCCATTGGAATACATATGGAAGAAATTTTTTTACAAGGTATTATTAATAGATATATACTTATTATTAATTCAATGTTTATTCATATTAACTGACTGCCACAATATTTTTTTAAGGTATGATTACGAAAACTGTGATGCTGAAAAATCAAACCAAATGATGGAATACATTGAAACACTTATAAATAAGCCAGATTTTGTTGGAACAAAGTTGTTATTAGAGAACAAAACATACATAGTTAAAGAAGCTGATAATTATTCCTATGAAGATCCTATAGATAAATCTAAAGCTTCCAAGCAGGTATAGACTAATATTTATTTCACAAAAAAACTTAAATGGTATTATCAGTTGACATTCATTTAAAAAATGTTTTATATCGTTTTAGGGGCTCAGGATTTTATTTGAAGATGACTCTAGAATTATTTTTCGTTTATCAGGTACTGGAAGTTCTGGTGCAACCATTCGGTTGTACATTGAAAGTTATGAATCTGATCCTTCTACCTATAATCAAGATCCACAAAATATTTTGAAGCCATTAGTTGATATTTCATTACAATTGAGCAAACTTCAAGAATATACTGGACGTGACAAACCAACTGTGATTACATAATATAGAAGTTATTATGTATTTTTATAAAAAAATTATATTATATGATTCTTTTTATGGAGTGAAGATGGTGGCATCTTTTTCATGTAAAATGACTGTTTTTTAAGAAGTTTATCACAGTTTAATATCAATGTTGAAATTAATGTAATATTATTGCATGATGTTGGTGATAAGCTGTTGAAATTATTTATTATTAAATGTAAACGTCAAAATTATAGCAAATTAATGCTTAATTAATTATATTTTAATAGATTTTACATGTGAAAATCAACGAAAATTCAATAAACAAATGATATTATTTTTTTAAATTGCAATAAATTTTTATTGGTCAAAATTAGTATTAAATTTTCAATTAAAAAATGGAATAATAATATTTGAGTATCTTTTTTTATCTTCTAGATGATAAAAATCGATCACCATTACTTAAAATAGACGATAACGAATCACATAATCACTCAGCACTTCTTATTTTTATACTTAGGTGCGTTCCTAACTAACACTGCTAATACAGCTATACGTAACCTTGGACGCTAATCTAAGGCTAATGTCTAGTTACTACCACATACCACTACCAGTTGACAGCTAAGTTACCCACCTCACGGTCATGTAAACGCGCACGTACGCGTCATTTCTAGGGTTTGGTTAGTTATCGATACTTGAGAATCATTTATATACAGTATGGTTTAATATATAGATTTGTGTATGCTATAAATTGTAAATGTAATTCCAGTTACTTTTCAAATATTCTTGTTTACCAAATACGTCTACTAGAAAAAAGAGAAAAAATTATTTTTAAGTTTGTAGCTGCGTAATATAATAGAGCGTATCGAAATCGATAAATCCAAACCTAAGATATCAAAGTTTAAAAGTATTGCCATATAATTGCTATACTTAGATTTTTATTTAATATAATGGTAAATGGTAAAACGTTCACTGTTTATTTAATTTAAAACAAGGATAAAAAAACGTTTAAAATTATATTAAACCAATTAATGTAATTCAAAAGCAAGTCATAAAAAAATCTAAAATGACTACAAATGAAAGTGACTCACAGCCTAAGACGAAGAAACCTTCTGGTAAAAGTGAACTTAAAACTTGTATTAGAAATTTTATAATGTGTTGCTAAATATCTATTTTTATTATAGATAGTGCTTTTAAACAACAACGTTTACCTGCTTGGCAACCAATATTAACTGCTGGAACTGTACTACCTACCTTCTTTGTGATAGGAATTGCCTTTATACCAATTGGTGTTGGACTTTTGTATTTTTCAGATGAAGTTAAAGAGTATGATAAAGATTATACAAACTGTTACTCAATTAATCCAGCACACAATGGTCAAAAGTGTATGGATATAATTAATGCAAATCCCAAAGAAAATTGTCAGTGTAAAATAGATTTTACATTGAATAATGACTTCAATGGAAAAGTCTACATGTATTATGGATTGACAAACTTTTATCAAAATCATCGTCGTTATGTAAAATCTCGAGATGATACTCAATTACTAGGTCAACTAAGTGATGTAGTTTCAACTGATTGTGAACCTTTTGCTTATGTAGACACTAAAAATGGTACAAAAGCAGTAGCTCCATGCGGTGCTATTGCAAATTCTCTCTTTAACGATGATTTAAGTTTATTCTCTCACAAACATAAAAAGGATGTACCATTACTAAGAACAGGCATTGCATGGCCTTCTGATAAGAATATAAAGTTTAAAAATCCTCCTGGAAATTTAAAGGATGAATTTTCCAAGTATGAAAAACCAAAGAATTGGAAGAAACCTGTATATGAATTGGATCCTACAAATGATGACAATAATGGATTTAAAAATGAGGATTTAATTGTGTGGATGAGAACAGCTGCATTACCCACATTCAGGAAATTATATCGAAGAGTGGATCATAGTCAGGAAGGATTTTTGGATGGCTTAATGAGTGGAAATTATACATTAAATATTAATTACAGTAAGTGTAAAATATCATGAACTTGTATGTTATATAAATTAATTTCATTGTCAATGTTTTATATCGTTCCAGCTTATCAAGTTTCAGCTTTTGAAGGAACAAAAAAAATGATTCTAAGTACAACTTCTTTATTAGGAGGCAAAAATCCGTTTCTTGGTATTGCATACATAGTAGTCGGATGTGTATGCTTGCTGCTAGGAATAGTATTATTGATTATTCACATCAAATGTTCAAAGAGGTCAGTAACTATTATTAGAATTAATATTTTTATCTATTATCTATTATATATTAACTTTCTTGTACTGCTTGATCAGTATAATCGAAAATATGCAAGAATGATTTATTTTTTGAATGCAACTATAAACTGTAATTTCAAAATAATATATTTTATAACATTAGCATTTTTATTGATGAAACTAACGGCAGACTGTTAAGTAACATGCATATAGACTAATTAATTGCATCTCAATAGAACTAAATTTCTTTGATGAAAATCTTGTAGGAGGCTTAGAATCTTAAATGAATAACAAAAAATATAAATGTAAGATTTTGTTAGAAATAAAAGCTCTGAGTGTGCAGAATGTCATCTTGATTTAAAAATGATTCCATTTATGAAATTTTCAACATTAATGTAAAAAAATGAATTATTGATCATAAAGATGTTGAATAATATTTACTTGACAAATATAATTTCATATATCTATAAATTATATTTTATACAGCAAACTCATCTAAAGGACCAAACATGCAAAAATAGGACTGTGTAAATGTCCTTGTAAGTGTTTAAAAAAACAAAATCATGTTGATATGGCTCTTTAAATCATTTCTTACACATTTGCAAGTGATTTATATTTACATTATTTTATTTTTGAGTCAACTCTACTAGATCCATTGAAGCTTTCTAAAAACAACGCCTAATAACGTTTCTTGTTTAGTTCATAAAGTCCATGTTACAATGAAAATTGCTTGCTATACTCGCATCAATAAAAAATTCGTTACAAAATTAAAAACAAGTGCATAGCTCCTCACAATATATATGCGTTCAGAGCCAACATTTTCATTACAAAAGTTGTCTTAATAACAAACAAGATTATTTAATTTTGCTCTTCTTTCAGCATTAAAAATATATAATTTTTTATATATAAATTTATAATTTTTTAGAAAATTAATAATTTTCTTTTGCAATTTCTTGTTTTACGACTTTGAGCACAACATTGAGCTTTCTCAAAGAACGTTCATTTACTGAAATTCCAATCATATTTAATTAGTGAATTTATGAGTTATGTTTCAAAAATATGTGTAAAAGGAGCTTTAGCTTTTCGTTATTATATCTACAAATTTAATGTGTTGATGAAAATTGTTCTCATTCATCAAACAGTATACCTTTCACGGTTAAACGTATTTCAAACTTATTTCCGTATTTTGTGATAATTCGGAATGATAATAGCATATTTTATAGTTGGTATTATATTATTTTTACATTTTTTACGCTTGATGCTATAAAATTTTTATGTGATTTTTACTTGAACGTAAAGTTCAATGTGAAAGAATTGTAGAAACGTGTGTACACGTGAAAATTCAAAAAATGTGAAATGATAGTCCATATAAATCATTAACTAAGAATAAAAATTTTTCAAATTGGCAAAAACAAAAGACATTTTATGACTGTTTTTTGTTTATTTTAATTAAACTATCCTTTTACACATAGAAATAACATTTTATGATACATTCAGTTTCATTTCTTAAATACTTTATTGCTCGTCTTCAGTCAATAAGCTTGTCATTATAAATTTTTCTCGAATTAGTAAATATTGGTTTTGCTCATCTTTACAATGAGAAAAAGCGAATTTGTCACATGATTGTAATAGAATTCAAAGAATTAGCTTGAAATTCATACGTACACTGTACGTGCTGCATGCTTTGTTGATATTGCTTTTTATACTGCTCGCTATTAACGCTACTAATTCACGTAAGACAATTGGATACGTAAAATTATTTTTTTAATTAGTCGACGTACTTTCATTAATTTTAGTTTATACTTTTGATTAATTTTTATTTATATGACTAGTTATACAATACCATGCATTCAACCTATTTGCCTGATATTTTATATACATATATTAATGATTCAGTTTTATTGTATCATTAAAGAACTTAAATTTTTTCACAGCACCAGTGACATAATCAACGTTAATCCAACTACCCCTTATCAGTGAAGTGATTTAAAACGCCTTTCCACGAATATCTCTTTGAAGGTATTACATTCATTCTTCAATCTAACAAGAATATTGTTTTTTTTAACAAAATTAGTTGAATTTTTAATTAGATAGCACTTGTAGAAAAGTAAGAAACAAGTTCAAAAATATTCACACGTGACATCTTTTAAATATTGTCCATTAGTTTTACATGTAATGATTTTTATTATTTTTGTTACGTATCAGTGAATGTTAAATTTTAATTTTGCAGTTTTTAAAAAGCAAAAAGTAGAAATGAAGAAATTCAAGAAGCAGTTTAATGACTACTTAAAATTTTTTAATAATTTTCTTCGATTTGTTTCCAGTTGATTAGCAATCAAATTTTTATTTCGATTATTCAACGGCAATCTAATTAACAAATGCCATAATGCATTATAAGTAAGGAAATGAAAAGATACTTTCTTCGTTATTGAACATAATTAAGTTTACTGTGTTATAGAGTCTATAAGAGGCCTTAATTTTGAAAATGGACTTATTTCATTCAATATCTACCTTATAAGTATTGATAGTTTGACTGTTCTGATCACATCAATAATTTCGTTTTAGTTTTCACTATGTTTATTATGAATTCTTTAAATGTGATCATTTACAATACTGTATTTGTGTATATACATATGTAAGCTTATTCATTAATTACAGCACGCAATTCTACTATGAAAGTAAAAATAAATGTAATGCATACCAAATGTTGTATAAACAAATTACGAGAAAAAATTATATAATGTCGATTACACCCAGGATTATTATTTATAATAGATTAAATATTGTAAAATATTTTATGTGAATTTTCAATAAATAATATCTTTTGTCACAGTACTTGAGTTTGTATTAAAATATCTATTTTGTTTGTAAAATGTTTTGAAAAATAAATAAAAAAAATGTTAATGCTCAAAATTATTTAACGTTATTTAACCTTTGACATTAACCCATTAACCATTGACTGGATTTGTTGGGGTTGTGACGACCCTGTGTGTTCCAAAGAGTATTAGTTCGTTTTAAACATACTATTTTAGTATATTTCATATTATTTTAATGAAAATTACTTCACTTCACAGAAAATAATTACTTTTATGTATATTAATTAAAAATTGGAGTAGTACGTTTGTTGAAAAATTATTGCTCTAAATTTAAATTTCGCGTGTACAAACATGCGGAGTGTGAGTTTAACTTTTTGAGTAATTTACTCACACACACTCACACATATATATAAATATAATATAGCATATTGTTCTCAATGATTTGCAGTAGTCGCTTTTACCAACCCAATATGGAAAGACGAAAGGCGGTTTAAATTTTAGCATTGAGTAAAATAGGACAGTCGACTTGTAAATAGATTATTTAAACAATGACCAGTTATACAGATGTGAATATGTCAATTTGGAATATAATAAACTTTTTGGTAATACAAAAAAATTTTTAGAAGAGGGGCGGCTATGTTAAATGCAAAACATATTCTATTATATGGCATCACAAAGGTTTAAAGCAATATAGTTGGAATTTGTTGCATTTGCTTATAAAGTTTGCACATTCACAAAAATTCTTTTGAAATAAAAATTAGTATTTCATTTATAAATAAAAAAAATAAAGTGTTTGTATGCATTTCTTGCTGGTGATGGTAGTAAATGCAAACATATATTTGTAACTCTTTTTCACATTGGTGCATTGGTTCATCAATTTTTAAAATTATACTTTTATCATTTCTTTTTTGACTGGTTTGGTTATTTTGTATTGTCATTTAACAGAAAAGGTATAGACTATTTAGAATTTTTAAGTTGCACTGATTCACAATGAAAGTTATCAAAAAAAGTTTTAAAAGAATATGATAAATCTACTAAACTTGTAAATTTATATTACTATGATTTTATTGTTCCAAAATATCATGATGATTATTCATATTTGCATGGTTTTTTTCTAACTTTGGTAGCTGGTATATGTACATAATATAATATAATTAGATGTTTATTTTTACAATAAGAATGTGTTTGTATATTAAACATTTTTATAAAATTTTTATTTTGTTAGGCAGTGTAAATTGTCAAGCAGCATTAGATATATTTAAAATTAGAAATATTAAAAGTACATCACATATTATCTTGACTTATTTGCTCAACAATTTGCTTCCAAAATAATTGTTGCTACTATATTTTTAAACCTTCTATCACTTACCATTCTACAATTGACTTCTACTACTAATGAATGTACAATATTCTTCAAAAATAACATTGCAATAGTTACATTAGATGCTTTTACCCTATATGCATTAACGGCTTACACCAAAATAACAATGTGTGGATGAACAATGGAAAAAATGGAATATCTGGCAAACATATACTATGATTTTTTCACCTATACTAATAATAAAACTCCTAATTAGGAAAATAAACTTAACAGCATATTTTGTTCGAAATTCAAAGGTAACAGTACAAAACATGTTAATCTACTGTAAAATGCAGTTTCACAAAATTATCATTTTCAATTTTATCAAACACTGCTTCTTTATTTTTTTTCTTTAGGAAATAGGTGATAAGTTGCCTTTTCATTTTTGTGGTTTTTGCAACCAGGCACACAATATAATTTTAGTTTATTTTATTTTTTTCAATATTTATGTCTACAATCTTTACTTTTATTTACTTTGGTTCAGTTCTATTAGTGGCCACTTGGCGCTGTAGTCTGCTTTGAGATTGCCTATCTATAATGTCCATCCGGACATTAATTAATCCGTGAAGTTTAAAATTTAAATTATTTTCGAATATTAATAATCGATGGCACCAAACAAGGTTAGATTAAAAACTTATTATGACAAGCTGTACCTCCACAACTTGCCAGAAAAAACCCATCTGATGTGAACATCATCAATCATCGAAAATAATTTTGACTTTGAACTTCGCGGGTCCCGAATTAATGTCCGGGCGGCCGGTGGACAGAGTATACACTACTCTATACATATATGTATGTATATATCAAGCGTTGTAAATGAACCTTCTCCGACAAAGCTTCGATGAAATGTGCACCAATCAAATTAATTTCATCAATTTTATTGTTTCCAGTAAAAAGGATAAACCAATCAAAATCATGAATGTCTTAGGGACCCTAAATACTGCTTCAAGTTTATTTAAGGTACGAAAGAATAGTTGTGAAAAAATAAATAAATTGACTATCAATTTATCGATTTTAAAATCAATAACATAGATAAATTATTTTTACAATTGTCAATGATGACGATTTCAAGAATTATAAAATGTAATTTATGCATGAAATAAACGCATTGTTAAAATGAATCCAAAAAAATTGCAACAATGGAAAAATCTTAAAAATATTATCTTAAAAAAATATATTTGTTACCAATTGTTATATAATAAATGATGAAATGATCGACGGAGAGCTAACTCGTTGACAGATAAAATTCAATAAGCGCCATGTTGATTATAGTGAATTGTGTAATGTGTGTAGTAATAAAAACGAAAACAGCACTAGCAGCCATATCCAATTTCGCAGGAAGATTATAGGCCGTGCTAATGGCAACAATGACGAGGTTGTGATGGCCGTTGCCAGCTTAGAGAGAAACGCGTTTATACGAGATAATTGTTGATAAAAGTTTGGCTGAAGGTAGCAAGTTCCTGAAATTTGCAAGTGAAAAAGTGCGAGTAGTGCCGGAGCTACTCGTCGACTTAGTGCTAAAAGGTTGGATTTTCTCATGTGGGTCTAAAAATCGGCTCCTCGTCGGCTCGGTTTCCGCGATCTGCCGGATCTTCCTCAGCTGCGTCTTGCGCCTCGCGCCTTTGCAGTCGGCCTTGATACCTCTCTCTCTCTCTCTCTCTCTCTCTCTCTCTCTCTCTTTCTCTCTCTCTCTCTCTCTCTCTCCTCGTTTTCTCAGTCTCTTCACGCCAGTTTACGCGGCGTTGTGTTTTTTTGCTTGTTGTGTCGCGTTTTGCAATTTGCATATGCGGTGTGTGATGAAAAGTTGAATCAACGGCACGCCGCTACCAGACGTAGTATGCATACAACCTGTGTGCCAAAGGCTCGCGCGCGATTACAAGAATGGTACATTGTTTTGAATGAGGGTCGAAGGGCCCGCTGGCGAATCAAGTGAGTGCGCGTCATTTCTGTGCGGGCCGGTTCGCCACTTTTCAGGCTCGCCGAGCGTCGGGATCGTACTTTTCTTTTGTTTACGCCTTGTCATTTCTCTCTCTCGCTCTCGTTGCACCTCTCGTCGCGCTGTTTCCCCCCCTGCGCGCGTACCCCCAATCCCCCTTTTCCCCCATCTGTGCGCGTGCGTACGTGAAAGGCTTTGTTGTGTATACATATTTATCGAATAATCTCACTGCACCGCTCGCAATTGCAGGACTCGTTGCAAACAGCGGATTACCGGGATGTAGCATCTGTCGAGGATCGGTTGATTTATATACGCGGATGAATACATCTCCCTTGCTGAGCGACGGGACGATGAAGTCTTCCACAACGGTGCGAGCATGTTTGCGTGACTGGTCAACTCTCAAACGTGCGGCTCCTCAAGCGGTGTTTGGTGTGTGTGAGAAAGAGGGAGCCTTACTCTAAGATCGTCCAAATTTTCTCTGAACCGCTTTCGCTAAATGTAGTTACACCTACTTTATACCTCTGCCTTACCTTGCGCTCGTGTCCCAACCAACGCTAACTTTCTATAACCTAGCGAATTTTTGTAGTGAAACAGATCGGATGCTAACATTGGAACAGATTACAAACATTGTATTTCGTTGAATTCAAATTTACAAAATTGTGCCCTTATCTTTCACAAATATAACATAATTCTATAATATTTTTACATTAAACTTGTATTAAATTTGTATATATACTTTTGCAGTGTTTCTACTCTACTTGCTTTCAAATTCTACAGCTGGCTTGATTTAAAAGTAAAGACACAAGACTTACAGTGAAAAATGTGTTTAAGTGCATATCACAGCTGATTAAAAAAATGCCAGCCAATTACTTTTGGCTTATTGATTTAGGATAGTTTTGAGAAAATGACTAATTCTGATCTCAATAGTAATATAAACTATTGAAAATTGGGTGACTAATTATCAAGTTAGTTTTAATTTTAAGTTGAATTTAGTGTTGATAAACCAAGTGTATAAATGGGTGTTAATTGTGAACAAATGTACTCAAACGATACAAGAAAATTTGAGCATCATTCCACAGTATATCTTTTTCTAAATGGATAATGTGTTTTATAAGAGAGAATGTTCAACTGCCTAGTATGTCATATAATTGTGGTTTCTAAAGAAAAAAATTGCAATTTTCTCCAAGAATATTGATGGTTTTTGACTTACTGAGGGGATGCTTGCAAGACAATCTTCAGTTGACGATACCACAGAAACTACATGCATGTCAGGAATAGGCAATCTTGGACGTAAACGCGTTGAGTGGCGTCGCAATGCAAATCCAAGACTTGAATATTAAAAAGTGTTGATGTAACAGGTTAGTATTGAGATGTTTTCTACATTTCCAAATATAGCAATAGAATTTATTAAGTAAACTTTATTGATTTGATAGTTGCCCAGAATTTGGAACATTGAAAAATACTATACAGGAACTATAAGGTAGCTGAACGCTGCCCAGAGTTTCGAGGTGCTGCGTGGGCATGCAGCAGCCTCAGTCACGCCCTCTTCTTGGGGACTCTGTATCCTCTACAACATCCCCAACCACTCGTCGTAACAATAATCCAGTAGCAGTGTTAACACCCCAACAAGTAAGGGAGTCGCTTACAAAATGTTTGTATATACACTTTTACATTGATTGTTAATGGAATTTATTTAATTTTCAGTTACAACAATTGCAACAGCTCCAGTCTCAAAATTCTGGACCTCAATCTGTAACATTTACCCTTCAGCAACCATCTGGAAATGTAAGTAACTGTTGATATTTTTTTCATGGCATTGAAACTAGTTGTATTTAATTTTGTAACTTTGTAGAATCAGGAGCAGCCTAATGGATCTGCTGCTGGAAATCACATTCTCTATGTAAACCAATTAAATCAGTTAAATCAAGGCCCTCTCAATCCCTCTGGGACTGGTATGGGCTTGCCCCAGGCCACCCCCACTTTTGGGGTTGGCCTTAATATGGGATTACCTTTATCACTTTTAAATACAAGCCTGACATCATTGACGTCAAATGCGATAACTACATCAAATTCATTACTCAATTTGAGCCTTCCTAGCATTAATTCGGGCCTGACCGCAATAAACCCCAGCATAAATCAATTAAGTACATTGGGCACCAATCTTGTTTCAAATTTATCATCGGACAGTATTAACAATGGATTATCAAATCTTGGTCAAGATTTGTCTAGCATAAATTCTGGTATGGGCAGACTGGGTGCTCTCAATTCCACCAATATCAACACTGGATTAACTAATACAAGTGCTGCTGGACTTGCAAGTGTAAATCCAACTTTGACAAACTTGAATGCAACCACTATTAACCAAAATCTTGCTTCTATTAATGCGAATTTGACTGTTGCAAACTCTGCTGGTACATCAGCTTTGAATCCTACTCTCAATACCAGTATAAGCCTTTCCAATAATAATATCAATTCAGGCTTGAATCAGCAAGGGCTCAACAGGTCACTCAGCACCATTACAAATTTAAACTCCACCAGCAGTAGTGCTCAGCAGTTCCCTTTTCAGACTATTCAGGGTGTACAAAGTATAGCCTCTAATTTAGTTGGATCAAATATTGTTAGTTCAAGTGCATCACAAAATCAAAGCAGCAATGTCAACTCAACAGTGCAGCCAGCAAGTTCTAATTCATCCTCAAATGTCAGCAGTACCTGTGCCAGTTCGAGCAGTGGACCAATTATTGCTACTAGTGTTACTACAACAAATGTTACTCCTAGTAACAATCAACAGATAAACGTAGCACAGTTTGAAATAATGACTTCAAACATGTCAAACGTTTTAAATTCTCAAGTTAATGATTCAAGTACAAATCCTTCCATCACAGCTGCAGCATTTCGTCAGTTTACCAATCAAAATTTAAATCAGACAGCCATTAACAGTCCTAATCAAGTCCAAAATGCAATAATATCGAATATGAAGACTGTGCAAGGGATTCAGAATCAACCAAATACATCACCAAGTAGTCCATTTTCAATACCAATGAAGAGTCCAGCATCAAACATAGCTCCACCAACTCCAAGTCCAAGCCCAAACAGATTTATGCTTCGTAGTCCTGCGTCTAATTCAGTCCAGTCGAGAAATAGTCCCAGTCCTGTATCAACTTCACAATCGAATACTAGTTTTAATGTACAGTTACAAAGTCCAATGCAGAGTCCAATCAGTGTTGGACAAATACATAGTCCAGTGCCAAGTCCTTATCCTCCAGCAAAGAGTCCTCACCTTTTGGGTGTTGGAGCTCCCATAAATAATAAAAGTCCGGCTCCAGGAGGTAGCCCTGGCCCATCTGTGGTACGTTGTCGATTATCGCATAATAAATCTTGTGATTAGGATTTGCAATGATGATTAATTTTTCCTCGCCTTTTCAAACGTAGGTCAGACCTAGTACGCCTATTGTGCAACAAGGTATGCAGGTTTTGCAAATAATTCATGGTACTCAAGGATATCAAGCCGCACCACAACTGGTGACAACGAGAACTCACCTTTTTGGCAATCAACAAATACAAATTGCAACACCTGCAAAACCAAATAAACAACCACCACAAATACTTCCTAAGCCTCCTTTGCAACAAACAACAAATATTAATCAACAAAAACAACGTGTTACAACTACAGTAACAAATCAGGTATAAAATTAACTATAAAGAAGAAAAGCTACTATTAAAATCGAGTAGTTTGAATTGACAATTTATATAATTGCTTGTATCTTGATTTCTTAGGTAACACAGCAGTCTCAACCTCAGATTGTTTTAGCTGGTCCTCAGCCAAATCCTCCCACAGCTACAATGATTCCAACAGCTCAAGGGCTTTTACTGAACCAGGTTATTATTTAATAATGATGGCTTATTTTTAATCAACTAATATACTAGACTTGGAAAGCTTACTACTAAAAAAACTAAATCAATCTCAGTTTCACTTTTTTATTCACACTAATTTTTGCTTACATTTTTGTCACAATATTTTCTTTGCATTGATTTTAACGTATAGGTGTTACCATCCACCGGACCGGTTATTGTTCAACAGCAAGCAGGTGGAGTACAGTTGATTCTTAGGGCACCAACTAATGCCCAACAGCAAACCCATACTGCACAGGTGATGGTTTCATTCAATCACAATTCATAATCCATAATTCAACACATTCATAAAGCTTTTTATGTGCTTTTGAACTAATTTTATAAAGGACGAATAGCCATGTGAATAGCAGTTCAGGAGTAGTTGACCAATAATAATTGTATCATTGACATATGTAACTTCATTACAGCTAACGCAACAGCAATTGGTTCGAGTTGTCACGGCTCAGGGCATGCAATTGCAAGGTATTACTCCTACGTTTTTTGCTGTACCCAATGGATTCTCTTCTCCTGCTCCTCCCGTAATCAGACATGCGCCTTCTAGTCCTGCTCCATGTAAGATTATTTTAACCATTGATTTGAACAAATTTAATTTTTTTTATTAACGAATATCTTTTTCTTCAGCAACCAATCCTAACACCAATAGTGGTATAGTCGTACAAAACACTATGGTACAAAATTCGCAATCGCAAATGGCTCAATCTACTGCACCACCTACTACTACGATTGCTCAAACTGCACAAGCTATTATCGATTCAAGTTTACTACCTCCTCCAAAGAAAAAAGCTAAAAAGAAGAAGAGAGCTAAAAAGAAAGAGGATGAACAACCAAAATTAGATCTTGCCAGCATAATGAAAATATCTGGGATTGGCGATGATGACGACATTTTTGATAATGACCTCACAACTGAAATGGAAACTACTCCTCAGCCACAGGGAGAAATGAACATTGTACAAAACTCTCTGGCAGCTATGCCGAATTCTTGTGTTCAACAAAATGTGGTACAAGTGCCTACTTCTAGTACATCAAACGTACTACAAGCTAACGCTACTCAAGATAATCTAGGTTCTGGTCAATTAGTTGCTCAACTTGAAGCTCCTCCTCAACAAAACACAATTTCTGGACATTTACGATTGGCTATTGATGAAAGTGGACGAATAGTACTGCATCATACTCTGGATCCAAATCAACCCGAGATGGATCAAGCAACTGCTCAAGCTTTAATAAAAAGTTTAACGCAAAGTGGTGGACAGAATTCACAGATTATTTCTCAACTACTTCAAGCGCAAACGATGATACAAACATCACAAAATTCACAAAATTCCAACGTAAATAGACCAAAACCCATAAAATCACCCGTTCCAACTACACTAAATACAGGACCGCCGTCTTCAAATTCATCAAATATACAAAATTCAACTGCGGTAACAAATTCACAATTAGTTACCTCGAACAGCCTTCAAAATTTCAATAATTACCAACCAATATTAACAGTTCAAAATCCTAGCATTCAATCTACAACTAATTTAGTGTCTCAAAATGTAGGTCAATCTGCAAAAAATATTACTGTGACACGTAAAATCATTGATGCAAAAAAACCACCTACTGCTGTTGATGTTAAATCTAGTGTTGTTCAAAAAGCCAATGTACAAAGTATACAAAGTGGTTCAAATCGAATGTGTTCTGCCAATCAGCAACAAAGTTCCAATGTTCAAGTTGTTAAGTGTAATCAGACGAAAATTCAGAACACTTGTATTAATATAAATCAACAGCAAAGTCATGGTAAACAAGTAGAAATCCAAATACAAAAGTCTGAACAAAATTGTGCAAATATTCAGCGTACTCTTACTACAGTCAAAGGTAGTCCACAGGGTCAAGCACAACAGGCATCATGTATTCAAGAAAGTGGATTATTTTTGCCTCAAAATTCTATTATTTATCATCAGAATGCTAGTCATCAACAGATACCGATTTCTCAACCTCAAAATATTCAGAATATGTTTGAACAAAATTTGCAACAAAGTCTTGGTTCTACTTTACAGCGAACATCAACAGACGGAATTAAGATTGAAACGGTAAATATTGGCCAGCAGATTAGCAGTAATCCTCAACAGCAAACTTTAAATCTTTTCCAACAAAATACAGACGCAAATATGTCATCGGAAAATAATCTGCAGTTTATTAACGATGTACAGATTTCGCAACAGCAAAATGCACAGTTGAATGCAAATAATGCCAAGCAACAAATTATAAAGCCACTCAACACAAATAGTAATCAGTCAATTGATATGCAAAATCTTTCAACAAATGTTTTCATCTCAAATTCTTCAGCTCCCACTCTGCAACCACAAGAACAGCCAAAGGCAGAAACACATAATTTATGCAATTTGAGTACTCCAGCAACTGCAGTGATAAACAATGGGCCAAAAATAACTCCTGATATTTTAAATGCCTTGAGTAATTTGAATCCCAATGATCAACTCTTGATAGCTTATGCCAATGGACAAATGCAAGTGATGAGCCAACAGGTCTTACAACAGTTTATAACAAGCCAAATAAATACTCAAATGCAAGCTAAAGCTCAAACACAAGCACAAGGTCAAACTCAAACGCAGGCGCAATCGCAGGCTCAGCCTCAAATCCAAACGCAAACTCAGAGTCAAACCCAAAAAATAGTTATTGGTGATCCAGATTCAAACAATTCAAATTTGCAAGAAGTACAGATCAACACACCCACTAGTCAGATAATCGTTAATAGTTCTGGTGGAGCTCCTACAATACAAAATAACATTCAAAATATAGTGGTACAAGCAGCACCCACACAAGTTCCACAACAAATACAAATACAGAATTCAGGCTTCCCAAGTCAGTTTATTGACAATCTGAATCAACAACAGATTAGAAACCTTGGAAACTGTACTGCTCAAAGTCAAAGTAATAATCAGAACATAAATCAAAGTAGTGCTCCAAAAAAACCGAAAATAGTGAAGAAGGCTAAAGTGTTGACTACGACGACAACAACAACAGCTCTACAGTCGTCGGGAAAGATTTTGAATGTTTCAAAACCACTAATTGTAACGAGTACGGTGGTTACGACGACGACGACTACTACAACAAGTGCTTCTTCGCAGGTCAAATCAGAACCACCGAATAAAATGATAAATTTTCTTGCGCAAGTGGTGGACAGCAATAAAAACGAGTCTCCTCAACTAGTCACTGTGAACGGGCCACTGACTGCCTTATCTCCCGGTCAAATGCCCACATTAGCTCCAGGACAAGTCGTTCATAGAGTGCAGACTATTCAACTGAGTGCGCAAAAGCAGCAATTACTTTCAAGCAATCAAGCCCAAATTCGAACATTACAAGCTCGAAAAAATCTTTCTCAAGCAGATCAACTAATGATTGCAAAATTGTTTCAAGAACAAGCGCGAATTTTGGCCAGCGGAAAAATTATTGGAAATAGCCAGCATCCCATCAGTAGTGTAAGCTTTAACAATATTAAAAATACTTAACTCTGTGCCTTAAATTGTACCTAGTATTGACCTGTAAATTGTCTTTAATTTCAGGATTCAGAATCTGCGAGCTTAACTATTAATGCACCACCGACAGTTTTGTGTTCCAATACGATTTCACAAAATGTAGCTAAAAATCCGAGCTTAACGGGTCAACCGCAAACGCCGACTTCTGCTTGCCCTTCTAATATAACAACTTCACAACATATCCACATAGCTACATCGTTACCCGTGTCATCTAGCAATATTTACTTGCCTAGCATTACGGTAAATTAAGACATTTAAAATGATTCAACTATTGTTAATAGTCAAATTAATATGTTATTGTTTTTATACAGAATCAACGGGTCTCAAGTCCACGGCCATCAACTCCACTAAAATCGCAACTTTTACAGCAACCGCAACAAAATCAAAATCAAGTGGAAAATGGTCAAATGCTCGTTCCGTCCAATGCCAACATGATGAATGTAGATAGTTTAAATAGTCACGGATTGATGCTGGAATCTCAGCAGTTGATGCAGTGCCATGACGACGCTATTGATGTTAAGTCAAACGTCGAACTAACGGGACCTATCATCAAGCAAGAAACTACTTCTATACAGCAGCAGCAGATTCAGAATGCTTCCCCTGCAGGCCAGGTGATATCTCCTCGAGTAACTGGCAAAGTAATGCAGATTTCCCAAAGCAAGATGCCAAGTCCCGACAATCCATCTACGAGTCCTAAACAAGGTGTCAAGCGAACTTCTGATTCCACTCCTGTAAGCCGACAGATCAACCGAACTGACTTGTAAGTTTATTTTTTCAATAAACACAGAAATATTAGTTGCAATGTCATCGTCCAATAAATACTTGTTTCAGATTCGAACAGCAATTAAAAATTGATCAGAATGGAGCTTTAAATCCCGACGTGAATACGCCTTTCCAAAGCAAGAGCGATGCCTGCAAACGTCTCGTCAGATATCATTGCTTCAACGATCACGTTTTGAGTACAAAAGATCTTGAGAAAGCAGATGAAATATTTGAGGAAACAGCAAAACACTTGTTGAGCAAATTTAATTCAATGATGAACAAGTACACGTATCTGTTGATAATGGAGAGCATGGTAAGAGAGATATAAGCTAATTATCGATTTATTTAAGTATTAATTAGGAGCAAGTCGACTAATGATTTTACTTTTTCAGCGAGAAACTCGAACATCCGAGTTAATGATGATTGATCGTATGATAGTGAACGAAGAGCAAGCAACGTTGAATAAACTGAAGGAGCAAGAGGCAAAATTAGCAGTTGGTAAGAATCACATTTATAGTTAGATGTTTCAATGTTATTACTTTTACTTAACCAGTTTTAACGGACTTGCTTGTCTCGTAGAATTGAAAAGCGAAGAAAAACTGTTAGTACCGAAGACGGAACCAAATGACGAAGAAACGGCATCTACGTCTTTTTCGATGGCAGCCATGTCATCGTCGTCGTCATCGTCAATGACGACACCGTCGGCCCCCGTGAAACTCGAGCTGGAGATGGAGGTAGGCCTTGGCAAATCAGCCGACTATGACGAGTGGTTTGAAATTCAAAAGGAGCTGGGTGCGTACACGTCGACAGAGTTTAAGTGTAGAACTAAAACAAACAGAGTGGAACGCGCGCGAGCAAATGGTGAAGTTAGAGGAATGGTGATGGGTAACGAGGCAAGTGCGTCTGACTTGGAGCGCGATCTGCTAGAAGATACTGAGGGCCTCGAAAGTTTGGCACTTTACACGCAGTCTCAGTGCCCCGTACAGTCGATGGAGCGAGGCGCGAATCCCGATGACCACGACGACATCACAGCCCAGGTGCAGTCAGCCATCGACAGCATTCTTAGCCTGAAGAAACGACCGTCAGTTGGAGCGTCTCAGCAGCAAAGTGGCGGTTCATCGAGCTCGAGTAGTGATAGTAATGACAAACTTTTAGATCAAGCAGTGAGAAGCATCCTTGGCTCGTGACCCTCCTCGAACAAGGTTTACTAATGACTGCCTGGAACAGTGTGGGCCGATGTTCTTGTACCAGTACTCCTTGATGTAAATATCGATCTCGCGGTTGTCTGCGGCTGTGTGTATTTTTATGCTTTTCGACTGTTCGACTGCCTCTTATTCTCTCTCTTTCTCTTTCTCTCTTTCTCTCTTTCTCTCTCTTTCTCTCTCTCTTTCTCTCTCTTTCTCTTTCTCTTTCTCTCCCTCTCTCTCTCTCTTTTTCTCTATTTCTATCTTATTGGATCCTACTTTAGCTCGTTTCCCTGTTCCTGTGTGTGAATGCACAGTGCAAACAGTTTCCAAGAGCAAATGCTGCTCCTCGCTGAAGAGTCCTCCTCTAATGGCCTTTCTCAGGAGCTGTACATGTGATTAGATAATTAAGTGATAAACTCGAACATTTTCGTCGACCAGTTTTTAAAGTGATTTTGTAAAAAATTAATTATTTACAAAATTTGTTCCAATTTAAGTCACATCACACTATTATGTAAATTGACAAGATAAAATTGCGTTTTAAAAGTCAAATGGAAATACTTGATAAAATTAGGTACGAATCGCTAAACTGTACATATGTTTTAATGTGTATTATTACTATACACACACACACTTATATATAAATATAAATATATATATATATATAGATTAATAGATTATTGATAATATTATTATAATACTTTACCATTACTTGTTATCGAGATTTATTCTCAAAATAACTGTAAACTGCTGTATTGTATATTTTGGCATCGCATTTTGCGACTTCTGGCATAATAGAAAATTGTAGTCGGCAATCGATGCTGTAGAATGAAAATAAGGAATAAGTAGGAATATTTTGAGACTTCATCGAATGAAGGAATTATGGCACGTTAGAGCTAGTCGAAAGACGTTATTTTAGTCCTCAGAAAATTTTCACTCATAATAGTACTTGTGTAATACAAAGGTAACACGTTGTTTGACATACATCTATTTTAATCATGATGAGTCAATCACTTTTTAACACATTTTTCGAGGAAATTCATAAGCAATCAAGCAATCATCAAATTGTATGAGCAGATAGTTTTTTTTATTTTTATATTCTTTTCTAAAAATATTCCAACTATAAAGGTCTATACAAATTGTTGTGTCAAATGAATTAATATTGAAGTATGTAGATCTAAACAGAATGATCCAATCGGAGCGTCTTTGAGATGAAGTTTAACGTACGTCAATGCGCGGATATAGGATACTCAATACGTAATTTTTTAACTTAAAATTTTATTGAACGACTTTTATAGAGGTTCAATAAAACTTAATTATTTTAATTAATAGAGCATTGTGAATTTAATCCTATTTAATTTAGATAAACCAATTGTTTTTTAATGTATTTGATTGATTGAAAATTCTTAAGATGTAATTTTTGTTGGTGCTTTTTTTTATAATAAATTGAACATTCTTTTTCCAAAAGAGTAATACGTATAGGAAATAACGATGGGTGAAACGAGCAAGTTGTGTGTACAAGCATGCTCGGTGTACACATTGTACAAAGAATAATCTGCTAAATAAAAATAAAACTTATTCAAGACTGAAGTATATATACATCATATATTTATATATACTGATGATAATGAGATGCAAAATACTTGATGTAATAAAGAAACGAATATCGTTCAATTGTAAATAATATTTAATTACGCTATCGACGGCGGTGTGACTTATTATTTTTAAAGCAATGTGCTTCAACTATAAGAGATGTTTGTTAATTCAATCGTTTTTATTTGAATTGCTCACATCACTTTTGCGTAATTAACGTTTATTTCTTTATAGTCAGATCTTTTTCAAGCGAGCGTAATTTATCTTTCAATCATAATTATTGTCTGTGTATGTGTGTATGTCTTTCTATAAATTATGAAAAGAATTACGTTATTAAATTCAAAATTGTCATTCACTTTTCCCAGAAGAGCAGAAGCTGCTTAATTGTAAAATAATTCATTTTTACAACTGTTTTCCATCCATGATTGGTAAATTTATATTAGTTCCAACAAGCATTTTTTAAAACGTTTTAGCACTTCCTTCTGTTCGAAAAAATGTTTATACAGAAAATCGTACACATCGAATAAATAAATGGATAATTTTTGCATTATCACATTGATGTTTTTAGCATTTCATTCACATAAACTTCTTGTAACATATCTAAATTAAAATAAAAACAGAACCTTACAATAGCTTATATTCTAGTACCTGAATTATTCTAAAGTTTAAAGTGGTACTTGCAATCTAACTATTTATTAATGATTCAGTAAATATCTGTAATTTTGTAAGCAGATATATTGTACAATACATTTTTTGAATAAATGTCACTTTGATTTTCTAAACTTGTAATAAATTAAAAGTGACGAGATATTACGTTTTTAACAGCATACAGTACAAACTTTTTCGTAAAAAAATACTGACATATCGAAGTTTATTTATATTGAATTGAATTAACGGTAGTTAGTAATATTCCATAATTTTTTTAGTTTGAAAAATAGACCAGAAAACAATGTTAAATGAACATCTATATTATTTTTGTATGAGATAACAGTAAAGAAATATATAGTGACACTATTGCAAAACTGAAATAAAAACTAATGCAGATAAACCAGAAAAATCTTGAGTGAATTGATACATATAAGTTGACATGTCAGTGTTTTATATTCATAATATAAAGAAGTGTATATTGGTGAATTTGTTCATTTTGAAGAACTTGTGTTCGGTAATGTAATCGTTATTTTCATATTTGATAGGGTATGTAATTTTCACATTATTTTAGTTATGAATAAAGATAAACAAAATTACTTTATTCATCAATCGTTATATATTATTTGAAATACTTCAAGTAGTTGTCAAATTACTGACATCGCCTTTTTTACAGGTGCTCGAATCGTGCATTTCTTACTGATGATACACAAGTACATATAGTGTAAAAAATATTGGTGTGATATATAATTATCATTACTTATGTAATTTGGATCCAGAATTGATTACACTCGTGAATAAAAGTTAAAGTCTTAAAAATAAATCTTATACTTGTGAATTTTATAACATATAACTTGATTTATTCATTTTTTGATTATTTATATTTTATAGTTAGAATCCTTGGTAGAAAACAACGAAGGCATGTGGAATAAGAATTCTCATTCAATTTTGTATAGAATCTTTATTTATAGATAAAAATTTTTCACTAATTAATACTGAATGTTTGCAATGAAATAATGATTGAATAACTTGCAGACGGTATAATTGATTGTTATGTCATTCGTAATTTTTCAGTAATTATAGTTTCAGTAAATGATAGATTAATAAAAATAATTATCGTACTGTAAAGAAACGTGTCTATAATTTAAAGAAAAAATACTTTTATAATAAAAAGCTGACGACATCCGAATCTATATTAAATTTATTGCCTACCATAAATAAAATGAATTTATTAAGAATTCAGAAACGGTTGGGGTATATAAAAACATGACTATTTGAACAGTGGTGTAATTTGATTATTTATTTTAGTGATCGTCCTATTTACATTATGGCAATATGCAATATTGCCACAAGGGAGTACTAACTCAATCTTGCTAGTACCATGAATATGCTAATGATGGACAACCATTACAGCATCAATAATTACCTTCCTGTACGTCATAAGAATGAAAATCAATTAACATTAATTAATAAATTAATTATTAATTAATGAATGAACAGTTTTATGTTTTGAAATTGATATTATAATTAAATTTTAATATTTTTTAAAATATTTGTTTTTGAGGAAGGCAGTTGACTTGGCCTAATTTCTTCTCTATTCCATTGGATGATCCATTTTTCAAATATTAAGATTTAAGCAAGTCCATACTTCTTCTTGAGAGATTCTGGCATTTCTGGTGGAGGAGGGCGTGGCATACGCAAGTACACTTTAACAGCATCATAAATGAACCACTGTGCAGCCGTAAGCGTACCAATCATTACAATTCTAGGTACTAAACCCTTCCAGACACCAACAAAGCCCATTCTCTTCAGGACTTCGCCAGCAGATGTTCCTTTTTCTTTGTTGAGCACAGATACCACCTAAGTGATGCATTAATTATGAATTTGTTGCTACTGATGCATAAAAATTGAAATTGAATAAAGTAAGGTATCAATTAATTGTTACCGAATCAGCAGGATGTGACACGATAGCACAGAAAACTCCAGCAATGTAACCAGCAGCAAAGGTTACAAGTAATTGTTCTCCTTTGGTACATTCTGACCGAGGTTTAGGTACAACATGTTGGTATAAAAGTTCAAGAGTACGCTCAAAACAAGCAAATTTCATCATAGTGTATGGAATTTGACGAAGCCACAAAGGTACCAGCCCCTTGTAGAATCCACTCATTCCTTCTTCTTGCATAATTTTTGGCATTGCTTCTCTTAATGTGTTGGCAAATCCAGGTGTGGTTTGAATTTTCACCTATCATATATTTTACAAATGAAGCATGAAGTCATTATAGCTGTTATACAAATAATTACCTTAGATGCTTCAAACGGAGCTAAACCAATGTCTGCAAAGAACTCTGCTGAAGCTGAAGATACCAAATATAGACTTGTTCTGTATTCGTATGACATCTCTTCTCCAATCATATTTCCATATAGAACCTTGAAGACTTCATAGAGTCCAAATTTAAACATTCCTTGAATGGAATATCCAAAGAATGTAGGAGCCCAGCCCCTTACCAAGCCTCTGGTACCATCTTCAGCTAAGGTTACCTTCATGGGCATAGAAAAAAGGAAATCTTTAAATTTTCTGTTTTCAAAAATAGAAATTACTTATTGACTATACTTACACGGAATCCATTCACCACTGATTTGTATTTAGCAGAATCTACTTGAAGACGGCATTTGACTAAGTCAAGGGGGGTAACCATTGTGTGGGTAATGCCACAAGACAAAATACCACCAATACCACATAGTACGAAATAGTGGTTGGAACCAAACTCACAACTGTCTGTAATGTGAAAGCCAACTTTAATAAAATCAGAAATCATCGGTAGGTGAACAATTTCATGAAAAACTATTGACATTTGATACATTGCCTTCGGACAACTGTAATTTGGCAGAAACTAAGTTATAAAACAGTATGAAAATGAGATAATTGAGTTGATGCATTAGTAAAGTGGTAGTGAAAGGTGTAGGTTTTAATGAAAATATGATGCATCAGCTGGGAGAAGACATTGTCAGGTTTAGGAATAGTCGGTTGCACCTGGCACAAGTTCAAGCTCGACATTAGTCGCCTTGGGCTAATTTGCGCTGACGAGACTATTGACATAGCTGTAAGCGCGTGTGTACTTATTTTTACGTGTTCTTTTTGCGTCTGCTCAAGGATAAGAGCATGATATTGCTCTAGAGCCTCGCGCGAAAGCGTGTCGCTGATCTATACAAAATGGCTGCCATTATGCAATGCTGCAGGAGTGACACTGGCTGCACTTTGACTTTTCTTTTCTGTAGCAAAAGCATCTGTCAAAACGCTAACCGAACTGTGCCACTGAAATTCAAAAAGCAGAAGACACGCTCGTGGAATTAATTTAACGTTCATGCGGCGAGTTGCTTACGTAAGATCCGCGCTTGTCCTGTCCTTGGTCTCTCCCGAAAGGCGGTTACGAACTCCAAATTGTTTCAGTCAAACAAGAAATTATCAATGAAACAGTCGACAAAACAAGTTTGGACGCAAAGTTTAGCAGCTATAATTATTGTCTCGTTCATTGGTAATTGTAAAATCAACGCAAAAAGCCGAACAGACATGGTATAAAGCGACAAGGAAGAGTTGAATTAATGATGTTGGAGTCGAAAAAAGGATGGCAAGGGCATGCAAACTTACCGCCTGGCAGTGCGGCAGCCGCGGAAATGGTTCGGCCTTCGACAAGTGACTGCGCCCTGGATTGCCCCTCATGGTGCACTGTCGTCGGTTTAGCGAACGGGCTGTTCTTCGATGCTTCCATGAGTGAGGACATTTTGTCTTCCGGCTTTCCCAACTCGTCTACCACTACCAGGGGAAGCGGCAGCTTTCAGAATCGATCTATCAACACACACGCACACCAACATCCGTTAATTTTGAATTTTAAGAAATTTAAAATCTGTATCGGGCAGCGATGTGTCAAATTCGCGTCCGAGGACGTATTACACTATAGTGACAATTAGAGCTTTATCAGAGATCTACCTACCGTGGAGGGTGAAATGAGAGTGGACTGATGTGTGCTCGTAGATCGCGACTTGAACGTCAAATTGTATAGTTCTCTCTCTCTCGCTCTCTTCTCCCCTCTCTCACTTCTTCTCTTTCTCTCTCCCTCTCTTTCTCGCTCTCGCTCTCTCTCTCTGTTTCTCTTTACGCCTCAACTCCCTCCTCGGTCCCTCGTGATTTCTTCTCTTGTATGGCTGCTTCTTACACGCGGCGCCAACGTGGATCCACCACCTGCACCTAGCGTCCACGTGATTTAATAGCTTGAGAAGGTTCATATTGGCATCAACCCCATTGCAGATAATTATGTCAGCTAATCACATCATGTAAAATATTTTTGTTTCTAAGATTTATGTTAGTTTATATTAACGTAATTAATTTCTAAATAAAATAACATGTCGATCGATATATGATAATAAAACTAATTCCTTTGAAGTATATTTCAAAGAAATTTAATCTTATTATTTGAATGTATATTAAATTTGTTATTATTAAAAATGTGACGTAAAATTTTCAATATAAAATGATCGCAGATTATACTTTAAATTGTTTAACGTAGAATAAGCATTTATCTTAATCATAAACGACAGTAAAACGGTTACTAAAATATTATAAAAATGATAAAGGCTAATTTTTATATTATAAATAATACTTCCATAATTTCGAATTTTCAAGAAACATTTTGATATTAATAAATATTTGATCAAAATATACAAACTAAAAGTGCTTTAAATTGAGAAATGGACTATTAAGTTATTTAGTCAGAAATATCCTTATCTGATAAGTTATTAGTGATTTTTCTATTTGCTTTCCCTAATTTATTTTGTGGTCATAAATTCCTGTTTGTTTCAATCACAGTTGAGCTCTTGATAAATGACCATAATTTTGTCTTCTTTTGTTTACCTATCTCTGTATGATATTGTTTTTTATTATATCATCATTCACATCATATAATTTACATGCAAAACTTAAATTTTCGTTACTTATTTCTTTCTTTTCTTTATCTGTAAATTTTGTTTACTCTTCATTTATAATAATTCCAAATCCACGGTTTCTTGCAATACTTGATATTTCCTTTTGATCTGCTTTGAATTAACCCTCAGGGTACGGACTTGGTTAACGTAACCCAGACGGATTTAGAATGTGGCGGTATTTTGGAATAAGCGAAGGTAGAGGTCTTGGGGAGAGGGAGTTTGAGGGTAGGGAGGATCCAAGAATCAGTTAGCAGCATCAGTCGACGGCTGCTACCTCCCCTGTTCAGTTATAAAATTTGACGTCGAATAGATTTCACTAAGTCCGTACTGAACGTATAAAATTCATTGTTTTGAAAATATAAACATTATTTTAACAATCAATATATCATCGGTAAAATGTATGTTTATGGAAAAAAAGTTGTTCAGCATAAACTAATAGTGCAAGATAAAATGTGTAGCGCAAAATTTCGTTTTGGAGTGCGGCGTCGTATTGGAATAAGGCGTTGTTTCATTTACATTAATTTCAATAAGCTCAATAATTATGAATAAACATCTAATGTTTGTAATAATTGATTTTTTTATGAAGATAAAAGACGCGTTGGAGAGTGCGGAATGATGCAACTCTTGAAGGACTATATGCCGTGATGGGACAGATCACGGCAGTGATACAGATGAAGTCGAGGATACAGAAACTGATGGTTCCCACGCTTCGGAAACCGACGCTATTGGTAATGACGTAGATCAAGAATCGGGAAAAGATAAGGTGAAGCAGCCCCGACAGCTGACGTCCGGCCGGCTTACCTGCGCTCCGAAAAGCGGACACAAATGGTTCTCTATGCGCCCAAGCAGAAAGGTAGGCGATCAACTCTAAAATATAAGCGCGCGACTAAAGATAACGCAATGAGTGCCAAAACACCAATTGAAACGTGGTTTCTATTTACTGATGATATTTTAGATATAATTGTGAAGCATACAAATGAAGAAATACATAGGCAGATTAATGTACTAAAGGAAAGAGAAGTAAATATTGATAGAGCTGTTTATAAAGTTGTAGATACTGTTGAATTAAAAGCTGTTTTTGGCTTATTATACAATGCTGGAGTACATAAAATAAATAAAAGTAAAACAATCAACTGGTGGGACATCCACGGCATATCTTAATTCAAAGCAACGACATATATTTTTGCTAGACTATTTACACTTTGACGATAAAAATACTAGAGCTAAAGAAAAGCTATTGATCATTTTAAATACGTCAGAGAAATTTAGAATTTGTTTATAAAAAACTGTGTAAAGAATTACGAACCTAGCTGAAACATTATTATTGGGGAACAGTTGCTTTCCTGTCGGGGTAGATGTATATTTAAAATGTACATTACATCGAAAACAGATAAGTATGGTTTAAACATTGTATCTATGAATGATCTTCATACTCATTACATGTTCAATGCGATCCCTTATTGCGGAATTATCACTAGTAGATTAGAAGGCGAACATATACCTACATATACTGAACGGAACAATAACAAAAAACAAAAGAGAAATTCCAGCTTCCTTTAAAACTATTTCGAAGGGTGGTCCTAAAATTCAGTTTGGTTACTGTGATAAAACTTTGGTTTCATACAATTGAAAAAAAAAAGAAAATTGTAATGTTTTGATCGATTTTACCTCGATCTGGTAAAATTAACGAAGCATCAGGCAAGCCAGAAATAATACTTTCTTACGATAAATCTAAAGGTGGCACTGACAGTTTTGATAAAAAATGTCATCAGTACACAGCTGCAGGAAAGCGTTTAGATTATCATTCATCATTGAGAATGTCTTCATGAGGTCGAGGATACATCATGAGGTCATTGAGAATGTTTTAGGGCATGCTAGATCAAGCTAGTGTAAATTCTTTTATTCTGTACAATTTAAATGAAGATAATGCTCCTATGACAAGAATGGCATACATAATGGAATTATCAATGCACCTAGTAAAGCCTTTATTTGTAAAAAGATTAGCTGTTCCCACTTTGCGCATCACTCTCCGTATATAATTTGATCAACGAGTATTTGAATGCTGGCAGTGTGCCAGAAGAGATGGATATTAGACATGAATTTATTGATAACAAAATGTCCAAACAGAAACGCTGTAGTTTATGTGCTAACTTTCTTGATCGCAATTCATTTTATAAATGTTTACGAAGCGACAAACCCATGTATAAGGAACATGTAGCGAAATTCTATTGCGAATGCGCAAAATGAATTGTATTATTTTATATTCATTGTAAAACTTAGATGTTATTCAATTTATTTGTAAAGGTATCGATTGCATTATGTTCGGAACTCTTTTACCAACTTTTTTCAAATTATTGCAGTTTTGTCAATTATTAAATAAAAAAATTTTTATAAACTATTTTTATTATTGATTAACATTATCTCCACCGATAAGAATCATTACCTAAGTGATTTTTGCCTTATAAATTTGTTTTATAAATGTTATAAATGTACCGAATAATTTTTTTTATATATATACACAAAAACGCCTATGTTCAAATCTTTAAACAATTAACTTTTTGAAGCAAATTGAAAAACTAATCACACCATTTCAAAGTACAACTCTTCAGCTATCCAACGGTTACCTACAAAATATTTTTATTTTATTCGTTCATAATAATAAAATAAGCAATTGAAAAACAATTTTTTTAGAAAATTGATCAAAATATGTTTAAAATTTCAACTGCAACTTTTTTTATTGTTAAAATATCACAAATCTAATTAAATCATTGTATTGCTGAGAAAATTTACGATCGAGTAAAGAAAAGTTTCGATTGGTGAATTACAGACTAAGATACAGTCGATCAAAGTCGATCAAAGCCGGGTTAGGTTAACCCATATCCGTACGAATCGGAACTTTTTTATAGTCCGTAATTATGGCTGGTATTATTTTTTATTACCTTAGAAATACTCCATATTAGATCTTGTAATAAAAAAATTTAACATGTATGTACAATAGTCATTTATTAAGTTATCATAATTATGAGTGTTTAAATTTTTAATGTTTATTTTATTAACAAAAACTAAATTGTGCGGAGTTACTATAGTGACTTTTGTTTTGAATATATATATATATATATATATATATATATATATATATATATATATATATATAAAGTTAGATGGAAGAATTGCGTAGGTGGGTCGTAATTATGTAGAAAGTCCCTAAGGGCCTTTCCACACTGAGGGAATATTTTTGTGGAGTTCTAATTGTTCTGTATGATTTTCTACCTCCCGAAAAATTAGTATAGTTCACCATCTACCACCCTATACGTATTCATTGGTTTAAGTAGTGCAGAAGGTAGAAAATGCGTCAGCTCTATTTATAAGATATTTCTTATATTAAATAAAATATATAATTTAATATGGTTTTCGTTTATATGAAATAATAATACACTTAATTAAATAAAATAAACAGAAGTAAACGTACGAAACATGGAGGTAGGCAACATTAGAAATACATGTGTCGATTTATTACATTTAAAGTGACTTTTAAACATTAAAAAAAAGGAGTAGAAGAGGTATCATAGCTCTTCAACCACTAAATACGTATATGATGTAGATTGTGAACTATACTAATATTGTGGAGGGTATAAAATCACGCGTAATAAAAACATCACCGAATATTCGCTTAGTGTGGAAAGACCTTAATAGAAATAACATCTGATTTCTCTGTTGAGCTTATAATCATTGGATTTTGCAGAACGTCATTGGTTGCGATGAACGTCGACACGTAAGAATCAGCCCAGAGGACGTAACGGAATGAGCCTCGAAAGCCATCATGAGTATCATTTGTGTGAGCAACGAATATAGATTATAGCGGTGAGCAATAAAGTGCTAGAGCGTCTGAGATATAATATCGAAACTAATTTATATTATTTTCATGGGAAGATCGTCGTATTACATACGGGATTAGAGATGTAGATACACCTTCATATATATTTCTCTCACTCTCTCTCTCTCTTACTCACTCTCTCTCTCTCTTATTCTCTTTTACTCTCTCTCACTCTCTCTCTCTCTCTCTCTCTCAGCTTATAATCATTGATTAGCTTCGCAAGCGTTAGGAGGGTGTATTTTTAGAGCGCTGTTATTGCTTTGGGCCGAGTGCGCGCGAGTTTTCACTAGTCGTCCTGGTGACGGCATTATGCTAATCGTGCCCAAGGTGAGCAGGAAAAAATCGAGAGAGATAGATTCACAGAGGTGTGGGACGATCAACGAAGTATGTGTGTGTGTAGATGTCAGATATGTTTACACTACCGTGCCGTCACGGGTTTTCTTTGTTAGCGCTCCGTAATTTTGGAACAGTGTTGTTAGTTTCACATAACGTGCAGCTGTTTTGATGCTCTGTCACTTATTTTTTATTGTTTGTGTAAATGTACATACAGTGTCGAATAAAGCTCCCTTCCAATCATAAGTTATTAATTTTTTGCTAATTAAAGCGATTGACTTTCGTGTGTATTGGTGCAAGTAAATTCAAATCACGTGATACTACCTTTTTAGAGCAAAAATAATTATTCTCCTTAATTGATGTTTTTCTCTTCGTTTTTTATGTATATGACTAAAAAGGATAGTTTTTAAACTTATATGTATCATATAATAATCATTTATTTTATTAACAACTGACTTTTAAGAAACTTAGACTAAAATATAATTGCTAATTTTTTTCTGTTATAGGCATTTTATCACAACTTTTTTTAATGAGTTGATGAAGTATTTATTGTTAAGTCTTAATTTTGCAAACATTTGCAATGGATGATTGGAATAAAATTTTAATTGGTCCTGCAGAGATCATTAAAGGTATTTTCAATTTACCCCATTGTCCTTGTAAGAACTAAAAGTGAATGATAATGAGTATCTTCATTATAGATCGTTTTTATTTTGTCACTGTGACATCACCTGACAAGGCCAAACATACAGCCAACACTCATTATTTTAGTATAGACAATGAATTAGTATATGAGAATTTCTATAAAGACTTTGGGCCTCTCAACCTTGCAATGGTCTATAGGTATTGTCAAAAAGTTGACAAAAAGGTGAAAACAATTACATCAAACAAAAAAATTGTACATTATACAACAACAGATCCTCAGAAAAGGGTGAATGCAGCATTTTTAGTAGCATGCTATGCGGTAAATATTTATCATTTCAAACTTTCCATAAGTTCATGAGTTGAGCTACTACATTATTTTATTTAATTTTTATATGTTTCAGATAATATATTTGAAAAAAACAGCAGATGAGGCCTATAAGTATTTAACAGCTAGTCCAAATGCTCCACCTTTTGAAATGTTCCGTGATGCCTCAATGAGAGAACCCTGTTATGTGATATCACTGAAAGATTGCCTCAATGCAATCTATAAATGCCATCAACTAGGTTTTTTCAACTTTCACGATTTCAATTTAAAGGAATATGAGCACTTTGAACGTGTTGAAAATGGTGACCTAAATTGGATACTTCCAGGCAAATTTATTGCTTTCTGTGGACCTCACTCAAATAATCAATTTGAAAATGGTATGATTAAGACTTAAAAATAAAACTTTAGAAACAAATATTTATGATTATATTTATTAAGCAGTCATAAAATTAACAAATATTTACAGGTTATATGCTACATGCACCAGAATCGTATTTTAAGTATTTCAAGCGTCATAATGTGACAACGATCGTTAGGCTAAATAAAAAGCGTTACGACGCTACGAGTTTCGTAGAAGCTGGTTTCGATCATAAAGATTTATTTTTCGTCGATGGCTCTCCTCCGACCTTGTCAATTGTTAGGCAGTTCTTGAAAATTGCCGAGAAAACCGATGGAGCGGTGGCCGTCCATTGTAAAGCTGGCCTTGGTAGGACTGGCACCTTAATCGCTTGTTACATCATGAAACATTACCATTTATCGGCGCTAGAATCGATCGCTTGGATCCGAATATGCAGACCTGGTTCTGTGATTGGTCATCAGCAACAGTGGTTATTAGAGTGAGTCACTTTTTACGCGATTTTTAATTATTTTAGTCAAACAGGTCAATGTATTTGTCTTTTATTTACAGCAAAGAAGAACATTTACATTCATTACGAAAAGATCCCTTGCGCTCTGAAAATGGTAACCCAGTTCACGAGTATGGAATTTACTCAAAAAATGTTACTGAAACGGATGCGCCTATGGCTCAAACTAGGCATCCACACCTCCTGCAGGACAACGTATCTGGAATCATGCACAGAGTCGATGGCATAAGACTAGAGGATAACAAGGCTGCAATTAAGACTCCAGTTAAGCTGTCGATTTTGACGCAAGGCGACAAATTGAATCAAATTAAAGCAAGAAGAACACTCTCTCCTAATGTCAATATCGGAGGAAATTCGACTACTACTGTTCCAGTAGTGCAGTAAGTTCTGCTGCTTTAAATAATTAGATTAAGTTAACGATATTTATTATATGTTTTTTTTAAATTTATTTAGTCCTTACTTAGGCTCTCTGTTGCAAAGCAGAGGTCAAAAAGGGTTGTTAAATTCTCAAATCGCATCCAAGGAAAAGGATGCGGTAAAACGCGTTATCACTCGCTCAACATCAACGACGGTTATCAAAAGGTTGGTATCCTCATTTACCGGTATTGTAGCTAGTTCTTATAGTACTAACAATCGTGAGCATCTTTTCGGTATGAATTTGAAAAGTCTTGTCTTTCCATGTCCAATCTAACAGGCTAAACGACCGAAATGTTGTTAACGACGTAGCTTGAAACAAATATTAAAAAAGATTTATGAAATTAATGACTACTATTGAATTCTCTAGACTCCAAATTCGTTTTCTATATAAATGTTCCGGTGAAAGGAAGTTTCTCGTCTGTCTGTCTTTTATATCTGTCTCTCTTGTCTCTATCTTGTATTTTCCATCTTCTTTTCTGGATAGAAACGGCAACGAGCAAAGCGCGCCGGCCTATCGACGTCATTTACCTAAACCGCCAATTCTGACCCACCGCCATACAACCACCACAACCCACCATCACAACAACAACAATACAAGCACCACGATCCACCACCAACACAACCACCATCATGAAAATATAACAACCAGTCCGATTCCCACGTCCAAGCCAAGCTGCAGCAGGCCTCGAGCCTCCTCGCGGCCGAGTGTCACCACAACCACCTCAACCCACCACCACCAAGTCGCCACCTCCGGCCCTAATTGCGTTGTGCGCTACTGGTCTCTCAGGCAGTAAGTCACTTATCTTCGAACAACGTCAACGACGCCAAGACGACTTTTTTCATCTTTGTTTCTTTTTTCTCTTTTTGTGTGTGCGTGTGACTCTGTGTGTATAATACTCACTTAAAGAAAAAAAGAGATTGCTTCGGAGCTTCGTTTTTTCCGTGTGTAGCGATTAATAGAAGCATGCGATATACATTTACGGGGAAGAATTTGCTTGCCAACTGTAAAGCGATGCTCTGTTTTGTCTTTGGTGATGCGGGGAGGACTGCAAACTGTTGAATGTTGAAAAAGTGTAATCAATATATTTCCGGCATCACCTCGAAAAGCGCTGATTTTTCCAAATTTTGTCTTGGTATATTATTATACACACGTCGGAAAAAAGTATCGGAATCAGGTACTTATTTGTTCGCTCTTGTATATATTTTGAATGCAATCAGAATGCACGTTGTGTAACAAAAATCAGTGCCTCTTAAACGATATGTAGTTATACTAGAAAGTGGTTATTGTAGGGTTGAAACGGTTTGATGTTGACGTTGTTATAATAAGTACCTCGTTTTCGATATACTTGAGTGTTAAAAACCAATTCTGTGTCTAAAACAATCATAATTGTGATGATTCGGTGCCTAGCCAGATAACATAGCTACTCCGAATGTTAGATTACCCGTAGATATAGGTCTATTAAGAAATATCTCTTTAGCGCTCATTAATCAAAGTCCGTCCAAGTGAAAGTATTGGCGTGGAACTGAAGAAACACTTTATATACACGGAAACAAAAGAGAGATAAGTATCTGAAAGAGCAACAAACAGACATCTCCGTATTTTAAAAATCTTCCGACCAAAAGCATTGAAAGTAATTCACTCCACAAAAATCTTTCACCCAGCGCGCGCGCAGCCGTCCAAGCAAGACGAAGACACGCACCCACACAAAACGCTCTGCTACGTAGCGCTCATTTTGTGCCGTCCCCCATCATTCGCCGTGCGTAGTTTGTATCTGATTTGTCACGACAAATGAAAACAAACGATGCAAACCTTGTAGAAAGGGCTCCTCGGTGGAGAGTGAGAAGCAACCTGCGACCGCGGCAGCAACGCCGGTCGCCAACGCGCAGCAGCCTAAGTCACACATGTGCACGAGGAGCGGGCTGCGCTCGCAGGAAACGTCTGCCAACGCACGACATCACTCGCTCAGGCAGTAAGACCTCCAACCCCAGACCCCTCCCTCTTCGCCCGCTGCTTCTTGTTCTTACAACTTCTTTTCTCTTATCTATATCGCCGATGATTTTTTCTTTTTCCATCGAAAGTTTCATTCGACGATTTTATCTAAATCGAAACATTCCTTCGAGCGTCGGATGAAACCTTTTGTTTGCTGACATAGTTTTAAGGAATTGTTTCAGCCTCTTTTTACCTTTGATCTTACAGTCGTAAAAATATATTTATATATCTTCGTGTTTTAATTTGTTATCGCTTACTATTTATAGACATTTTTATTTACAAATGCTTATAAGCAATTTTTAATCTTTTTAATCGAGAAAGAGTTACCATAAAATAATAAGCTAAGCTTACTACCACCAGTATTTGTAAAATCACGTTATTTGTAATAATATATAGTTTATAGAATTTTAATGTTATCAGTATAGAACAATATGTTGGCGAAGTTTAACGGTTGTACAAAATGTAAATTGTGCAAGGTGTAAAACGCGTTTGCATTTCAATAATGTAGAAACGTTATGAAATAATGGTTACAAAAAAAAGATTTAAGTATACGTTGAAATAAAAACACCTTTTAACAGTACTTAAATGTTAACACAATTGATAAGCATTTTATTATTTTATGATCACTTAAATTATTTTTAATTTCAAGTTTTGCTGTAGCTCAGAATGCTTCTATGTATCTATAATCTTCATTTCATTTCACCTCATTTTCATTACATTTTTCTCCACGATCATAACTAATCTAACCAAACTAGTCTATATTTGTTTCTTCTAACTGGTATTATTTTGAATAATATATTTCAACATCAATGTTGGATAGATCTTTAATCAAACAATTCTGCACAAGCGTAAGTAGTCTTATCCAATATTGAAAGAAATTAATAATGCATGACAATATTTACATTACCATATTCACGTCCAACAAGTATCTATGATATAAAGAAAAAAATCATTTTTGCAAAAAGGCGAAGTACTGATGTGATCGTCGTACCAATCGAAAGGTTTTCAGTGTAATAATTCTAAAGTACTAGATGCAATCGCACATCGATACTTGTTGCATCTAAATCACGGTAAACCCATGCTTTTAAATTTAAACATTTAATATGACGTCACCCATAAGAAATACATTGTCACGAATTTTAAACACTTCTAAACGTTTAAATTCAGTGACAATGTATTTCTTATGGGTGACGTCATACTTGCACACTTAAAACGTTTAAATTTAAACACGTAGGATTTTGAGGTTTTACCGTGAATCATTCATGTATGTAACTGCTATAGTATCTCACAGAAAAATGGGATTAGATTGGATGGCTAGAGTCGCCATGTGTCAAAGTAAACTAGCCGCAAGACGAGCAACCCTATGTTTGTCTTTTCTCTCTAACTTTTGCAGTGCGCGCACGACAAAAAGTTACAAAAAAGCAATTATCAGATGACTAACCGATATTCTCAGTGGCGACGGGCTGCGCCGCGGGGATGTCGTCGTAGCGGCAACGGCAACCACATCGCTGCCGGTGCCACGTGTCTCGCACCAACGGCGCAGATCACATCGCGTCAACCCCATCATCCAGTAGAAACTTATCGCATTTTTGCACATGCTATAATTATTATTGTTCATCATCAACAAAATTCATCATCGGAATAATTATCGTCGCGGAAAATCATCTTTTGTTTCTTTTTCTTTTTTTTTGTTTCATGTTACATTGAACGCACCAACACACACGATTATATGGTGTAGAACGTTGTTTTTTGTGTTACGAACCGTAACTATTCGCGAGTTGATCGTCATTCGAAAAAGCAATTATTTATAGCAATATCGTTTTCTTGTTGCTTTTCAATGAATTTTCAATATGTATACGTATTTTTTCTCTGTTAGTTGTGTAAGATTTTTTTTTGTAAGTCGTGAATTTTTGTCTCGAGTTTTTTTTGTAGTTTATTGAAAACTTTGAATCGTATATTTATATTTTTCTACGTATTATTTTTATGTACAATCAATTGTGAATTTTTCTTATTTTTGGCTTTGTGTTTCGTCAATTTGCCTTGACACGTTAAGCGAAACGTATATAAAAAGATAAAATTCATTTCGTCACAACATATAAAGGTCCGTGTAACAAAATATAGTTTCATTGAGAATCAACAGTACTAATGGTGATCAGAAATGCTCCGTTAATATGTAAACTAATATCGTTGGATTTTTTAACGATTTCATCAATGTTTCAACAAATGTGTAGAAATCAATATAATAATGTATGTACACAGCGTAAGACTTTTGACGGACGGTGTTTTAGTGGCACAATGAATTCTTAATTATGTGATATTGTACAGTCGAGAAAAAGTTATGTACAATTATGAAATATTGTCATTTTATTTTCTTTTTGGATGGCTGTTGGCTTATAATCAAAGATATATTATACATTTTTTAATCACGCAGTGCAGAAATCAAGTTTCTTTATTATTTCAGCACACAATGTTCGATCAAATATGTGGCTTGCTATCAATGCTTACAATTCAATTGCGATTAAATATAAAATATGAACCTAGATTTAACTTTTTTTTATAATGTTGATATGACTGACTTGTATTGTACGATGCAACTTATAAGTTACAAAGCATAATTGTACATTGTTTTTTCTTTAAAATGCATAAATATTATTGATTAAAAGTTTGTGCGTTTTTCCAGCGAAATTATTTTTCGAAGCTATAATCAAAGATAAAACAAAAGTGTTTAATTTAGAGATAATATACAGAACGTTCATATATATTTTTGGGTTTTAAAAATTGTGCAACAAATTCTGTAATTTTATGAAATTGTAAATTATTCGTGTCGGCTCCAATCAAAAGCCAATCAAAGCGTGCTTAGGCGAAGCAGCTATGTTTTATTTGTAAAGCTACCAGACACATTCTTGTATCGGTTTTATTCGCCTCAAGAGTAACTATGTTTTTTTCTGTATTTATTATTGTAAAGAATGTATTTGATTATTTTGTTGATTTATGTTGTATAATTGTAATTTTTTGGATTTGCGTGCTTTACGTATTTAAAAACGCACAAACTGACATATGTAAATCTATATTTACGTAAACAATTTTTCGCAAATCAACAATTAAGTGATGCAAATTGCAATATGCAATTGAAATGCCGAATGTATTAATTTTGATGATGATTACCTCTCAAATATACAAGTTTTCGAACACACATTATTAAAGACTGCACTATAAAGAATTTTACGTAGTCGCCTAGTATTCAGTATAATGACTGAAACACAGATGTTATAAGCCTAAAAATGTCAAGCTTGTGAATAACTATACTATTATCCCGGAATTTCGGCTGATAATGTGAATTTCATGTGCGTTTTACATCGTTAACTTCTCTTGAAAGAAAAAAGTGTTGACATAATAAAAATTAGTCGTTAGTCAGTTTTAGAGTTGATGGAGTAAGATTTTTTACTCTTTTCTTTTTTAAAAGACTTAGTGGTGTATATGTATGTCATTCCGTCAAAAAAACATAAGTTTGTCAAATGGGACAAAACATTTAAACCCGGTGAATTTATCTGAGTGAGTGACAATCTCGATTGTGTAATTTTGTAGACCTATGATGTCAAAATAATATTTTGTTTGTTTTTCTTGATCAAAAATGTGAGAGTATGTTTTTTGCAATGGGATGTTGAAAATCAGAAAAATGAAATTTACAAACAAAGTTATATAAGATTATTATTATATAGAGAGAATAGAATAGGTGTTTGTTCCATGAAAAAAAAAACTTGAATCGTGTTATATCTAATTTTGTAAACGTATTCAGCATTTATAAAGAGAGAATTTCAATACAAATAAATATGATATATTTAAATCTAGACTAAAAGCGCATATATATATTTAATACATATAAAAATCTAGTTTTCTTTTCTAAAGGTGTATTGCATAAATCATTGTTAGAATCTATGGAACTTATCAAACTTGTTTAAAATAAATGCGATAAATGTCGGTCTTCCTGACACCGTGAGTAGTATATAAATGATGAAAACAAGTATGTAGAAAATGTATGTATATCCAAACTTCTTTTATAAATATAATAAGATGTTGGTATTTCTTCTATAAATCACTGTAAACACAAGCATATATGGGTTTTGCAAAAATTAAAGCTTTCAAACAAAACATTAACTATATGTATTCATTTACCTTTCAAGAAAAATTTGCAGGGTAAGAATAACCATATAAATATATGCAGTATTTTTCTTTTATTATCAAAATAAAGATATATAAGAAATTCTTGAAATATCCAAATAAATTTTAAAAGCTTAATTTATAAAATAATTTTAGTAAAAAAATTGTGACATTTTTGTTAATTATTACAATTGAGTATCCCGTCTTACGAATATTTGGTTGTGTCAACTAATCAAATGGTAAGCACAATAAGTTGCAAAAGCAGCCAAATGACTAGAATATCCATATTGAGACCATTTCTCAATTGTATGCTCAAAGCAGTAGCCAGTTTCTTGACCTGTTGATCTATCAAATGGAAGGCCCAAATAAGCTAAGTGAAATATAGCTAAGGCACTAAAGGCAACGTTTACCAAAATAACCCAGTAACAATTAATTAGAGTCCTTGAATGCTCGCATTTGTGCAAAGAACACTGCTTTGATGTTATACAAGCATCAAATACGTTTGCCAGTGTATTCCTTAACTGGTATTCAATGAAAGTATAAAATCCTAAACTGAGAAGAACAGCGGCGATCTGGAAATTAAGTCCATGAAGTAGCGCACTTACAGCGTACGTCAGAATTATGGTACCAAAGCGTCCCAGTTGCCGACGACTGGGACGAAAGACATCTATTATTATAAACATGGTATACAAATTAGTAAATTAACTTAATTTTATTACAAAAATGTTTAGTTCTATGGATTTTACAAACTTACAAGTTTTTAACCAGTTGTGCATTGGAATATTCCAGCTTACAACTACTTGTACAAGTGATCTAGGCACTTCGATTTCTAAAGGCTTTGTTATCAATGTTTGAGAAATTGGAAATCCGCTAACCATCATTAGGGAGGATGCTAAAAAACAAATAAAGTAATGAGATGTTCTGAAACTTAGTGCATCTCTAAAACCTAGCATCCATCTGAAATTGAAAAATAAATAATTCATTTCAATAGATTTTTATTGAGAGCTAATAAAAATTAAAAAAAAAAGTTATTTACATACTTTCCTGCATTGTCACTTAGAATCCAATTTGTCCAGCAATTTGATACGCAAAGAAAGAAAAATGCTACTGCCATGTATCCTATGGATACAAATATCCACAATAATTTCTGTAATGTTAAAATTTGTCTTATTAATATTTTTTTACGAAAGATAAAATATAATATAAAAAATAGATTGTAACTATTTACATAAGTTGTTTTTCTATATAAATTCTTATAATTTTCAAAAGATACCCAAGGCCCAAAAAGTGTTGTTGCACTGCACAACATGTAACCAGCATATTCAAAACAGTTTACTCTGGTATCTGATTCAATTATATCGATAGCAACACTTGAAGCTTTCATACTTGCTACCATTATGACACTTTTAATACTATGCCAGTCTTCTATTTTTAAAAAGTATTCACTATAATAATAAATTTATTATTGGTTATTTTATTTAAACATAAAATATTAAATACTAAGACACTTACCAATATAAAATCATCAACAAACTTGGTATAAAGACTTTGATTTCTGAACGAAGTGATTTTGGTAAAAACAGACAAAAGTATGAAGCAAAAGTAAAAAATACTAATAAATAAAGGCCTTTAAATGCATAATGCCAAATCATAATAATACCAATCAAAGCTATTATGCTGTGGAATAAGTCATGAGAAATATAAGCTGAAATTAAGAAAAGTCATTTGAAACTGATTCAATCAATATTTGCATTGTTTTTTATATACTTACTTATTCTGGCAGCAAGATTACAGGTCAGTGAAGCGCTTATCAGAGGGATTAAATGTACAAATGTATGATATATTGTTGTAACAATACAATTATTATACATTTCTGAAAGAGTTTCTTGTTCAAGTGGGTAATCATAAATTAAATCATCTTGATACTCTACAAAACATTGATCTCCACAATCAGCATCGTCATCATAAAGTAGAGAATCCATTTTAAAATTGGGTTATATGGCACTACTCTTTATCAAACAATATTGAGCACTTCTTTATTGTAAATAATAACTAGAGATTATCACATATTATTTTCAAAAAGAGAGTTCCACGAGAATTCGCCAGCATTGAAATCGCAGAGAAATATTTACAACGCGAACATAATAAATACTAAATCAAAATACTAAAACTAAAGTACTCAGAGTTAGACTACTAATTATTTATTCATATTTACGAGTTATAAAAGATTACATTTACAAGCTTATTCTAACTACTTTTTCGAATTATTCAGGCAAACACGCTCAGACAATTTGCTGCGACCGCCATGTTTAAATAACGCCGACTGACGCATGGCATATCATATTATTGGCTTAATGACCGTAATGACCGCGACGCGATTATACCTAATAACCTGACTATTCCTATATGCAGTAATCAGACAAGTTGTCAACAGAGCGGCGAGTGATGCATAATTGTTGCCTAAACACGAATGTTGACAGCAAAAAAAGTTTTTTTCGAAGATTTCTTTTTTTATATTTTTCTGTGATTAACGTATCTGTATTGATTAAATCAATGACAACTATCAGTAAATTTTTAAAAATACAAATATTTCGGACTTCAAAGTAAATTAATTTTGGGTCACCTAGTGATTGTGCACTAAAAATTTAATATGTCTGATGCATTTGAGGAGATACAAGCGATTAAAATAAAAAGGAATTGCTTAAGGGAAAAGTTACAAAAGAGAAAGCGAGAGAGAAATGAATTGTTTACATTAACTGCAGGAGCTTCATTAACATTGTCACCAAGCAATGAACCTTTAAAATCTCCAGGCAAGATATTATTTCATATAAATGTTGATCAATTATTCTACAGTATTATTTTACATAGAAGGATTTTTGTCCAAAGGTACAACTACATTAACAACAACTAATCCTGCCGAGTATGAAAGAGATATACTTTCTATACTCCACGAAACTCACTCTAACTTTCCTATCACATCTGCAGAACTTTTGGATCAATTGAGAAAAAATTTGAATGCTGATGTTTCTCATTCTGATATTAATAAAATATTGGAAAAGCTTTCTTCTCAAGAAGTGGTCAAGTATGTAAAGCCAATTTTAAAGTAATTGTTTGAATTAAACTCAAAATAATGTGCATATATATTTTTTATTTCATAGAATTAAAGAAGTAACTGAAGATGGAGTATTCGGATATACAGTTCTTTCTTTTGCTGAAGCACAGTCACTGCACGCAGCAACTCTCCCTGAAATCATTGAAAATGCTGAAAGTACAGAATCAACAATATCTGAAACAAGTGATCATGTGCTTCTAGAAAAGCAAATTAAAATTGATACAAAAAGTCCAGAAGATATTATGTCTCTTATATCAATGCCAACTATCAGAGAAAAAGAAAGTAAAAAAGTTGGTGAACAGATCTTGGATTTATTATCCAAACAAACCTCTAAAGAAAAATCTTTAGCTGAAAGATTTCGCTCACAAGGAGGTGCCCAAGTGATGGAGTTCTGTCCTCATGGAACTAGAATAGATTGTGCAAAGTTTAATCAAGGATTCGCAAATAAATGTAAAAAGTTACATTTTAAAAAAATAATCCAAGCTCACACGGATGAATCACTAGGTGATTGTAGTTTCTTAAATACATGTTTTCACATGGATACTTGTAAATATGTACATTATGAAGTTGATGTATCCTCAAGTCAACAGCAGAATAATATATCTGTTGATGATACAGCTACAAATAATGGTACTACAGATAAACATAATATCAATGACAATTCAGGATTAACAAAAAATAGTATAGAATTGACTTTGTATCCCCCTCAATGGATTCAATGTGACCTTCGTTACCTTGACATGACTGTATTAGGCAAATTTGCAGTAATAATGGCAGATCCACCATGGGACATTCACATGGAGCTTCCTTATGGTACAATGTCAGATGATGAAATGCGTCAATTAGGTATTCCAGCTCTTCAAGATGAAGGTTTGTTGTTTTTGTGGGTGACAGGAAGAGCCATGGAATTAGGAAGGGAGTGCCTTCAGTTATGGGGCTATGAGAGAGTAGATGAGATTATTTGGGTAAAAACTAACCAGCTACAGAGGATAATTCGAACTGGACGTACTGGTCACTGGTTAAACCATGGCAAGGAACATTGTCTTGTAGGTATGAAGGGTAATCCGCGGATTAATCGTGGACTCGATAGTGACGTAATTGTTGCTGAAGTTCGAGCCACAAGTCACAAACCTGATGAGATTTATGGAATAATTGAGAGAATGAGTCCTGGAACTCGAAAAATCGAACTCTTTGGTAGGCCTCACAATGTGCAACCAAACTGGATTACTCTAGGTAATCAAGTGGATGGTGTTCATTTAGTTGATCCTCTATTAATCAAAGCTTTTAAAAAGCGATATCCCGATGGAAATTCTATGAAACCAACGAAAGTGTAGTATGCTATTTTAAAATGTAGAATTCCTTGCAATGTCGTTTTGTAATTTGCTGACTAAACATGTTTTAATTTAAAAAAGATAGATTTTTCGAAAAACTTTTTATGCGTACATCAGAATTGGTTTTAAAATATTTCATTAAACTACTACTTGCATTGACTATTATTATGTATATTATGTATATTACACAATTCATAGTTTTATTTTTGAACATTGATGTTAATAAATTTCCAGAAATTGATAAAATATTTAATCAAATCACAAAATAAGATAGAAAAGTTTATTACAATTCTTTGATGTATATACGCTCGTACTTATGAGACAAAGCGTTGTACAAAATATAAAGAACTTTATACAACATTTACTACAATATTTATCTACATTATTAAGACTTACAAAAGTTTATATGTTAAACCCTATATTTTAAGATTCGAACTTTGACATATGTGACTCGATTATAATAAAAATAAAATATAAGTTATAGAAAATTAAGTATTATCTATACTGTTTCTAGTATGTCTTAATAACGTTTTCCTTAGTGAAATAGTAAAATATCCATCTTTGATACTATTCTTTGATCTTCTACTAAATTCAGTTTTAATAAAATCAGGAACTTCTGGCTCATTTTCTTTTCCTTTTTCATTTTTGGCAACGATTTGTTTTCGCCTTGATTCAAATCTCGGCGTGGAAAGACGTTTGAAGGAATCCAACCAGTGTCTTCTGTGATGCTCATCATCACTTATCAATACATGTTCTCCAATTTTAAAACTGGCTACACTTTTGTTTGGAGTGATAATTTCAACATTCAATTCATCTCTAGGTATTACAGGAAAGCAAAGACTGTACTTTCTATTAGCACGTCTATTTGATTTAGTTAAAGCAAAACATGTGTTGAACAAAAAGCAGTGATATTTCTGGTAATGATTAATAAATTATTAGTTTGATTTTACAAGTATTGAAAACAAATAATAATCATATATTTACCACTCCTTTAGAATCTTTCAATGGTCCTTCAGTGATTAAATCCAAAGCATTTTCTATGCAATCATTTGGATCATATTCTGATCTCACAATTATTCTTGTTCGAGCCAATTTACAATCGGCATCCCCCATTGCTTGATCAATATTTTTCAATAATTCAGATAATATTTCTCCAGCGCGCTTCAAAGCAGTTTCATCCACATGACCAACTGTAGTATGTTTCAAGATTTCATTTACCAGCAAAGGATATTTGACTATCCTAGAACGTGGCACATCTAAGTATGTCCATAAATCTGCTGACCTGAGTGATTCAGATCGCTTTTTCAAAAACTCTTGGAAACGTCGACATGATAATTTCTTTGACTCATAAATATGTCTGGCCCAAACTTGAGATCTACATCTTTCTACGTACAAATCAGTGAGTTGTGCAAGCTGAAATCAAAATAAATATTAATATGATATTATTTAATTACAATTTTTTTATATCAATTACTTATTTTAATGATTAAATTAAATTATACCCAATCAACTATTGTCGGTCCAACACACTCTGTAAATCCTGAACGATCACGTAGATCAACCATATCATCACGAAGTTTCCCATGAACTTCAATAAATTTGGATACATCACCAAATAGAGTATTCAATTCCTCTTCAGTGAAAATATTGGTTGCTAATAGAGGTTGATAATAAAAGTCTCTCAGAATACAAAGTTCATTCAATAACACATTTTCACCACAAAAGAGTTCATAAATTGCCTCTTGGCGTTTAATTTCTCTTCGGCTTAATGTTGATGCTATATCAAGTTCAGCAACATCAAACATCCAACTTCTTATAGTGACATTTCCTGCATATTCGTTACTCAGTCTCAGCCTAAAAATAAATAAATGTTTTTTAGTAATAAAGTAATAATTATGCTAGGACGAAAAATAATTATACTTTTTTCGTGCAGTTGGAGTTTGAACTTCTGCAAATGATATTTCTGAAGTATTCATTATACGATCTATCTTTCCACTTGAAGTACCAAAGAAACTGCTAGCTACCTCTGATATCTTTCTACGTTTCTTTTTCTTACCCATAGTCGAATCTATAGAAATATCCATTGAATTGACACTAATTGCATCACTCTTTGTGCGTTTTCTTGAACGCTAAAAGAAAAGAGTTTTTTAAAAATACAGAGTGATTTCTCTTCTATCATTAGTGTTATTTTGTAATGTAGTCATCAATGCTTATATAAGAAACTTTTCAGTTGCTTAGACAAATTACGATTATATTTATGAGAGATAACATTATCGTAAACATCTGAAATTACGTAAACTTACCAGCCAAAATTTTTTCTTTGGTTCTTGGAATTTTTCTGAGAATGTCAAGTCACACACACTGTCTTCCTCCATTTTCCGATATATAATAATTGACAATATGCCGAATAAGAATTATGCAATATCACATTTCATATTTGAAAACGATATTATCAACCAACTACTAGTAATTTTTTTTCGAATAAATAAATTTTTAGATTAATTACCACATTACTATTTGTTTGTAAAAAAGCTACAAAACATTTGTTGACATTGGACGGTTGGTGGTTTCGGTCGCTCGCAATGCATTCGATCGAGGCGGCATTCAAATAATTTGAAAAAAATTAAGGCAAGTTTTCAACAATCATGCAAAAATATTACAAACATTTTTTTGAAAAAATATTTAATAAGTATCCGTATTAATCAACGTATAAGAAAACGCAGCCTTTTTTGAAAACAATTGTTTATTGTTTGTATATATTAAAATTTTCTTCTGGGAGCTGTCGCTTGTTTAGATGTTAGTACTTGTATATGCGCCTTAATGTTTTCAAGCTAAGCGTTCCTCAATGTAAAGGTTAAGTATTTAGGTTGTGAAGCCGCCGTATTAAAATTAGCATGTCGGCTACTAAGATTTGACGCCAACTCGCCAACACTTCAAAGGCGTTTAATATATAGTTTTATATTATTTAGTATAGTTTGCAGTTTACGAAGTTCATATCTGTTATCTTAAACACCAGTAAGTAAATGTTTACTTTATATTAAGTGCATACTTTTAAAGCTATAAAGCATTGAAGCTAAACAACCTATTTCACTCAAAAAAATATTCGAAGAGAACGCTTCATTTATTATTGTACTATTCTTTTATATAATTTTATAAACATTTTATTATTTTTTGATCAATCTACTAGTATATTCATTTAAAAAGTAGCAAAACACATTATATTTAATTTTGTTCTACATAACCTTCATATTACAGACCATGGATATTCGACCAAATAACACTATTTATATCAACAACTTGAATGAAAAAATTAAGAAAGAAGAGTTGAAGAAATCGTTATATGCTATTTTCTCACAGTTTGGTCAAATTCTGGACATTGTAGCTCTTAAAACATTGAAAATGAGAGGTCAAGCCTTTGTAATTTTTAAAGAAATTGCTAGTGCAACGAGTGCCCTTAGGTCAATGCAAGGTTTTCCATTTTATGATAAACCAATGGTAAAGGTTCATTATTTTTTTGTATTAATTTAAAAACGTGAATGCTTTAAATTATTTTTATAATTACAGAGAATAAATTACTCCAAAACTGACAGTGACATTATAGCAAAACTAAAAGGAACGTATACAGAAAGGCCGAAAAAGCCTAAGAGAATTATACAGCCTGCCGACGAAGAGGCAAAGAAAGCTAAAAAGAGGGCCAAAGAACAGGCCAAGCAGCATGGTCAAATGGGTTATGGAGCTGGTGGGCAAATGGGTATGGCTAATTCAGCAGTACCTGAACAACCACCAAACCAAATTCTCTTCCTGACAAATTTGCCTGATGAGACTAGTGAAATGATGTTATCTATGTTGTTCAACCAATTCCCTGGTTTCAAAGAAGTACGTCTTGTTCCAAATCGACATGATATTGCTTTTGTTGAATTTGAGAACGAAGTTCAGTCTGGAGCAGCTAAGGATGCACTTCAAGGTTTCAAAATCACACCGTCACATGCAATGAAAATATCATTTGCTAAGAAGTAATTATATTCTAGTAATAAGTTAATACCTTTAAATGTAATGAGAATTCTAAAATGTGAGTTTGAGAGTAAATGATTTGCACACAATCTTAGCTATGGTGTGTACCTCACCATGTACAAAGTAAAGAAAATTAATTTTAATATGCAACAGAATTGATTGTGAATGTGAGACAATTAGTTTAGCTATTATATTTTGTAATAATTAGCAACATTAATAAAATAGAATAGCTATTGTTTAATGCTGCTTTGATAATTATCTCAGAGGTAATGAATTTTACAATAAATGTTTTATGTCACACAATGAAATTGTAAATGCAAACATACTTAAAAATGAGTATAATTATGTAAAATCTACGGGGAAGCCAAAATTCAATAAACAACAAATGTTAATAATTATTTTGCATTTAGTTTTTTATCGGTCATATTTGATATTTAAAACGCCATCTACAAAATCGATGATAGATGGAACTACTATCAATTCTCCCAACACGTCAAAGTCCATCTGTCCATGCGTGGTGTGGTAGTGGGTGATTCAGGGCGATTCGTTTTCTTGGTTGCTGGCCGTGATAGCATCCGCTGTTGTTCACATACTGTTTTCTCATTCGTCACGCATTTTTAAATGGTCACACTTTATTGCCACGATGGTCACGAGGACATGATTCCCGTGATGCAATTAGCGCGAAAGTCCGCTCTCGGGAGATATGCCAGTGCGATAATAACGAAAAATTCAGGCTGCTGTATGAGCTACGGTTTCGCTAAGCAACGAAATCATAGCATCCAACGACACACGAGAGGTGCTTCGATTTCAAGGTAAGCCTTTCGTTATATGAGTTATAATGAAACAGCTCGCGTACTCATTAAGTAGTTGCTTGCGTGATACTGAACGCGGAAGCTATACGTGCTTCTACTGACACGCTATTGATCAAGTTTTCCTATTGTTTTCTTTTTCTGTTTACGCCTGCATTTTTTTAACTCTGCGACTGACGTCTCAAGTAGTCATGCTATTCCGTGATGTCAACTAGATTGATTGACATATACGCTGTCAAATTTTATCTATGCAGATTCGGAGTACAGTTTATATATTCATTGAAACTTTAATTCTAAGAGAATGACAAGTAAGTTTGACAATTTGAATTTGAAAAAATGCGGGAAAAAAGACTATCAATTATCAGTTTAATTATATTGATGCTTATAATATTATTGTGAAATATTTTGCCATACACAATAGGTAACATGGGTAAGGAAGCCAAGACAATCTTGAAATTGAATGTAGAGAGACCTGTACTTGAAGAACAAGATCTACGTCAATTATATCAATATGAAAAACCAAACATATCTGGTACGAGACACTTATTTCTATACTTGATAGTTGCCAAGATTAACATTATGAAATTATGCTTTCTCACAGTGATACAAAGTGTTAAGAAATCTTTAAGATCTGCAAGTTGTAAAGGATGTATTGAAAATGTAATTCCAGCTTCTTACTGGCTAAGAAAGTATAAGTGGCGAAATGACTTTATGTACGATGTTATTTCTGGTCTCACTGTAGCTATAATGCATATACCTCAAGGTATGGCATATGCACTTCTAGGCAATTTAACTCCAGTTATTGGTATATATATGGCTTTTTTCCCTGTACTTACCTATGTCTTCCTTGGCACTTCAAGACATGTTTCCATGGGTAATCATTAAAAAAAATTATTTTCTTTAATGAACAATCATATTTGAATACACCTAATTATGAAGTAATTTTTATATTTACATAAACCAGGAACTTTTGCAGTTGTTTGTCTTATGACAGGCAGAGCTGTTTTAGCCTATTCAACCCCCCTGGAAACCATTGAGAATTCTAATAATACACTAAAAGAGTCTCAGCTGTTGCAACATACAAAAATATATACACCGATACAAGTTGCTACATCTGTTACTTTCATGGTTGGCATAATTCAGGTGAATTTTAAAACCTCAGTTTCCTAAAACATGATAACTAAATTATTAATTAAAGGAATAAGAGGAATTCCATCTTCGTTTTAGCTCATAATGTATGTATTTAGATTGGGTGTAATAAGTACTTTATTGAGTGAAACCTTTGTTAATGGTTTCACCACTGGGGCAGCAATTCAAGTATTGCTTTCTCAAGTATTTGATTTATTAGGATTGAATTCAGTAAAACCAAGAGGCTACTTCAAACTTATCAAAGTAATTAAAAATAAAATATTACATCAATACATTAGATTAGATATTGCTCACAATTATTGGTTTTTTTCAGACGTTTTATGTTATCTTCAAGGACATTCCAGATGCTAACATAGCTGCTGTGATAACTTCGTGTATTACTTGTTGTCTATTAACTTTCAGTAATGAGCTAATCAAAGTATAGAAAATTAATTAATTTTACTAAAATTCTTATACAAATTTCAACCATGATTCAAACATTTTAATCATTTACAGCCTTGGGTAGGTAGAAAATGCAAGTTTCCATTACCAATGGAACTGTTAGCAGTAATAACTGGAACATTAGTTTCCAGTATTTTCAACTTACCAGCATCATATAACATAAAAACCGTTGGAAAAATACCAACAGGGTGAATAATCTTTTAATTCCAAAATGTGACTTGCTTGCAAGGAATAATTCCTATCAATGTTTAAGGTGATTTCGTAATTGTATATTAGAATACCAGAACCTCAGTTACCAGCGTTTTCGTTGCTCCCGACCGTCGCTCTTGAGAGCATTGGAATAACAATGGTTTCCTACACAGTGACAATGTCTATGAGCTTTATATTTGCCAAAAAATTACACTACGATGTTGACTCTAATCAAGAGTTATTTGCTATGGTGATTCAAGTTCTACTTTTTCTCTTAAGCTCTATTCACATTTTAACGCGAAATCCAAATTCAACAGGGCAGCAGCAACATATTTGGTGCTTTCTTCTCCTGCATGCCGATCTCGGCATCACTTAGTAGATCTCTAATCCAACAGGCTGTAGGTGGAAAAACTCAGCTTGCTAGTATAATTTCTTGTTTAATATTACTTGTGATACTATTGTGGATTGGCCCGTTTTTCGAGCCATTACCTAGATGTGTTTTAGCTTCAATTATAGTTGTAAGTATTACTTGTTAATTGCAAAGTTGTTTTCATATACTAGTATTAACGCCAATTTTTATTGTAGGTAGCATTAAAGGGAATGCTAGTGCAAGCAAAAGAATTAGCGAAATTTTGGAAGATGAGTAAGATTGACGGTATAGTGTGGATGTTAACATTCATATCTACGGTTGTAGTTAGCATCGACGTAGGTCTAATTGTCGGTCTATTAGCATCGATAGCCAGTATTTTGTTCCAAAGTGTAAGGCCTTACAGTTGTTTATTGGGCCATGTACCAAATACCGAGTTATACTTGGACACAAGTCGTTACATTGGAGTAAGTTTAACGATTTTTTAAAGGCGCTAATTTGCCTTGAATTTTTTTTACGTAACTTTTTTTTTGTCATTTGTTTCGTCTGTGCAGGTCGCTGAGATATTCGGTATAAAAATTTTCCACTACTCCGGTGGTCTGAACTTCATAAATGCAGGCCAGTTGAGCCATGACCTTCAAGAGAAGGTCGGCGTGAAACCTCGACTAGTATTGAAGCACCGTGCCAAACTCGCAAAGAAGGGTATTTACGCGGAACCCAATGATTTTGAAACCAAATGTACTATCAAGTGCATTGTCATCGACGTGGGAGCTGTGTCCAAGATCGATTCAAGTGGAGTACACGCGTTGCGCGAAATTGTCGCAGATTTTGCTCAAATTGATATTTCTGTTTATTTGGCCGCTTGTTCGCCCTTGGTCTACGACAAAATTCAAAGATGTGATCAATTAGAAATGGGTCAGCTTACGTTCGTCGTATTCGCCACTGTTCATGACGCCGTTTTCTACGCAAAACGCGAACTCATGTCTAAATCTTGAGACATTTTTACTTTCGCTGTTCTGACATTATTTTATTGTCAATTATGACGTCAGTACTTGAAAAAGATGTAATTTTAATCGAATCTTGTGTCATAGCTCTTACAGAGTTTTTTAAATAATTTAAACGAATATCCAAATATCTATCTTAAATATTATTTTGATCAATTTTATCCACGAAGACTTTCTAGCTACTTAATTTTATGGCATGTTAAATTATTTTTTATGAACAAGTTGACTTTTGATAATGGAACATAGGATCATTACCTATTTATAGAAGCTGCTCATCGTGCGCTCTCTTATTAAGTATTACTTGAATTGCATCTGTACTTGAACTATGTAATCGAACATAATTTTTTGATAAAAAAAAACAATATTTTTATACTATTCAAACGGTATAATCAACATATCTCTATAAAAAAATATTCTTATAAAAGTATATTACAATTTTGGGATATCTATAAGAGTATATATTATATATTTATATAATGTTTAAAGTTATATAATTCAAAATTTATTGGACAAACCGAATTAAATTGTAACAAAATGTTGGAGAAATAAAAAGACAATATTATTTTTTATAAAACACAACGCATATGTATTTTTATTAATAGATCGCTATTTGCGATTATCTATTACATTCTTTTATTAATTCTACAAGACTTGGGCAGGTTAGATCCGAAATCCAAACTACATCCAAGATCAACAAATATATCGACAGAGGAAAAAGGCAAATATCGCTTCGATAAATTACAGCATCTCAATGCATATGCGCGCATCGCGAAACTGGTAATAATTGCTTGAAAACTGCCAGTTGTCTCTGTTAATTGCAAATATAATTTTTTCTATAATTTATAATACTCTGCATTAACAATTTTCGTCCAGGACGGCATGTAGCCAAAAATATCATCAATCAGCTTGACAAATTTTATATTTTCGGTCACAAGTGTAATCGACAATCAGCACTGTTTTATACTTTGATCAAAACCAGGGCTGTTTTTTTTAACGTGCACAAGTTATAATTGATTATTTACGTGGATTTGACGTTGTATTTTAAGTTGCACATAGATTAATAAAAAAATTATGAAAGTTTATTGGGACTAAGAATTCGTGTCAATTTAAATAATTTTGTTTACTATTGACATTACAATCAGCCTTCAGTAAAATTGTATGATTATTGAAGATTCAAAAATACTTTGCACTATATTCGTCAAACAGAAAGTTATTTCAAAAATAATTTTTAATTTTTTTACGGTTCATTCCGATGCCTAAGAAATGTTATAATAATTAACAGAAAAAAACAAAATAATGACATATATTTTAATACTTAGTATAAAGAAAGTGGTTAATTTTCAGCGACACAAAATTACTTACACATATAATAATATAAAAAAATCAAACGTCATAATTCTCAATCTTATGAACAAAAATAAAAAATTCTGTTTTAGTCATATAGCTAAAATTAGTATCCTCCAACCGTTCCCACAAGCATCCATAATTTTTTCATTTACCTATAGATGATCGACGGCATTATCACGTCATCGATGTTGTTTCTTTTTTTTTAGTATAAGAAAGAGAAAATCAAGTACATCCCGAGCTCAATAAGAAAGCCATTAATTCAATGTCATTACAAGCTGCAAATTAAATGAACGAGCGAAAAAGAAGCAGTGAGAGATTAATATAGACCGATATTAATTTTGGTCAACTGCACTTATACTTTTACAATGTTTCATATTTGTTTTTGTTTCTCTCTAACCGTTACACCATTTTGTTTATTTATCTACATAAATCGTAAGGAAAGAAGGTACTTACTAGTTTTGAACCGTATAGATAAACGGAAATAGAGTCGTTTCGACAAGTAAATGAAAAAAATTAAAAGTCACACCCGTTTTCGCATGTAACGTTGACCGATACCACCCACGCACACGCGCGCGCGTTATACATGCATATATTTAGGTGTATCGTCAAATCAAATAGGATCTATGTGTATGTATGTGTATGCAACAATCAAACGTACATGCTCCTCGAAAATTGCACAGCCCTAGCTCCGATATTCCTCGGCAAAGGGAACTAAGGGTTGGGTTTTATATTTGTTGTTTGTTTCTTTCGATAAATATAGTTAACTTTTATCCGTTTGGACTATTGATCGAGTTTGGAAAAAAAAGAGCAGGGATATATAGATTTCTGTTTCGTGTTTGTTTTTATCATTCGTAAGAGAATAAATTGACTAGCATATCAACCAGTGGGAAGTCATACACACAGACGCACACTGTTAACTTGATCAACGTAGTCGTTCCTTATGCGGGTGCAAGAGCGAATCAGGTCAATCGTTAGGTTCTCGTCGGTTTATCAATGATGACAAAGTGCTGCCTGTCGTTAGCATGGCTGCTGCGTCACCGTGTCGAGGATGGCACGGCACAGGGTACGTACATTTGGCTGCATCGTACTCTCGCTGTTTTCCTTCTGTAGCTCCTCAAGGATCTTTACGCCACCTTCCTTTACCAGCATCTCGCAGTACCGATTCGCTGAAATATATACATCATCAGCTTTAAGGAAACCACACTCATTTGCTTGTTAATTATATAATTGCTTTAATTATACAAGCTTCCATTTAAAAATTAATCAAAATATTAGACACTGTAACATTCAATAATATTTGTGCGTGCTTTTATTGTTCCGAATAATCAATTTGTTTACTCGTCTTTTCATTGCCGATGTTATATTTTAAGCAAGAACGGGTAGACTATACTTTACATTATGTAATAACTTGATGTTTATAATTGTAACAGTTGTTTTGAATATATATATAGTTAACTTAATTCTATTCTTCAATTAAAACATACTTACAAAGTGCCAAGTTATTTTTATAACGAAATTTATACTTGAAAAACAAAATTAATCTACAATCTCAGATTACACGCATTTCACAAACAAAAATTCTACATATTAATAATTATCCTTACCCTTAACAACTTATAACAAAGCTTGATCAATGTGAAAGAAATAAAGAAACAGACAATGCGGAACTCACGGTTCTTAGTGCAGACGTGATGAATAGCCCAAACGGCCCAGAGTTGAACCGGATAGGCATCAGAACATCTAAGCAATGGGAAGAACGGCTGGAAGCTTCGGTAGGCGACCATTTCATTCTGAGGTGTCTGCCAACTGGTTACGGCGCGCGCCAGCTGATCCAGCAACTGGTTACGCGTTGGCAGTAATGGAGCCGTAAACCACAATCGTGGCCCATCGCTTAATAAATGTGCAGCAATCCCAGCAGCAAAGTACGATACATCGATGTGTTTCGAGTCCAATAACAATGACAGCATCGAGATAAAACGTGATTGCATCAATTGATCTCTCAGGTGGCCGACCTAAAATTATTTTCGATTGGTTGATGTAAAAACATAGAGTGGTGTGAAGGCTTATTAGCATGAATGCGTGGAAGGTTTTCAGGATTCATGTTTTTATTCAATAACAACGAATGATGCATGTGAAGTAAGCAATGCAAACGATTTTTTTCGCAGTTTAGCATTGAAGAAGAGTCGTGAAAGAATTGTCTTTTATAAAGTTACATTTATTTGGAACTTTGCATCAAAATTAATAACCGATTGTTTTCGTTACTCAAAAATATTAGCTATCTTAAAACCGTGCAATAATTTATCATCCATGAAAGTAAGGAACATGGTTAAAAAGCTTTCTTTATTGAATGAGGTGTTTAAAAAATGTAACTCTTACTAACCTCAGCAGCTCGAATCTGTTTAGAGAAAAAGAACAGAATCATAATTAAGAAAAGTCAAACATGTACAAATTAAGGACACGTATTAACAAACGAAATTTTGATGCAAAATCCAATGTTAAAGAAAAGGAAATGTTAAACCCATTTGAAAGTTCAAGCTTACCCGTAAATGACATAAATGACATATTACTACCTAAATATTTGAAAAGCTCAAATAAACTTTTGTATAAAACATTTTTCAATTCAAGTTTTTCAAAGACACAACGTTTCTGGTAATAATGGAAAAAAACATTTAGTTGAAGAATTAGGAGTTTACCTCAGCAATATTATTGAGTAGTCCTAGCACTTTAGTTTCAACGCTTGACTCGCCCTGGAAGCTCTCAAGGACCTCCAAAAAGAGTTCCATACCTCCTTCCTCTAAGAACACTTTGCATGTGGTGGCACTTTCGTCGGTAAGATTCCACAAAGCACTCAGAGTGAACTTCATGGTAATGTCTACCGACTTAGATTGTACCTTTGAACGCACCATTGACAGGAGCTTTGACATATACTGCGGTTGGGCACCAAGCATTGATGTCTCAATCGTTGAGATCTTAGCTGCCAAAATCGAGCAGATCGCTACCGACATTCGATTCATTGAGGCGTCATCAAACGCCGATAAACAGTTCATTACCAATTTCGCACATCTACAGAAACATTAGCTTTATAAGTACTCAATAACAAAATTTATCTAACATATCAAATTAATGAATCGCTTTTAAATACCGACAATAAAATAAATTTGCAAAATTACCTGTACTTATCAAAAGCGACATCCTGGAGAATCCGATCGCTGCACAAAGTCAACAAAGTATTCTTCTGCAACTGATAGTGATTTGGATAAGATTCCATAGCCGTAAGGGTCAAATCTACTATCTGTTTTAGTACAGATGGATGAATTTTGGTGGCAAGCTCGCCTTTTGTCAGATTGTAAAGACATGCCGTGGCTGCCATTTGTACACGAAATTCCTGGGGATGTGCTCGCATTCCGGGAATTACGAGTTTAATAACATCAACTCGTGCCTCACTGAAGTATGAAGTCAATCGGAACAAGTTGTACAAGCATTTCTGTACGTAGATCGGCCTGTTTGGATACCTTCTCAAGGCCTCTAAGATTTGGGATTCTGTTGCTGTACCGCTCACCTATTTTTTATAGTTTTATGACACGTCGTTAGAATATATAGGCTGATATTATATTGAAAATTTTGAAAGAGATCTTACCACAATGTCAGACCTATAATTTTTGTTCAGTGGGTTCATTAGACAATCTTCATAGCAAGCATCAGAGTGAACAAGACCTAAGAATTGCAGATTTTTATGTGCTTGGATGAAATTCCATAAATCTTTGCCATCTATATCATCTTTGCCTGTAATAAAATCAGGAGTTATTTTCAACTTCCCTTCTTTCTTACCATAATAATTTAATCTAATGTATTCAATGTTTACCTGATATATCCAAACTCTGAAGGTATGGCATGCAATCGATGGCTTTGAGTAAATCTGTAATCTTAGACCTAATAGGTGCAAATACTTCGAATACGTGGGTATCTCTTTCGTCAGATATATCTAAGGTTCTTAGCTCATTCAATTCCAACAATACAGATATCATATTTCCACAGCCGCTTATTCTTAAATTGTACATTATTAGCGTTTTTAATCTGTCCTTGCACTTTCTTAATGGGGAAATGTCATCAACTCTGGTGCAAGATATGTCAAGGCTTTGTAAAAGAGGCAAATCTTCAACAACGATTTCTAACCCATGCCTATTAAACTCAGTACCTGACACATTCAAGATTTGTAGAGCACGCAATTTGCTCAATGCTACCACAACACAGTATCTACAAAATAAAAAATTACATCATCATTCAGAATTCCGTCGTATATGTCATCATATATTATGAATCATTGAACAGACCTTGAACAATCCATAAAACTTCCTCTAGCAACACTTAATGATCTAAGATTTTGTAGACTCCAATCACCTAAACAAGCTATTAAATCATTAACAGTTATTTTTAATCTATTTACTTCTAAATCTATAACTTTATGTTGCTTAAGAACTGTGAGTCCTTTCACAGTAAGGTTTGATGCATTTTTTAATTTGACATGCCTAAAATATACAAGCATTACAGTAAAAAGAAAAAATCAAGTAATTGCTATTAAAAACATTGCAATATGTATTTGAACAAATTGTACCTTAGCCTTGTAGTTTTAGAATCAAATAGTGTTATGGTCAAGTCAGATAGCTTCTTTCTTTCGCATAAACTATAAAGTAATTGCTCTGAAATTTCGGTTGGTAAAAAAGTGTCTGGATCTTTGAAGCTGAGTTTGGTTGTGTTTGCCAAAGCATATTGACTGGGCAAATTAGTTGGTAGAGCACCTTGGGAAGTTTCAAAAGTACCTTCTCCAGCATTGTTAAATCCTTGATCATCATCGGCTAAAAAATATTAATTGACATAAAATAATAACTTACATGTGACAGAGACTGTTGACATATTTTGTAGTTAGAGACTCACCAATAGAGACAATACAATTCCCAGGTATAGCACCTGTGTCAGGATGATAGTCGCAAAGTGCCATAACATTATCACAGATATAATCAATGCAGACTTCCTGCAAGCTTCTTGGCGACTCAAACATTTTGGAATATATGTACTTCTGTCACTGACGCATTGATTGAAATGCTAGCACAGTGCTCAACTGACACTTTTAATCTACTTTCTCGAATTTTTCCCAGCCATTATCTGAAATTCCAGGGAGAAAAAAAGTCTCAAACAAACGACTCCTGAGAGAACGGAAACGACGCATTTATCGTTACTCAGTATCAAAACGCAATTTTTGTTGTTCAATCTAAAAGGAGAGAGAAAGAGAGGGAAAGAAAAAAGAGAGAGAGAGAGAGAGAGAAATTCCGCGAGACATTTTTAAATGTATGTATAAAAAAGTGCTAAGAGAGCGCAAGAGAACCGATCAATAACTACTTGTTTGACATATGAATAATGCTAGTAATTAAGGATATGTGTTACACACAGCTTTCACAAAACTCACCAAGTTAAGAGTGTCTTTTTCTCTCTCTTTTTCTCTCTCTTCTATCTTCTGGGAATAATGCCATTTACGTCATGCGAGCTCTTACTCTTCACAGAATTACTTGGACAGGCGCGTAATAAACAAATGAGCTTGTTCAAATCACGTGCAGTAGCTGTTAGAGAGCGATCGTGTGCGAGAACATCTTTGAGAGTTAAAATATTGCTGGCACTCCTCTCTCTCGCGCTTTGGCAATGATGTCATTAAACAAGGAGAGAGAAGAGAAAGAAAGGTGACGATTATTCTAATCTTGTTATCTTCCGCGTTAAAAAAACGATCACTCTTGTATATACACAGACAAGCACAACACGCAAACGCTTATATAAGTGATCTCGCGTGATGGAGGAGAGCGCGAGAGAACTTAGCTGTGGATCAGCTGTTTGCTTCCAGAAAATTCGTGAAAACTCAATAACTGGAAATTTCGCGAAAGCGAGCAACGTAAACAAGCCAACTGTACATATCTGTGCCTACTCACCTTAGCTGCCTTCATCGCCATCTTGAGAGTTTGCCATCTGTCAATGATTGGCGCATACGCGGATTATTATGCTATTTTTCGATGAGAAACTCAACACTCTACGCAGAAGTCGCCTGTGGTTGGTATCCCAATCAGATGACGAAATTTAAAAACAAACCTTGTTTATTGCAGAAGAAGATGAACGAAGCAGCTACGCCAACCTGAGTGCAGAGTGTTAGAGCCTCCTTCTTTCTCTCTCTCTCTCCCACGCGCGCGCGCAGCAGAGCGGCGCATTAACTACGCATGTACACAATCATAGTCACACACACATTGCTACATATTACACATAATAAGTTCGCTTCTCTTTATTTTGAAGGGGGCGCGCTTCAGTAGTGAATATAGGGGAGCGATCGCGACGTTCACTGTTCACAAACGCAGTTTTTCATTTTTTCACCTGTCCCTACATACAGAGACGCAGTGCAACCAGAACGCAACCACAACTGGATTACATACTTTTCCGAGTCATCTTTCTTTCACTTCGTCCCATTTTAGCTGAAAACTCTTTTTATTACTTTGAAAAGCAGCAGCTACTGATTCATTAGGACTATTTCATTCAGATGTCATGTATGTTTAGTAATTTATTTTAAATTAGCGTAAATTTTTTTAAATTCATCTCGTGCGAATTTCCTTTCTTTCGTAATAAAATTATGTTGCAGGGTGTCGATAATATTGTACACAACAGTTATTATGATTTTTTTTGTATACTTGACTTTCTCTTTATGACGTAATTAATTGTTCAAATGATCAATGATAGTGATGATAATTCTAAAATTTACAAGGTAGTGACCATAGTGATCTATTTTTATTTATACATGATACCTATTATATTTCTAGAAATGAAGCAATATGCTATGATGACCAAGTACTAATGTACATATTAAAGCAACAATAATGAATCTGAATCTTATACATAGAGATTAGATTTCTTTCTATTTAATAGGTACAAGTTTCTATTATACAGTTAAATATAAAAGTTGATCAACACAGTGTTTTATGAGAAGGGATGAGAACTTATTCTTAAAATGAAAATATCAGGACATTGCTAATTTTGGATATAGAAAATGATAAAAAAAACAACTTTTATATTTCATACAACTAATGAGCAATACCAGCAAAGTTGTTGGTGCATCAAAAGTACGTAAATGTTATGGAAATGCTTATGTCAGATTTAGAGGTGAAAATTATTACTTAATTAGCAAATTGGGTATGCAGATTATTGATGACCGTTTTCCCACGAAATAAATACTTGCGTAAATAAGAGAATTTTGAACTTGGCAGTCTGGGTAAGACCACATTTTAAGAATTCATTTAACATTGCATGCATACTGAGATTACATCTCCAAAGTACCATTTGTTCAAAAGTTTGATGAAAATGTTTTTTCTGCACTTTCAGCATTTCTTAGCCTGTTGAGACTTTCAAAAGATATTTTAACGCTGAAATTTTGGAGAAAGACTAGTCTGCATGACCTTGATGATAAAAAACCGCACAAAACCATCATCGCTACAAGATAATCGAGAATCTCACCAGCCTTGGTACAAATATAATTTTACTGATCGTGATTAAGAATTCGATCCGAGCGTAGCGTAAATCATTACGTAAAATGATGAATCATAAAACAGGCTGGCGACAGAGCTGTACTTTCGTTTGACGGCAAATACAGTGTTCGCGATCATTGGTGACAAATATCTGCGCGCACCATGGCTTTGCGAGAGAGTAATCAAATCGACACAGTCGAGCTCTCTAATTAAATTAACATAAGAACGTGATCGAGGTGGGGAAGGAGATGAGCATATATCATTAAGGAAAAGCAAGTTGGCGTACAAAATAGCGACGTACGTCGCGTGGCTTTCACAAAACTTTATCCACCCCGGCATCTCTTGTAGTCCGCGCTCTGCTTCTAAGTGGCATTTCCGTTTCGATCTCATATTGACTTTCTACTTCATTATCATAGGCGCAATTGAAAACTCCGAATAAAACTTTGAAAAATCTCGAGCGCTTTCTCCGTCTCGTTTTCTCCTGCGCGACGACGGGCTTTCCAAAACTGTTGCAGTCGTTCCCGCCCCTCCGTTGCCGCGCAGCTCGAATGCGCGCCCAAGTGCGAGCGATCATTTCAGCTTGCGTGCTCGTGGCGACACTGCAGAGTGGCCAGGTATTTTCGTCGCGTACCGCTTTTACGTAAGTATTCAATGCAAATACGATAAAAAGCCCAAAGCCAACGCAATGCGAATGCCGTAGGTGTGTATCTATAGGTCCATCGCAAATTCTAAAATCAATCGATAGTCAATTAGTTTTCACAACGCGCCGCCCGCGAATAAAAAAACAATATACTCCACGCGCCGGTCGTTGCAAAATTCCTGTCGCAAACGAGACACGCTCGCGCGCGCGCGCGGGCGTCGCGGCGCATAATTCAACAAGTCTTTTGTACTTTCCACGAAAAGGCGAGAAAAAAAGGCAGCGAGAGCCAGATAGTTTTCACTAGCTTAAGCGACGTTCGCCGAATGCGAAATTCGTTAGTTTCGTACATAGGATGTGACAATGAATAGAGAATACACCTCAGTTTTTTTTTGTGTTTTGAATAATTTTTATTGTTTGCTGTTTGTCGTTTGTTCGTTGGAAATTCTTGAGAAAGAGATGGAAGATTTTGTTTTTTTTCTTTTTTTTTTGTTTGCATGGAGCTCGCAAGCGATTTCTACAATAGAAATGCGAAGAAAAGAGGATCGACGTCTAACATTGGCAGAATTCGAAGTCTATACGTTCCACAAAGTGCAATCGTCTCTTCCAAAAGCACATTTTTCTCACAACGCAAATTCCAAAGAGCACACGCGAAATTTTCGTCCGAATGTGGGCGCCTCGTTTACAAAACAATGTCCGTGTGTTCGCGCGACAAATTGACAACGGTACGTAAAAAAAAAAAAAAAGAAAAAGAAAATGAAGAAGTAGCGGTTTTCTAACGTTTACGCTCGAACGCGATAAGTCGTCTCGAGCGGTAGATAGGAAAAAAAAAATATGTATAGGTACATCGGCGCAAGTACGTACATATAATAATATATAATATATATATATTAAAAAAACGAGCCGCACCTTGGAGAAGTACAGATAAAAAATGCAAGGGCAATGCCGAAAAGAAGAGAGTCTTCTCGAAGGCGTGCGCGCGCACTAAAGTACACAGAGAGAGTTCGCGTTTGGGCGATCTCTGAACGCAAGAATCACGCGGATAGAGAGTGGAAGAGGAGGAGAAGGAGGAGGAGGGGGGCAGGAAGGGAGGAAGGCGGGGTGAGGCGAGATAAGGACGAAGAGGAAGGAGGGGGATCGCCGTGGGCGTCGACGAGACTAGATACCCTGGTCTCTCTCGCTTAATATATCGATTGGTCGTCATCGTCTCGGCAGTGTCTGGCGCTGCGAGGCTCGAGCCAGCTTCCAGGCCGCGCGTCCTCGATCGCCGCTCCTACTGCTCCTGGAGGTTCTGGGCCGGTCGCTGCGGCTGCTGCGCCGCCTGCGGCCTCGGCTTGTTGTGCTTGGGGGTCGGGTTCCTGGACTCGCCCGAGCTCTGGATGCCGGCGAGCAGCTCGCTCTTGCGGATGCTCTTGAGGTCGAGGTCGCCGTAGTAGTCCTCGCTGCGGCAGGACAAACGAGCTGATTGGCGGGCAGCTTCTTGGAGGATTTGGAGCGCGGAGGGGGGCGCGCGGCTACTCACCATCCGGGAACGTCCTCGGGGTCCTCGCAGGCGCCGGCGCCGTCGGCGTCGCCGATCTTGAAGACGGTGCCGATGGGGCAGCCGTACTCGCGCGCGATGCCCTCCAGGCAGATGTAGTACTTCCTGCAGTCGTCGGGGTGGGCGTGGCGGGAGAAGCTACCGGAGGCGCCGCTCACCTCGCCGGCGGCCGGGCACGCGAACCCGTTGGCCACCTCTGCAACGAGCCACAGCAGTTAGCGTCCGCTCGGGAGCCGAGCCGGCGAGCGCGCTTACCTTCGATCTTGCACTGGGGCACCTGGTCGGCCCACATGCAGACGCGGGCCTCCCGGTCGTAGGCGAGGCCGGGGCTGCACTGGTACCTCGACGCCTCGCCGTTCCAGCAGTTCCAGAACACGTCGCACTTCTTTTCGTCGGCGAAGATGCCGTAGAGGCGGGAGCAGTGCGGCGTGCTGATGGGCGGCTCGAGCTGCGTGCGCTCGCCGCACTCCACGTTGTGCAGGTAGTCGCAGTTCTCCGTGAGGAACTTGCTGTCCGTGGCGTCGAACGCCAGCCCGTTGCCGCAGGTCTTCAGCTCGGCCTCGCCGTTGTCGCACTTCCAGTACTTGTCGCACGACAGGTGGTGCGGGTAGAAGCCGTAGTCGTCGGGACACTTGAAGTTCTCCTGTGCACGCGCACCTGCGCAAAAGCGAACCGCGAGTCAGGCGCTTTTCGTCGAGCCAAGTGGAGCGCGTAGAAAGTGTAGCGCCGCGCGCCATCGAAACGCCAATCCTCGCTGAATGTCAAGTTCGAACGCTACGCTGGTTCTCGTAATTACGGCGAGCGGAGCGTCGGTGCCGCTCGGTTGGACGCGCAATTTCTCGATTTGACCCGTATACATACATTCCGCCATTCCGTCATACCGCCGGGTTTCATTTCATTCATTGCCGCCGATAATTCGTTTTCCATACCTATGTCCGCCGCCCGGCGAAATTCTAAACACCGACTTTGCGATTTTACCTCTTTTCTTTTCATTCCAGTGAAAGTGCTGCTCCGATAAACTCTAATTATGCCACGGGAAATCCAGCTGAATATTCATCTAGTCGACGCTTTGGAAACTGTGCTTCTATGTGGCTTTCGATCGGGCCACGTTGTACCTTTCCTTTCTTTTCAAGAAAAATTTTAATCGAAAGAAAAACAGAAGTGTGTCAATGCAATTTACATTTCACTGCACGCTAGGAAAGAAATGCCGAATAATCGACTGATTAGCCGTGAAAACTAGACTACGAAAATCCCTTTCTCTAAATTCACGCAAACTAAAATGAAAAAGCATAATCTCGCCTTGAATACTTGAAAAGCTAAGGAATGCATATCCTTGTGGGTTGCCAGCGAGACAATGGTGGACGGTGTGTATGTCGAAAGTCCCCTTTGTCGCATTCTACGGGCGCTTGGACTTTTCAAACTTTACCTTTGACAGCCAATAAATCGAAAATTTTATCGGCTCTCTCGCTTGCAAGTCTTATCGCGGAAAAAATCCAATGGAGTTAAAGAGATAGTTTCTCTCTCTCTCTAGAAATGTTAAGAAATCAAGCGCTGCGGTTTTGTCGCGACTTGCACGGCAGCTCTTTTTTTGGAATTGCACGCGCGCGCCATCGTAGAGCGCTCGAGAGAGGGAGAGAGAGAGACGATTTGAAGACCTTTCTTTGCGGCTTTTGAGAGATGCAGATTCCTCGTAGCCGATATCGTACGTAATCATGTTGAAATATGATAAATGGCCGCCTAATTGCCCGCGCACGCCGCATTGCACAATCGCTTGTACCGAATTTTCAATTGCTTTTCGTTTTCTTTTTCATTTCAGAACTTGTCTTCAATCCGCCTCAAGCGCACTAAACTTGACTGTTCGCGACTCGCGTCACTCAGCGTAGCTTGGACGCGCTCGAGATTACAATGGATACCACCTTCGAACTGTCGCGATTTTTGTTTGTTCGAGCGCGCAAAGGCAATTTTACGTAACTGTATATCTGCACTCGCTCGGTCACCGTAATTCAAGCTCGTTCTTGCATCACGCTTGTAAGAAGAAAGCAGCTAACGAAAAATATTGAAAAGTCGAGAAAAGCGCCACCTCTAGAGAGGATTCGCTGCCTACCGCGCGCTTCTTTTTCGGATTCACCCACACTTAATTTATACAGGCTTGGAGCGCCGTCGCGATTGCGTTTATCGCGTTAGTTCTGAGACGCGTACACGCAACCAAGCTGCAAATGTTACTAATTCTCGCGGTTCGAAATTAAACGATCGTATCGCGCTCGAGTTATCCCGATTCGATGAGCGTTTCATTTTTTCCGCTGCACAACTTTCCCGTTGCATCACGAAGAAAAACCAAGCAACAGCGACGGAACAAAAACCTTCGGTTTCGCTAGCGTTGAATGTAATAATCGCTCGTAAATCAGCGAAAGCATCCAGTGTACATATGCACGGGGGTGTGGGCTTATCGAACGTTGCGTAATGTATTACAAGCGCGCTGCTGCTTTTGGGAATGTAAGTGTTCTCACATTCAACTGGTTTTGTCTCTTTCGAGCAGCGAGAAGAAATCAGTGTTTTTCTTTTTCTCTTTTCAAGAGCTTTGCATTATTCGTACATCAATGATCGATCGTGTTCCGTTGGCCTTTCGACGATCTAAGTCTCGCGAAGCATCCTCGGAGATCGTTTTCGTTCTCTGACGAAACCTCGCGGTCTGCGTTCGTTGTTGTTGTTAGCTGCATTTGCGAGTTACGCAAACTCGGGAGAGAAGCAGGCGTAATTATAATCGCGAAGATGATGAAGTTTTCGCAACGAGTTTTCGACAATGACCGAACGCTACGTAAAGACTTGCTTTTTGGAAGACATTGATAACGGATGTTTGTTTAGAACGTTAAACGCAAACTTCCTGTGACAAGTAGGGCAAACGTTTTTCTTCGCGAAGATAAAGGAGGCGCGGAGCAATTTTGAAGCCGAGCGAAATCTATTTTTTCTGTTTCCGTCAGTTTTTCGCGGTTATCAAAAATCCACTGGGTTTTTCGGAAAAGACGGGGAGTTACGTAAGATACATAACGTATCCCACAAAGAGACTTTCGCCAGGCACTTTCACTAGAAGTGGCTATGCTCTCAGCATCCCGCTCACTCTCGCACGCACACCCAGATCCTTCACTTTCATTTTTCGCTGCCCCACCTTGAACGAGTCAGCGAGGGAGCGGCCTCGTACGACCTTTTTTGTCTTCTTTCTTTTTTCCTTATTATAGGGTCCAGGCGCGTTGCCTTATTTGGGTTAATTATCGGGTTCCGATCTGTCGTCGTCGAAATTCGAACGCGTCTCCACCGGCGAGCACGCACGTTCGTCTTCGATCGCGAGTCTCGTTGTAATATTGTAAAATGACAAGTCCGCTTACGTGCTGCCAATCCAGGTACGCACAGCGCGTCTCTCCGACCAAGCGTAGCCGTCGCGCGAAAATTAGCGGATCGCAGAATAACGATGCTCGTTGGCGCCTCAAAGCAACGCAAAATCGGCGCGGTGATCGCGCAACAGCTCGACGGCCGAGCCAAAGACGACGAGCTTTCGGCACGCGCGACGCGGTCGGACGGCCGGGCGGGCGTTATACAGCGTTGGCGAATCGCGATGAAAAAATCACGCGTGAACGATCACTGGCTTTTCGGCAAAAAGAGAAGAATCGAAAGAAAACAAATACGCCGCGAATTGCGTAAGTGTCCGGTGTGCGAGTAGTGCGTCGATTGACTTTCTTGTTTCGAGCGCGCGTGCACGGCTCGCCGACGGCCCTTCTGCTTCTCGCGTCTCCTCGAGAGAAAGTTTTTCGGCTATCGATCCCTTTTTTTCTCTTTCTCCGTGGCACCTTCCGTCGAGCGTGGGTATAACGACCTCGAGAGCACGCGCCCGACAAATCCCGATCCCTCTGTCGACAGCACGCGGAGAGAAAAGAAACGGGAGATTCGCCGCAGAAACGAGGCGCGCTGTTAATTTGAGTACGCGCTCATCACCTTTCTAATTTCTCAGAGGCGCATTGTCGAGTAAGAGAGCCAGTTCGGAGTAGCAGGAAATACGCGTGTTTCCGCGTGTTTCCGCGTGTTTTACGACGCGAGCGAGCGTTCCGCATTGGCGAGCTGAGGAAATCGGCCGCGGACGCTGGCGACGTTACGACGGCTTCCAAGTCCAGGATCGTAAGCCTCGGTCGAGCGAGCAATTGGTGTCGATTGATCGCTTGCCGCGCGCATCCGAACTAATGCCGCGAGCGACCGAACGGTAACGCAATCGGATTTGCATTATAAAATATAATCCGGGTGTCGCAATCGGCGCGCAAAGGGATAGAAGGTGCGCGACGGTGTCATGTGGCCCGGACAGCGCAACACTCGTCTCCCCTGCCCGCTTTTCAAAACCAGACCGCCGCGCTAATTGAAGCGGCTATGTCGTTCGACAGATTAGACTGGATTCCGCGTACGTTTGCGCACGCGCCTCGTTGGGAAACCGACGCCCTCGCAGTTTCGGTCGGACTCGAAGCTGCGCGCATCGACGCCCGCGATCTACGAAAGTGGCCGGACCGATCGAAACGAGGAGAAATCAATAGAAATTATGGGCCCGCTGTCGCGTGCATGTGCGTGTCCGTTGCCGGTGCTCGTGAGCACTTTCATCGTGTGTTATGCGCGCGCGCGGAAAATGAAAACATCGCGATGGGTGGCGGCCGACCTTTCCTCCTCTGGAAACGCGAAAGTCGCGCTGATCGAGACAGGCGCTTCTATCAGCGCGGTGCATGCTCGAAAAATCATAATTTTCACTTGGACGGCTGCGTACATTGAAAATCGACCGCCGTTACGAGTAATCGTGATCGAACGCGTTATCGAGTGAAAATCATAATTTCTCGTCACACTCTTTCTTTGAATTGTTCTCACACGCGCTCAGCACTATACCGACTAAATATTGGTTTGGTAAACGTGCGGCCACTAGTACGCGCATCGGACTTTCACTGATCGTCCACTTGATGAAAGCGACGACGACGACGACGACGACGACGACGACGACGACGACGACGACGACGATGATGATGATGGTGATCGTACGTACCGACAACGAGGATGGCAGCGATCGCAACGAAGGCCCTCATGGTTTGTCAATGCGAAGAGGACAACGAGATAAGAAAACGAGAACTCGCACTTGTCAACACTGCTGCTAATGTAGAATAATCCCCCTTTGGCCAGAAGGAGAGGAGTACTCTGTCGGTTGCTCACCGGTACGCTACACCTTTATATATGACCGGCCGGTCACGTGTCCACGTCCCACCGCCTCGGCAACGTTGCTCGGCGTGCGTTGGGCCCCTTCTTTCCGAGCCTCCCCCTTCTCGCTCGCTGTCTTTTATCGCGCCGCTGCCGCCGCTACTCTCCCTTTTTCGTTCGCGCGATGCAACGCGATTGCGCGGCCGAGCTTCTCTCTTTTTTTCGCGACTGGCCAAGGGTTCGCGCACCTGCCTCCTTCTTCGCCCGAATCTCAGATTCCCGACGCCTCCTCGACGCGATCTCGAGGGATTCTCGCGATCTTCTCGCCTATGGGTTCGCGCTAATTTTCGGCATGGCACAGTATCCCCCGATCGCCACTCGACCTAGAGCGCGCGTCCAACGGCGTTCGCGCGCGCTTGCAAAGCGTTCGCCGGGGCGGGACAGCTCGCTCGGCTTATTCGGACAAACGAGTTTGTGATTCACGTACGGCACATTCGGCGGGACGGCGACTTTCGACGGACTTGCGCTGTCGCGCGCGACGGTATCTCTCGTTCGAGCCTCACGTTTACGCTCGCTATCTCCGGAAGCGAGGTATGCGTGTTCCAGGGAGGCTTTCCACGCTCACCCCCCCTCGTAGGACTCATCGAGCGAACGCGACAAATGTAGTCCGCCGTATAGAGTCGAACAGACGTTTCGAGCGAGACGAGAAGAAGAGAATCAATCGACGTCGTCGAAGTAATCGTTCGTGACATAACCATAACGGCGCGGCGTCGACGGTCGAATCATACGGAGCAATCAGGAATGAAAGCCTGAGCACGCCAAATGACAAGTTAACAAAACGAATCGGCACTTATTTAACGGCGTCGTCATTGTATACAAAATAGAGTGAGTCGTTGCTTTTCCGCGAGCGCCTGTCTGCGTCGCGCGAAAGAAAGAGCGAGAGAGAGCAAGAGAGGTGGGTATACATTACGTCGCCCAAGAATCTGACTTTTCCCCGTTATCTATATATAGCAGCGACTCGGTTAGCTACATCGGCTGGTGCCACGCTGCACTGTCAACCGAGGAAAATGTCTCTAGCAGCTTCTGAGAGGACGATCCTACGGAGAGACGTGTCATTAATGTCGCCAGCGAAAGTTCATTGGAGATCGCCGCCTTCCTTTGATCGCAACTCATTGCTCATGGATTTCTAAAATCCTTCAAAAAAAAATAGAAAATAGAAGCGCCGCATCGCTTTGAATTTCACCATAGCAAAGAAGATATAACGAACGAAACAATTGTCTGCGTTGTCAAATGCGTGTGGAAATTGTATTATGTAAAGTCGATCGACGATTTCCTGGTGGCGCGCGCATTCCAATGGCAGTGCAAACAAAGATCTTTGGTAAATATGCATAACGCATATTCCTCGGCGAACTCTGACGCATGAAAAAGGCGCTTGGATAATGGCCTACTAATAGTACGCTTCGATAGCGACGCGAGATACTATGATTTGAGCCCTGACACGGACGCTCGCGCGCCCAAGTCAAACGACCACGGTGTGCGTGCATCCGACTCGACTTTTCCAATGGGATGTGCACGAGGCGAGGATCCGCCCGAGCCTGCGTCTATTCGTGGTCCCCGCGCGCGCAGCGACGAAAACGATTGTTGCGCTGCTGACTGTTCTCGAAGGCGCGCGACATAACAATGAAGAGAGAACACGGCGAACTCGTTGACTACTTACAATTTTCCCCGAAAAGAAAGTTTTTTTTTTCCTTGCTCGACTGCAAAGCTCTCGCCGACCTCGCGCGCGCCTGGATTATATTATCATTCAGGCGGTCGGGGATAGAAAGGAAGAAGCTGGCAATTCGTTTCCGAGCTCAGCGACAGAAGCAAATGTTAATTTTGTCGCTGAAAGGAGCGGCCTCATGCAAATTTATTGAAATATATTGCAGTTACGTAACGCGCGCGCTGCTAACGAGCAGCGCTCATGTGCCGTCCCCTCTGGCTCGACAACGGAGCTCGATCCTTAAAAGTTGTTGAAAAATTTCTCGCAGCCGCGAGAAGCATCGCGAAAAACCAATTTTTTTTTTTTCAACGAGCAACGACGCGGAGGCACACGCGAACCTATTGTACATCACCGCTGATCGAATTTTTTGCTAGATCTCTGCTTCGACGCGGTATCGCCGCACCTGACTCACCTGCCGGCCTTCGGTACACTCTCTTTCTCTTCTGTTATTTTTTTGGCTCTTTTCGAACTGCTTGCACGTTACACGCGCGACATTCAATATTCCTTGGGTAGATTGTCGTTGTAAGTCGATCGAAATATAAATGAAGAGGGGAGACTACGGACGATTATTTATTACTTGGCCGTGCCGAGAGGAGAAAGAGAATGAATGATGTTTCGTTGAATGTGATGAGAGACACGAGTTTTTTCGCAAATGAAAAAAGTCCATTTGCATGTCTGATTACAAGTAGCCTTTTTAAGATCGTGGCATTTTCTTTATCGTGTATAATCCCGTCAATTTAATTTTTATCACCCCCCTCCCCCACCATAGACACTCCATATTTAGCTTTTACGTATCATGGAATATAGTGTACGTTAATGCGATCATCGTCGTAATTACTTAACTGCCTTTTATGCACTTTCCATAATTAACTTGACCGTCAATTCGCATATTTCGCAATTGAAATTGTCTCGGTTAATGAAACGCCGTTTGCTCAACATGTTACTCGATACGCGGCGCAAAAAGTACTCGGCTAATTTCCAACAGAGATATTGTCAAAGTGTCAAGAATCAAGGACTCTCCCTCAGTTTTCGTATATAAAGTCATTTTTAAGATCCAGCCAAGAAAAAAAGAATCATTCAATCGCCAGCACGAGAGAAACAAGAGTCATCGTTGCAAAATCATCCAGGAGGATGAATTGATGATACGAAAAACTTTCTCGAAAAAAGCCAATCGTAATAAAATCGGAGGCGCGATTGGCATGATGATCGAGCAGTAACAGTAGCAGCAGCAGCAGCGACCTACGACTTCCGGCTTTGCGCAATAAAAAAATCGCTTTCCTCTCGCATTTATATGTATATTATCTCGAAGGAGAAAGAGAGATAGAGCGGGAAGGGGAAGGTCGAAGAGATTGTTCTCTCTCACGATCGCGAGAAAAGGTCTGTAAACCGTGGCTATGTGGATTAGGTAGCTTATATAACCACAAGAGCTCTCCTGGAGATATATATACACGTGCCGGACGAACCGAACCTCTCGCGACGCGCAAAATACTCTCACGCGCCAAGTTGCAGTTGTGCCGAAATAGAGCTTGATTAGAAATGCGACGGGCGTTTTTTCGTCGTTGTAAGGAAGTTGTTTCATACGTCGAATAATAGTCTGACTATTCATGGCGACTAGATCAATAGAGCTTTTTGAGAATTCAACACTTTTTTTTCTCTTTAAACTAATTTTTCTTTCTTTTTTCTGAAAAAGTGGTTTTTTTGTCGCCAGATTTGTCATACGGTGATTTACAAGTCCAATCTCTAAAATACTTTTTTTTTTAAATGAAGACCGAGTATTAAGAGAAATTCAATCTACGCATCCGTGGAACCAAATACCCAAAGCTGCTTATGTAAAATGACAATCGGGAATATAAGCAGCCTAAAAGTTAGGCCGTAAAGTAAGAAAAAAAAGGAAAACGCATCAGATATAGCCAGCCATCTGCAGTTCGCCGGTGCACTGACGTAAATCCGATCAGCCGGCGCACATTGTCATGCAGGTGAGGTCGAATATTATACCTCACGCGCGCTTTCCTCGAAGACCGACTCGACGCTGGGCTGGCTAACGGCGTATTCGTATGGTCGGCACTCGCGCGCGCGTGTGCTACTGGATTTCGACGTGAGTGGGTTTTATCTTCTTCTTTTTCAGCTTTGCGAGCAGTTAAAACGCTTGGCGTCCAATATAATTCGTCGCATGTTGCCGTCGAGGAGCGGTGTCTGGCCGTTTTTTCTCCCGGCCCTCTTGCATCTTTTGGCTTCCACTTCGAGTGCACTGGAATGCAATTTCGTTTTTTCCGCGCAATCAAATCGATTGGCAAGTCTGGCTCGATGGAAAGGCTTGGAGCGAAAAATTCGCGAGGTTCGCTGTCGGCCGCAATTGTTCGCTCTGCGATTCGGAAGGATGAGGAGGGTAAACAAGCTGTCGCGTTTACGAGGAGGAGATGAAAAAAGCGAGAGAGGCGACGTAAATTCAAGCGAACGTATATTCGCGAGCCGTGTGGCTACAGACGAGAGCGAACAGGCAGCGAATCCGGTAGAGCGAGTATCGCTCCCCCTTCGCTGCGGAATTTCAGCCGAACGATACACGCATATAATTCACCTGTGGCTCCCAAGGTTAATGCCCGGCTGTATGTCGGTTAAGGTTCAACGGGGCTCCAGTAGTTCTTTTTTTTTTCTTTTCACAGACGCTTAATTAGAGCAATTGGCAACCTTGCTGATTCGTCTACGAAAGAGAGGCACGCTAATGATATGTAGCGTCGATCAAAATTGATAGACGCGACCACGAGGTTTCATAATCCAGTACTGTCGTTTAGAAAGTCCATAAATTCGATGTTAGTTTGGTGCTTTTACCGGAAACCGAGTTTCAAAATCCAGATGTATAAGAGGGAGGTTGCCGCTATTGCTATACTGTTGCTGCTGCTGCTGCTGCTGCTGCTGCTGCTGCTCGGTGGAAGACACGGTCATGTTGGACTTGTTCTTCCGAAAAGTCGTCTGGTTCTTTCATCCCAGCGAGCGATTCTTTTTGGGGGTAATAGGCAGTGCAAAGTGTAAATCCAATGAACAATCTTATACTTTTAAATTAATTAACTCGAGTGACATGTAACTGCTAAAAAAGAGAAGGATTTAAGATTTCCACGAAGCGCAATTTCTGGCAATTAAGGGGCATGCAGACGAACGAAAGTTAAGGCGAGTTTCATAACGGAAACGAGTTTGTCGTCTGTCTTGCATGATTTGTAACGTTTAGATGGT